GTTTGCGCCTCGAGGCCCCAAGAGCCACCCCCCAAATAAATACACACGGACACTTATATTAGTTTAAGTTTTTAGGCAAAATTTTTGGCCACAACTTTATTGAAATACAATCACATGAGCAGTATTGGCTTAGGCATTGACTCCCCACTATAACTGGCTCCACCTCTCAGGGTGATTGTCAAATAGGGTAAACCAAACGAGGGAGCTAGGTCGATGAGGACCAACCTAAGCTCACCCCAGGGTTCCTGTGGTCCTGGCATGGCCCTAGCCCCTCAAGCAGACTTCGGACGAGATCCAGGACCCCCAGATTCCTTTAACGGAATACCCAGTTCCTGGAGGGGCAGGTAATGGCTGCACCTCCCCTCCCCACAATCCAACTGAGCCAATGCCTAACCACCACCTTACAAGTTGTGACGATTTGCCAAGGGGTAGGCGAAAACCAAATGGCTAAAGCCAATCTGCCAAATGGAAAAATTCCTACCCAGCCCCTGTTCCAAAACAGGCGACCCAAACCAAAGCAAGGCCAAGCAACTCTAACTAAACTAGGGAGGGTGGGCGGGTGTTCAACAGTGCAAAGCAAGTGCCCCTCCTTGCATCACACTGCTGTTTTTAAAGCCCCTGGGATCATGCCACCCACTGGCTATTGGCTAAAATTGCCTGGTGTGATCCCAGGGGAATGGCCAGGACTTCTTGCTCCTACCCCCCCCCCCATTTTAACCCTATCAAGTGAGCTCTTGGGTCCCGCGCACAACCAGGACCCTCTGTTATGAGGATCCCGTTTAGAAGCAGGGATGGCTTTTCTCCTTGTTTTCTCAGCAGCAGGCCTGAAAGCCATCCCAGCTGGCAGTCCTAAAGGAAGTCCTATTAGATGTTAATAGGGTTCATATCCAACTAAAAATGGCAATGTTCAGGCTGCCAACTTCAGTGCCTTTGGATCAGGCTAGAATTGTGCACAAAAGGTTAATGTTTCCCATTTAAAGTTTGTTAATTAAGTCATTAGTCTTATATAATTGTTTAATTAAACCATATAATTAATAAGTGCATCTTTTAGGAGCAGGAGCTTCTGACAAATCGCATGACTCGGCCATCGGTAAGACCGTGCTAGGAAGTACACACAGACTCATCCAAGGCACAAAGGGCAGAGAAGCCAGCTTGTTGTTCTGCTATTTCAATATAAAAGAAAGACAAGGAAAATAATGAGAAAAGAAAACAGTAATTAAACTCTTTTCTTTCAAGCTGATTAGTTAAGGGGAAATTAAGGGGAAACTCATCAATAATCCCCCAATCACACAGTACAGGAACCAGTAAAAGAGACAAAAGCTGTAAGGATGCTTTTAAGTAATGTTGCAAGGACCTTTGATGGGAAGAACTTGCTTGTGAGTAAACACTACAGAAGAAACCTGGCATAGGGAAGGGGCATTGCTAGAGTGCAATATTGCGCTTTTTTGATTCTGCTTCCCACTGACTACTGAAAAACCTAACAGGACAGCCAGCAGAAGTTACTCCTGTTCCAAACTCTGTTCGGCAGGAATTTGACTTATATACCACCCTTTTTGGCATTTGGGTTCTGCTGGGTCACGTGAACAAGCTGAAAGGGGTTTGTAATACCTGTAGATCCCACCTTACCCAGCTACTCCCCAGAATGCCCCTTTTTTGGACTGAGCACCCGCTTAGCTGGGGGAGGGCAAGTGTAACCAGACATGGAAGCCCAAGATCCACCAAATCATCCAGGCAGATCTTGGGTTTGGATTATGTGGTTAGTGTGGCAGGAGATCAAGATCTATTCTGCATCTTCTGAAGATGTAGGAGAGAAGGAGGGAGGTTGGATGTTTTCCCCTTCTGGAAATTTGTATGTGGGAAGATGTGCATTCTGTAGGCGTTATGGGCAGTGCTTTTTTTCTTTAAAAATGTTTAGGAGTGCTCTCATTTTGACTCATGAAAATCACCATTTTATAGTTCAAATCGGGAAAAATAAATACAATAAATTGACAAAAGTACAAGGATTCACAAAATGTTTAGGGGAATGCTTACCCCTGCATACCCTCAGAAAAAAAAACCCACTGATTATGGGCATCTTTCCCCTTCAGACAAGACCCATAAAAGCAAATAGAGAAATAGCCAGGTAAACATAAGCTCTGGGAAGGACAATCTGGTAGAGAAGACTAAGCTTAGTGCCCTTCCATAGCTTTCATGTAATAATGAACACAGTCACCATTATTTCAACATTTATGGTAGGGAGGTATATATTTTCATAAGAATTTCAAACTGCAGAATAACTTTTTTCCCCCAGCTGATCACTCAAACTCTTCCCCTGCTTTTGAGTTTAGTTCTGTGGACCCTAGAGATTTTCTATTCTAAATATTTGGTTACTCATCCAAACTATCTATCTAAGCCAATCTATCATGTGTTTATGATCCACCCATTTTCATATTAAGTGTATTTTCTGTCTTCTCTTAAAAATACATTAACATGCTTTACAAATATTTAAATTAAACACAGGCTGCCTTTCACAGCTGAGTCTCAGCCCTGTTTTGCAGTTGCCCCAGTGGAATTCCTCTCACATCATTAGAGAATGGGGGTTAGGAAGAGGTGCAGCTTCAGTGCAGGCTGAGCACAATCTAATATATCCAGTCAATCTGAATATTCCATATAACTATGAAGTCAGTTTCACAGAGAAAGGATTGGGTTGTTGTTGTTTTTTACAGAAGGGTTGTGTTTCTCCTCATCCAAGACACACCCCTAACAATCATGGCAGTGTCAGAACTTGACTATCAAACCAGCAGCTCTCAACTGTCGGAAAAACTAAGCATATGTGTTTATTTGTGAAAGAGGTGTGTGTGTGTACGCGCGCAAGCACACACATTTCCTCCTCTCCAACCTGTCTCTGTTATGCATCAGGCCAGTTGTGGGGGACACAGAAAGGTCAAAGTGAATTGTGGGGTAGGTTGGGAGGCAAGATTTTTGGTCATATGCTATAAATCGGAAATAAATACAATAGAGGTCCTGATTCTCTAACTGCAAAGACCACCAGGGTTCTTCTAACTCTGCCCTGAGAGGCCCTCTCTAAACATCAACTCTCCACTCCATAGTATTGTTTCCTGAGTCCTAAGACTGTTGTACAAGTTGTTGGCTATCTTTGCAGGTTAAAGTTGTGCATTAAAGGTAAAGGTACCCCTGCCCGGATTGGCCAGTCTTGACAGACTCTAGGGTTGTGCGCTCATCTCACTCTAGAGGCCGGGATCCAGCACTGTCCGCAGACACTTCCGGGTCACGTGGCCAGCGTGACGAAGCTGCTCTGGCGAACCGGCACCAGAGCAGCACACGGAACACCGTTTACCTTCCCGCTGTAAAGCGGTACCTATTTATCTACTTGCACTTAAGGGTGCTTTCGAACTGCTAGGTGGGCAGGAGCTGGGACCGAACGACGGGAGCTCACCCCGCATTACACCAATCTTAAATCTGTGCTGCACGTTCATGGATTCAGATTCATCCCTTTACCTTGCCTCCTCTCAGTTGCTCCAGGTACTTGCCTCCATTTCCATCTCACTTAACGCTCATTCACACATTACACTGTACACACGTACAAGCTGTCTCTACACAGGTAGAAATAGTTGTGTGAAATAGATTACACATGTAGCTTTATACAGTTCATTTATTGTGCACACAGATACGCAAGATGGTGTGCTTGTTTGTTTGGCTTAAAAAAATTAATCAAAATGAACATTAACACTCAACATGAAAACATTGAAGGCACACTACCAGCTCTTCCACTGACACATGAAGAAGGTATAAGAAGAATAAATAAGCAGGGGGGAGAAAATGGGGCAGCTGGACAGGGGTGGAAAGAGGTCACCATATGATTGGCTTGAAGACCCAAAGCCAGATTGGCCTTTGCAAGCTATGTGTACATTAAAAGCATATGTAGATGTCATGAATAGTTCCATATAAAGTCATATTTGGCAGAGACAATGCTCAAATGGGAACAATTGTTCATATATGTCATAAAGAGTCCACCAAACAGCTGCAAAATCCTCAGTGTTCTGTGTTTCCAGTTAATGATTTCAAGTGGTAGGCGAGTTTTTCCAGAATAGCAATGTAGACACTTGTACACTTGTTGAATGTTTAGTTACAGAGTCAGGCAGGGGGTTGGACTCGATGGCCCTTGTGGTCTCTTCCAACTCTATGATTCTATGATTCTATGAAAAGCTGTGAAAATTTAGGAGAGGGGCTGTCTGATCATAGCTAAAAGGGGCTCCTTTTATTATTACAGTGGTACCTCAGGTTACAAACACTTCGGGTTATAAACACTTCAGGTTACAAACTCCGCTAATCCGGAAGTAGTACCTCGGGTTGCGAACTTTGCCCCAGGATGAGAACAGAAATCGTGCACCAGTGGTGCGACGGCAGCAGGAGGCCCCGTTACCTAAAGTGGTTAAGTGGTTAAGAACAGGCCTCCGGAACGTATTAAGTTCGTAACCCAAGGTACCACTGTAAAAGCAAGGCACACAGAGAAAGAATAAGAATAAGAATAAGAATAAGAATAAGAATAAGAATAAAATTTATTTATACCCCGCCCATCTGGCTGAGGCCCCCCCCCCCACCGCCACTCTCAGCGGCTTCTAATCAAGTGTTAACACACAATTTGTGCCTTACATGTGAACAGGATGAACATGCAAATGATACCCCCCACCATCACATCTAATGTTGGCCCCAAATTTGCAAAGATTGGAATTTTCCAGCATCTGGTAGGCCACAATATGTGGATGTTGTGCATGCCTGACCCACCAGACCACTGGTGGGTCAAGACAATGGTTCCACTACTCAAAGCTGAGTTGGGGTGAAGTTCACCTGTCTTATTATTACTTGCCTTCAACTGTTTTTACTTTCCAAAGCACTGTTCTTCTTCTCTCTCTTCCCACATAAACAGGACAGAGAATAAGCGACCAGGAACCCCCATAAATGAATATGCTCAAACTCAGCTGCAAGAAATCATCAAGCAAATGCGAGAAAGAACAGCCACGTATAAAGAGAAACTGAGTGACCCGGTCATCTCCTCTCCTGAGCCCAGTCCAACAGCAAGTAAGTTCATTTGTATAGCTGTAAACTCTCAGAACGTATTTTGTATAGTCAACCATCTACCTATATCTGTATTTGATTGTATTTGGTTTCTTTGCTATGGCTTGTGGCTGATGCAAATATAGATTTTATCACTCTAAGTTCATGGAAACAAATTGCAGCCTCGCCAACACTTCCACCTGTCCTTTGCCTGGAAGGCACAGGTCTGAATGGTTTTGCCTGTCACTTTCCCCTGGAAAACCTGCTCTTTAGCGCTAAAATGGAACAAACAGCAATCCGCAGAAAACTCAATTGCCATTTGTTCTGATTCAGTGTTAAAGATTGTGTTTCCCCGTGGGAAAGCAATGGGGCAAAACGAAAGGTGGATAAGCCCTGTACCACACCTACATGTGCTTGAATTAGTCTTGAATGTAATAAACTGGCACTGTCATTCAAATTGTTACACTGGTTTATGCTTCCTAAGCTGTATGGGTCTGCCCTAGACAGTGTGTGAACCAGGAAACCAAACATTAAGTCCAGAAACCCATGTTTTGAAGTCTACCCAGAGCTTGACACTTGCTCTGTTTTTGCAACTCCAGGAAGAAATCAAAAACTGGAGATTGCTGAGTGAGTAAATTACACAACATTTGGGGCATAAACATTATCTTGCAATTTTATTTTTAAGAGATACTGACATTGACTGTAATACAGTAAGCCACAGCAGGATATGCATCTCACCTGAAATCAATTAACCACTGTATTAAACAACTGTCAGAAGAAATCTGTATTTCTTACTATGCACAATAGACAGAAGGAAGTGTATAGTTGGCACATTCTGCACTTCATTGAGATTGCTGTCCGCTCTTAAGCTGAATGCAATAAACTGGACAAATGCATTGGGGTGATTGAGATAACAGCAGCTTATCTATTTCCTTATGCTTGCCAAGAAAAGTAGAAATCAGAGAGATGAAATATCAATATTTCAGCTTTTTGGTCCTGCAACAGTACCCTTACACACGCTTTTCTTTTCTAGATTTTGCCAGTAGCAGACCGTGTGGTGGGGCAACAGCAAGGTTAGCGCAGTGCAAATGCGCCAGCAGGTGCACTAGATGGTACTGCTGGTGCGCTTGCATTGTGTGAATCTCCCCGTTGTCTTTCCCCTCCCCCTCTGCCTCCTAGTAAGCAGCAGCCATGCATCATGCTGCCTCACTGGATTTCTGTCTCTCTTGCATTCAGGCACACCTACAGCAGAAATTAAGATACCTTGTGTTTATTAAGTTAATAGAGCAGGAGGGAGTCCACCTTGCTGGCCTGGCCCCACCCCCAATATGAACATCCCCACCAACTCCATCTCTTGGACCTCTGCACATTTGACAAAAGTCTTAAGGGGGACCCTAGACACCTACAATTCACATGATGAATTTAATGCCCAATTCATTTGATGCTTTTCCTGGGCAGGGAGGCAGTTCGGGGGCGGGGGGAGCTGTCTTATTTTCATCAACATGTTTTGAATCAGCACACAATAGCCAATCATGTGATTAGGTCTGGCATACTCTTCACATCCCGATTAACAATCAGATGCTGAAAGTTTTGTAACTTTTTATATCCAGAGTTGGTCTTACCATAAACAAACACAAAGCCATTGATTTGAAGAATGAATTCCAAAAGGAATCCTACTTTCTAGCCTCATGTCTTATTCAAACTGGCAACCCTGTACAGAATGCAGCGCTATTTTTTTTTTCTAGGAAAAGAGGTGCCAGAACTCACCATGAACGCTTCCCTTGTTCTCTAATAATGGCAATGGCGCCCATCTGAGAGGTGCCGGAAGTGAGTTCTGGTGAGTTCTGGCTGAAAAAAAGCTCTGACAATATATAGTTATCATGCATCTTGCTGAAAGGAAATGATTAAAAAAATACATTTAAGTACATTTCATCTTTCATACCTAGGACTCATTTCATCATGGTGTAGGGAGATGTATAGGGAAAGATTAACACTAATAACAATATTAGTTTTAATCCTTACCCCCCAAACATGTTTCTGAGGCAGAGTGGATTTTGTTGACAGTTGTCCACAGAGTGCATTTTCCTGCAGACCCTCCAAGTGTCCCTATTTTCCAGGGATGTCCCTGATTTAGATAAGTTGTTCCAGTTTCTGATTTGATCCCAGCATGTCCCACTTTTCCTTAGGATGTCCATATTTTCATTGGTGAAATATTGGAGGGTGTGGAGTTATCCGACTCCACACACCCACACCCCAAGCCATCTGAAGGGAAGTTCTGAACAGTGGTACTTTGTGTTATGCGTGGGATCTGTTCCAGAGGCCGGTCCATAACGTGAAATGCCCACAACTCAAAGTGCTGTGTCTGTGCTGGCGCGCGGCTTGATTTGGTGCTTCTGCACATGTGTGAAGCGTGATTTAGCATTTCTGCGCATGCGCAAGTGGCGAAACCCAGAAGTAACCGGTACTTCCGGGTTGCCACGGGACGTGACCCAAAAAGATGCAACATGAAGCAGACACAACACAACGTATGACTATATAGGGAAGGGTTTTTTTAATGTTTAATGTCTTATTATATTTTTATATATGTTGGAAGCTGCCCAGAGTGACTGGGGAAACCTAGTAAGATGTGTGGTGTATAAACAGTAAAATTATCATCATGGAATGGGACGTCCCTATTTTCATCGGAGAAATGTTGGAGGGTTTTCTGGTGTATAACTCTCTGTAGCTTCAGATATCTTTGTGCATTTGAGAAACTTGTGTGCAATGCTGCCTCTTTGGAAACTTCTCTAGCACCCAAAAAGACGGCGCCACCCCCTCCGCCAAAAGAAGAGAAAAAGGAGGAGAAAAAAGAGGAGAAAAAAGAAGAGGAGAAGAAACCAGAAGAAGCAAAACCAGAGGAGCATTACTGTGATATGCTGTGCTGCAAATTCAAGAGGCCGCCCATGAAAGAATACTTGAGGAAAATGAAGCTACCAGAAAGTATAGATGCATACACAGGTAAGCTGAAGGCCTTCTTACAGGAAAGAGGTGCTGGCAGCTGTAAATACGATAAAATTACTGGTAGCTCATACTAATTATAAAGGCCTCTGTTGACATATGTTAGGGTTGCCATATTTCAAGAAGTAAAAAATCCTCTCACGGAAGTTGTTGAGCTTTTTTGAGGGGAAATCACCTAAACGCATGGGCAAAGAGTGACACTGAAACACACACTTCCTGGTTCTGTTGGCAAAAACCTGGACATTTTCCCAGTTTTTCAATATTCACCCCAGCCTGGAAATTTCACTTCAATCCTATGCATGTTCGGCAAATTCCAGATGTATGGTAACCCTGCATAAGTACTACTGTTATGTTACACAGACAAGTAGGTGGGTTGGCACTAGTCACTTATTGTACTCACTGGTGAAATTAAGAATCTGCCTTGCCAATACAGTCCAAAAGCCCAGCCCAGTTCATCTCAATTTTTTCAGCCTTGGACTCACCTTTAGCTAACCTGAAACTTGTGACCCTCTACTAATTTGAGGACCGGCTACAAGAAACTGGCCTGTTCAGTCAATGTTTGGTACACAGCTTAGCCAACACGTAAGATGTGGTTGGGTTTTTGAGTTGTAATTAAACATGATATATCCTTGGGCATTTTATTTATATATTGAAGGCGATGTATTCTCATATATACTCTTCCAAAAACAGGAAGAGTAATTTTAAGGGTGCTTTGTTTTTTTCTAGATCGTCGCTATATAGGATGGCTGTTTTTGGTTACCGTTGCTTATAACTGGAACTGCTGGTTCATCCCACTGCGATTGGTATTCCCATTTCAGACACCAAGCAACATGATATACTGGATTGTGATAGACATCTTATGTGATATCTGCTATGTCTGTGATCTGCTGATATTTCAACCCCGAGTACAATTCGTGAGAGGTGGAGATATAATAGTAAGTAAAGGTGGGCAGGGAGGTAAGACACAGAAGAATCACACAATAAGTAGACCCCATAGTGTAGCAGGTAATGTTGGATTTTGACCAGAGGGACCTATGTTCAAGTCCCCAGTCAGCCATGAGCATGGGCCTCTCTAGTCTAAATTAATGTGACTATTCCTATAATACCTGGCCATATGTCATACTAGATATGACAGGTGAGTTAGCAACAATGTCTGGAGGCCCATGAGTTCCCCATCTGTGCAGTAGAACACATGAGTCTTTAATAGTGTGCATTTTTTTACATAAAAAAGATATATATGTTGCAGCAGGTGATTTTAAAATCTATATGATACAGAGTTTAAGAGCTACTTTTAAAAATGCAAATTTTCCTGCTTTCTTGATGCACCATTCTTTTCCAATTTTTACTATGGAAAAGTAGTTCAGCTAACTGAATAGGGAGATATCTAGTTACCATAAAGGTATGTATGATGAGAATTAAGGAAAATAGAGGGATTAACTTTTATCCATTTTGTATGCCGAGGACATGTTTTCCTTTGATTTGATTTATTACATTTCTATGCCACTTTTCATTCAACTGAATCGCCAAGCGGCTTGCAAACAATAAATAACATAATAGGTAAAGGTAAAGGGACCCCTGACCATTAGGTCCAGTCGTGATCGACTCGGGAGTTGCGGCGACCATCTCGCTTTATTGGCCGAGGGAGCCAGCGTACAGCTTCCGGGTCATGTGGCCAGCATGACTAAGCTGCTTCTGGCGAACCAGAGCAGTGCACAGAAATGCCATTTACCTTCCCGCTGCAGTGGTACCTATTTATCTACTTGCACTTTGACATGCTTTCGAACTGCTAGGTTGGCAGGAGCTGGGACCGAGCAACGGGAGCTCACCCTGTCATGGGGATTCGAACCGCCAACCTTCCAATCAGCAAGCCCTAGGCTCTGTGGCTTAACCCACAGCACCACCCGCGTCCCTAAGTAACATAATAGAACATCACAAATACGACATAAATCATAATGAACAATGAACAAAATACAATCAATAAAACACTATTAACATAGCAACTAGAAAAATAAGCTAAGCAGCACAATTTCAACAAAAGGCATATTATAGGTTTCACAAAGTACTACAGCATTCATAATCTATAAACCAATATTTAAAAAACAAACTAAGCACTGAAGAATTCATACACACACACACACTCTCCACCCCCATGACTCATAACCTTCCACTCTATTCAGTTCCTTAAACGGCACATAAACATAATGCCTGTAGGAATGGAAGGTGGAGCAAGGCAGGTAGGGGGGAAATCATGGCCAGCACAAAGTTTTTGTCACCACTAATAAGGATAAAGAAACCTCCTTCACATGAAGTACAGAAGAATGTTCAGGGGTACAGTTCTGATCAACATCCCATACCCTTTTAAAATGTGGCTCTTTTGGGGGGGCATTATTGGGTAATTGTTTTTATTTTAATTTTATGTGAAACACACTGAGACCTAGGGCGGTATATAAAGTCAATAAATAATAAGTAATAATCTCAAGGTAGGGTTGGGAAGAAAGCCTTTCTGAAACCCAGGAGTGCTGCTGCCAATCAATGTAGACCACAGTGGGTTAGATAGGCCAATAGTGTGACACAATGTAGGGCAATTTCCTAAGTGCAAACAAGGTCCACCTACCCACAGACCGTAATTTAAAAATAAACGTCTAATATTTCTTAATATATGCACTGTTGACAGTTCTAATGCTAATGAGAGCACATTCATCCAGCTTCGTGTGTGTGTATTTTACAGCCTATGAACCCAAACCCATAATCCAACTGTTCTGAGATTTTTATTCTAACAATATCTCCCTCCATCCTCCCTCTATACCTTTAAATATTTTCAAAAATGATATTTAAAGAGAGCCTGTAGATTTTCCCCATGCAGAATCATGAAATTTTAATCACCCCTAAATATTCCACAAAGGGTGTCCACCTAACTGCACAGGCTTCTTCTCAGTCTTGTTTCCTAATGCATACTGTTTGTTTGAAAGAAATAACCAAGTGTTAATCTACATGTTTGCTTAGGTTTCCAGATTTTCTAAGCCATTTGCTCATTCCCAAATAAAGTTGCTAAAAAGAAAACTGTGCCTTGGAAAGAGGTTATCGCCCTACAAACATACAAATCCCAATCCAACTTAATATCCCAGGGTTTGGTGTCAGTGCGTATGACCCCTTGCTCAAGCTCAGCAAAACAAGATTGTGTCAGAGATTGCTTGAGACTCCGATATATGCTGCCTTGAGTTCCAGAGGCTATACATTAAATTTTAAAAGTTAGCTGTAACTAAATCCAAAATCAATTGAATGAGTTGGCTGTGCCTAACTGAAGTCTCATTGCTTTCAGTAAAGCTTAGTGACAACTCACATTAGCTGGGTGACCAAGGATAAGAATTTGGATGTATGCATGAAAACTTGCCTAAAACAAAGGTTTGTGCTTTGAGACCTCAGTCCACAAGTGCTAATGGACTTCAGCTAATCATGTCTAATTTAGTCATATGCTATCCTGAAATGGTTCTTTGTTTTTGTACTGAGCTTTACCTAACTGCATGTTTTTCCTGTTTTTAATTATAGTCAGATAAAGTAGAAATGAAGAAATACTACCGGAGCACGTTAAAATTTCGGGTAAGTAAATAAGGCACGCTTGCTAAGGGAACAAAACAGTTATTCAAACTATATATCCACTTGGACATGACTGTCCTACAGCTTCCCTCTCCCCACCAAGGTAGTCTTCAAGGTGGAAATCAGGCAGAAAATCAGTAGTGATGTACATTTCAGATGTTGGAACTGAAATTGAAATTGATACCTGATCAAAAACGTACGGTTCCATCCCATTATATAATGGATTCCATCGCAACCTATGGTTCTATCCCAAAGGACCCTCACCCTTGCATGAAAGAAATAAGAGGTTTGCCTTTGATGGAGCATCAAAGATTCAGCTCCTGATTCTCCTATTGCAGCCACCCTTGGAAAGGCATATTTGCTTAATTGTTTGCCTACTTTATGATGGACATGTTGGCAATGTATCGTATTTGAGCAGCACTTGAAGTCCTTCCTACGTTACTGCATTCATTACAAGGGACTTATCTTGTGAATGAAAACTATAATGTGGAAAGAAGCCTCAAGAGATTTGGTGTTGAGAAGGAATCCTTTCTTAGCTCAGATGAGCCATGCTCATCTTGAAATCTGGATTAGATATTTGAAACTCACAATATTTCAAGGCAAAATTTGTCTGCTAAGGACCAAAGAAATGTGAGGTGGACAAGAACACAATATGGTCTGCTACACTTGCCCTGAAAGGGGATATACTGACTTCACAGAAAACATTTTGCTTGATCTTTGTCAATATTTTAATACCACTTATTCGGCTTTTGACTACATATGCAGTTCTGAGCTTTTCTTGAAATCTCCCAAAGATGGACATTTCATTTTAGCACCTTGTTCAATCTCTTGCCAATAACCTAGATGATGAATCCAGTCAGAAACTAGGGATCCATTGGCTAAATCCAGCCTTACAATACCATCATCTGGGCTCAGTTTATTTATATACTGCATGCATTTTCTGGAGTGCTCAAAGTGGTTCAGAGAAAATAAGAAGGTAACAACAATTTTCTGCATATAGAAAATGTGTTCCACGTACTAGAAAGATAGAACCTGAGCATTCCATTACAGTTTTTAACTACATGATAATTAATTTAACATTGTAACTGAATTTTTTCTTCAACAGCTTGATGTGTTTTCCGTAATACCATTTGACGTCTTGTACGTTGTGTTTGGATTTAATGCAATATTTAGAGCAAACAAGGTGCTGAAGGTAAGATGAGATTATCTACTGTTACCCTCAGTCCAGGGACAGAAATCCTACTTGTAAATACATACTGTTGCTCATCCACAGTGGTCAGGGGAGATTTCCGAATATACACGGCACAGGATGGTATCAAACTTCTTCCAGCTGCACAACACAAATTGGTTAGCAAGAAAGATTTGTGTGAGGGACTGATGTGGATGCCTACCTACTCAGTTCAGCTATAAACACTGCAAAATGGATCCTTGTACTGTTGGTTTCTATGAGGCTAATGGTGGATCCATCCCTCCCTCAGATTGTTGGTGATGGTGCCAGTCTCTTGCTTGGGAAATAAAGACGGGGAACACAACTCTCCCTGATATTGTGTAGAATATTGATTGTTAGTCTGTGTACTGTTATTTTACTATTTTCTATAGCTTTTATAGTATGAGCTACCCTGAGAATATTTATATCGAAGAGCAACATAGAAAGCCATCACCATCGTTATCTGATGAAGGCAACATATACACAGTCGCACCTGATTTCAGTTTTTTAGTTAAAGCAGCCCTCCCCAACCTCGTGTTCCCCTGATATTTTGGACTACAACTCCCATCAGCTCTGAGCCAAGGTGACTAATGGTCAGGAACGATGGGACTTGTAGTCCCAAATATGTAGAAGGTACCAGGTTTGGAAGGCAGAGCTACAGGAACTGTGGGCTCACAGCATCTGTTTGCATGCATAGTTCTTCATACAATTCCAGGTGTATTTGTGGACTCCTCCATCCAGTTACTCCATGAATTAATCACATTTTGTCCTGCTTTTCTTCCAAGAAGCTCAAGGCAGTAGCATATACGTCCCATCTCACCACCACCACCACCAGATATTTTCTCCTTGCAGCAACCCAGCACCATTGATTAGGCTGGGAGATAGTGAGCAGCTCAAGGTCACCTACTGAGCTTCACAGCTAATGGGCTTTGAACCTGGATTTCCTCTGCCCTAGTCTGAGCATAACTGGATGGAGTTAGTAGTTCACACATTGAAGATGCAATCCTTGTGTGGGAGTAAGTCACACTGAGAAGAGTAGGACAAACTTCTGAACAAGCATGCATAAGATTGCCCTGTACATCTGTAAAATGCAGAGTCACTAAATTGTTACAAAATGCTGTTTTTAAAAAGCCCAACCTTTGAGCATGTGAAAAACTTGGATGAAGGGCAATTACTGTTTCCTTCCATTTCTAGAAACACATTCTTCTCTCTTTTTTCTGGCTCCCGTGTCAGTTTATCTAAATTAATTTCAAATTAATGATCTAAACAAGCCCACTTCATTTGTAAAATCTAGAAAGGTAATTATCCAGACTGCCACCTCTCTTTCAAAAAGCCAGCCATATAGAAGAAAGGAAATAATAAATGGAGAGCACCAAAAGAATGTACTCTATCTATGAGCAAGAAACTTCGGTTGACTAGGTAAAATATCACTGTCATCATAATTCATCATGACCACTGATCTGCTAAATGGAAAAGTATCCTCCATAGCCAAGCTCCTGGAAAAAGTGATATTTAAAATGTCAAGTTGTTTCTGCTTTTTGCTAGTTTAGCAGTATGAGCATTTTTAAACCAAAATTTTTAAGATTGCCAGAAACAGGCAGTTGTATGTCGTAAAATCCATGTGAGATTATATTGTTACCATATACAGTTGTGTTTCCTCTCTTGATTTGCATTCAGCATCTCACGTTCTTTGAATTCAATGACCGACTGGAGGCGATCATGGAAAAAGCATACATTTACAGGTATGTGCTAGATATGCTCCAGTATCAGTGTTGGCATATTTGTAGGGTGTTGACATATTTCAGCATTTCCAGTCTCTGCCATTGGATGGCACAGCTTTTTGGTACAGCCTCAGATACTGTCTGTAAAATGGGGACATAAAATGGGGGTATTCCATAGGCATATAACTCGCCAGATTCCTGTGAGGGTGCTGGGGGCAGGCCTGTGTTGTTAACTGCTTGAAGCCTTAGAGGAAGGCTAGTATCTAAATGAACAGAAAATGTTAATGTCCAAGGCACAGGTTCCTGGCGTGATGCAATGGTGCCTGCATTTGTGAGCAACAACTAGCAAACACCCTTTCATGAACACAGTTGTACCTTTCTATAAATATTTCTAGCTTATTGAATTAGCAAGCCGCAGGGTCCTATGGGGAGCATACTTTACCAGTGCCCCTGTACCTGTTATTAATGGCAGTGATTCATTTGGCAATTGCAGAAGGGGAAGAGAGTTGAGCACCAGCTGATTTTTCCACTCTGTCAATACTGGCCATAGTTGTAAGTCACAGCAGGTGTTAGTATTGCTATTGATCAAAACCCAGGTCTCCAAAGGGAAAACAGGCACAGGAATGTGTGTCCCACAGGAATGACATCAACTGTTGTTTATGTTTTTTACAGGGTCGTTCGAACTACTGGGTACCTGTTGTTTATCTTGCATCTTAATGCATGCCTGTATTACTGGGCTTCAGCCTACGAAGGACTCGGCAGCACTAAATGGGTATATGATGGCAAAGGAAACATGTAAGTTCCTTTGCATTGCATGGTGTTTCCCCAGCCTGCCCACCTTCCCATCTTGCTTGCAAGTAAAACCTTCAGAACTTGTGTGCCCTGCTAACTTTTTAGCAGCATTGCTGCTGATTGGAAATAATGAACAATGCTAATTATATGGACGGCAGGTGTAGTGAGTGATTAGTTTACCGTTTGGGGTTTTTACGGGTTTATGAGTCAGCTCTAATCACTAACTTAATTAAACATTTAGAAAGCACAAGGGTCGTAAATTAAACTTACCGATTAGGTGTGAGAAGAAGAAGCATTACATACGTAAGAAAACAACTACTTGAAAAGTTCAATGGAGTACAATTAAAACACATGCGATTGCAACAGAACATTTTGCTCCCTTAAGAGTCTTCACAGGGTCATGTTCTGTCATTTCCTTTCATATGGCAAAGGATACATGTAAACATGTTGCAAAGAGAGAAACTCTCCAGTGGGAGCTGACACTGCGCAATGCAGCTGGGGGAAGAGGTGCCAAGTCAATAGCTATTAATTCAACAAAAGCAAAATATGGGACAAAGTCAGGAAGGCAACAGCAGGCAGTATATATTATATGACATGTAATGCATGCAGAAATGTACTGAGTGCAGCTTTTGCAGACATGATGGCAATGCAGTTAATGTAGGAGGAAAATATGAATCCAGGTGATCCAGGTGGGGGGGCTAAATGGCAAAAGAATCGGCTGAGTATCTAGATTTAAAACGTGGGGCTAAACTCAGTCTCTGGCGTGTTAGGGACTGGCGGGGTTTGTTAGAGCTTGTGGTGGAGGCAGGGGTGAGGAGAGTGACCCAGGAGAGGGGTCAGTGATTTATGGGGTTTGGTGCCACCTACAAGGCAGGAGCCAGGGCAGGAGGAGGATGGGGCAGGACACAGGACTCTATTGTGTTCAAAGTACCTGAGAGTTAAAATAATCTGATACAGAACATCTTTGTCCCTCAGACATATCTGGTTCTATATTATGCTTTGTGTTAGATTAACTGAAAGTCATCACTCCTGTTAGCATGGGATGCCAACCATGGAGAGGCTCATTTAAATTTCCCAATGAAACAGGAGGCTCACTATTTGCAGCTATTGGGTTCCTCATTGATCCTCTTGCCTGCCACTTGCTATAAAAGGTAGATCACCTGATACGTTGTTCAAGTGTCTCGCACAGCAAGCAAGGAGTGGTGGCCAAAGGGACCAGGGAGACAAACAGGAGAATCCATGGCTCTTGAATATTCCACACAATTGAGCTTTAAAGGTATAGTGTCTGTCCCTGGGTTACAACTTGCCAAGTCTTCCACCAAGGGCTGAAATGCTTTGTTGTTTATACTGCAAAATTACATCAGTGTGTTATTGCTAGGGACTGGCTGATTAAATATCCTTACCAACCATACTAGCACTCAGCAATCCATTCTAAGAATGGTTGTAAATGTGCAAGAACTCACACATATATCCTAGCCCTTTGGTGTGCTGTCAGTGGTCTTCTACTGGCCTGTAAATTGCAAATTGCAAATCGTATTTGTCTGACTGTAACTTAGTAGGGTTATAATAACAAAGATTAATTGATTATACTGGGTTTGCTTGACCTGAAGCAACCTGTCCAGGAGCCTAGTATAGGGACGGGTGACTCCGTCAATTTTGGTTTATATCAGTTTCTCATTGTTGCAGTTCTCTGCATATCAGTTGTCCACATTTCCACATCAATTTGTGATTTAAAAACAAAGCAAAAGCAAGGTATGCATGAAAATTCATCAGCATTTTAGCACCAATTTATCCTCATACAGACATTTTTACGTGTAATTTTCCTACTATTGACATTTTTGCAAAGCAAAATCCATTTTCGAATGTTATTTTCACTAATATATGCATTTGTATGTACATTTTATCCTATGCATTTTTGTATACATTACCTTTTTGGAGTAACTGCACTGAAAAAAATAGGAGAAGTATAGCTTTTGACAGATGGCTGTGCTTTGGTTCTTGTATTGTTTTGGAATGTGTGAAATAGGTAGGTTTGCATTTAAATGTGAACTGAATAAAAAATTTCTCCCATCCCTACTAGCAGACAACAGCCTTGTGGTTGTCACCCTAGCAACAATGCATTGAAACACCTGGCGTTGCCAGATTGAAGTGTTACTGAGCAGACAGACCAAACACCACACATTTTCTGACTGATAAAATGAGAGCCACGTAGCCAATCTGCTGCTGTCTCGAGAATGAACTTTTTAGAACGAGAATTATTTCCTTTGGAATTCAATAGAGTGATCAATAATCTCCCCTGATGTGTTCAGGAACAGCTTTATATGTCTGACACATTTCAAGTGAGGAAATCTGAAGATAGGACCGCCAGAGGGTCCAACATACTTTCCATTATTATTGAGTCATGAAATGACAGGCAATGTGCTCACTCGGCTTGTACAGAAATAACCTTGCAGGTGTGCTGTATAGCCTGATTTCAAAAGACACTACAATTGGGGGGGGGGGGGTAAAACAAGCACTGATTTTACATGACTCACTGTTTGCCCCCGGGGGCCGGATCCAGCCCAATCGCCTTCTAAATCTAAATTTTATATAAAATGCATCTCTGGGTTATTTGTGGGGCATAGGAATTCATTCATTTTTTTCCCTCCAAAATATAGTCCAGCCCTCAACAAGGTCTGAGGGCCCATTGCCCGCCCCGCCCCCGTTGGAAAAGTTTGCTGACCCCTGACTTAAATGAAGCCAACACAACTATGAAGACTGTGTCTCTACAGACACCACCTGTACTTAATAATGACAGTTTCCTGCTTGGCAGGGGGTTGGACTCGATGGCCCTTGTGGTCTCTTCCAACTCTATGATTCTATGATTCTATGATTCTATGACACGTTTAGTGGCACACACACACGCACACACACACACACCCCTTGTGGGGAACCTGTGGCCCTCTAGAAGTTGTTGAACTACAACTCCCATCATTCCTTATCATTGTCCATGCTAGCTGCAATGAATAGGAGTTGGGATTCAGCAACATAATGATGATGATGATGATGATGATGATGATGATGATCGTGATAAATAATTTATTATTTATACCCCGCCCATCTGGCTGGGTTTCCCCAGCCACTCTGGGCAGCTTCCAACAAAATATTAAAATACAATAGTCCATCAAACATTAAAAACTTCCCTAAACAGGGCTGCCTTCAGCTGTCTTCTAAAAGTCAGATTTCCTTGACATCTGATGGGAGGGCGTTCCACAGAGCGGGTGCCACTACAGAGAAGGCACTCTGCCTGGTTCCCTGTAACTTCGCTTCTTGCAATGAGGGAACCACCAGAAGGCCCTTGCCTCTAGACCTCAGTGTCCGGGCTGAACGATGTGCGTGGAGACGTTCCTTCAGGCATACTGGACCAAGGCCATCTGGAAGACCACAGGATTCCCATCCTTGTTCTACATAAAACCATAAAGTAATACTTTTTTTTAGTTCATTAATTATCAGGACTAGTTGCAGTGAGGAGGTGGAGGGAGAGCATTTTTCCTGATTCTGAAATTCAGAATAATACAGAATAGTATTTCTGCATTGGAAACCTATGTAGAAGAATAATGATATCAAAAATTGTATTCTATCTACAGGTATCTAAGATGTTACTACTGGGCAGTTCGCACTTTAATCACTATCGGTGGGCTTCCAGAACCAGTAACCATGTTTGAAATCATCTTTCAACTTCTGAATTTCTTCTCAGGGGTCTTCGTATTTTCCAGCTTGATTGGTCAGGTAAGCAAAGGCATTAATGGTTAAACTGACCCTTAAGTTTAAGATGTTTCCAGCGATCTGTGTAGTTAACATTTAGTCTTTACATCAAAATATGAGTTTTTACTAGAGAGAGACAGGTACAAAGCTGTCTAGATATTCACCTGTATAGATCTCCCCCTCAGTGATGTCTGTTGAATAGATAAACTTCTAGAACCATAAATAGCAAAATTCTATGGTCTGCTCTGAATGTTGATGTTCAAATATAATAAAATAAGATACTCAGGGAATTGTTATGAGGTTCCCATATATAGAGTCAAATGGGACCATTGATCCATCTAGCCCAGGACTGATGCCCACTAGAAATTGTTCTAGTGGGCATCAGTCAAGCAGGTATGGCGCACTGGAATGTGTGTTGGGCTAGGACCTGGCTCAGCCATGAAACTCACTGACTGGCCTTGGGCTAGTCATGGTCTGTTAGTCAAACCTACCTCACTGTTGTTGTGAGGATGAAATGTGGAGGAAGAGAACCATGTACATACTCCCTGGCATGGAAAGATATTGCATCATTGGCTCCTCTGTATAACCTGGAACTTCTGACATTGCTGAAGCAAAGGTGGAAAGTATGTGCACCGGAAGCTCCCAGATCATCTCAGAACACACCATCCAACATGCCCTTTTGGCCTGCACTCTTTATAAAGACTTGAGGAATGAGGTTATCATCCCTCTTTTATTGTCCATTCTGGGTCACCCAGCCCCTGCCACAAGTGTCCTTTCTCTTGGCAGATCAAGATGAGCAGGAGACAGCAAAGGTTGCAAGGCTTTTAGCTGGGGCAATTAGAATAAGATCCACTATTTGACTATTGATTCAAAACCTAAAATGTATTTTATACAATTCACTTTTTTATTTTTTGTATATCATATTGTTGTTTTATTGCTAAGACCGATGGCTGACACAAATAAAGATTCATTCATTCACCATCCAACACACATTCTCTGGTGGTCTTCCATATAGGTATACCAGAGAGACAATCCTGTTTAACTTCCAGAAAACACTGATGCTCTGTAATGTGACCAAACCATTTAGAAAGGGTTGACACCATTCTTCTCATAGTAATATCTGATATGAGTTTCATGCTGCCAAAAGAAATGAAAATGTATTGTTGAAGATGGTTTTGATGCTGTTATTGACTTAGATGACCCATAACAAATTTATGAAACTCTTGATTTCCTCATTGTCCTCACCTTTCCTGCTTATTATCTTATTGGGGGCCAAAATTGTCTTGGCCTTTTGGAATCATGTTATTTTAAAATCAACATTTTAGAAAATCACTCCCACCCAGCTCCCAGTCTCTTTATTGGGGAAAAGGGAAGTAAATATTATCCTGGAGTAATAATAAAAAAAAAACAGGCCTGGTTTGTCCTCTACAAAGGCTAATTTGTTGTTTATCAAATGGATCTTTCTACAAATTAGCTTAGTTGCTGAGTTGATTGCTATTGGGAGTCAGGAAACAGCTTGTCAGCATTTCGAACAGTGCACGAACTCCATTTGCAATGTATATATGTCTACTCTGAAGTAAATCCCATAGAATTCAGGTAAGTGGAAATGGGCTTACAGTTTTAGACTGTGTTAATATCACTGCCAATTTCACTCTGCGCTTGGCAGCTAGTCTTATGTGTCACGACGGACTGCAAACACACAGGTATGATTCTGGAGGCACTTGTTTATTTGGAGAGCTTACTAACTGGTCTTGTGTAATCAGGCGAATACAATTTCAGCCCAGTCCTCCTGTGCTTCTTTATAGTAGTATCATTCCAGAATAAATTCAATGATTCTTAGGTGTCCAGAGGCTGACAGGAGAATGCAGGTCATCCACAGGTCAGGAAAAGGACATGAGACATGAAATGCAGTTAGCTTTTATTCACAAAAGTGAAAACACATCTGGGCTAGTATCCCCTAGTTGAAGACATTGCTGGAAAGTGGCGTCTGGCCCCTCCTTCCCTCTCTAGTCCCCTTAGTCTTGACTCCTCCCAAACATCTGTAGACCGCAGCAACAGGGAGTTTCCTCTCTGGGCCTGTCTGGCCTATTGTTCAGTGGTGTGCAGGACTCTTCGTGTTCTGGGTGTCAGTGGAGGAGGAGAGCCAGTAGGAAGAGGACTATCCGGATGCTGAGCTTCTGCCTCTTCTCTATCAGAGTCTGTGCTCACACTGAGATTCTTGGCACCCGGTCCTGTCCTGGATTGGCTTCCTTCTTCTGTCCCCCCATGTTCACTCAAACCTAGCACCTCTCAGCTCGTCCCTTCCGCAGACTGAACCCCTGTGTCCCTGTTAGGATATTTCCGTTCCACCTTAAAAGGGAGCAGGCTTTGTGAGTCAGAGTCTGCGTATTTCCTGTTCACAGGATGTTTATGTTTGCTACTGCTTTCGTTTCTCTCTCTGTGTCGCAGACACTAAAGCAGGCAGTCATGTTTTTCTGTGTTCTGATCAACGCTGAATAAACTTGTAAATAATGCTCTCCTGAGTGCAACTTTTGGCTGTGCATTATCTGCTGATAGAGCGTGCATGAGCTCTGGAATGTGGCAAGATATTTTCTAGAAACTCATGTCGCTGCGTGCCTACGGGAGGTCGATGGATCGTCCGGCAGACGGCTTGGGGGCCTTGATGGACTTTATCTCCCTGGCAGTATCCCAACAGTCCCACCACCACTGTTCTGGGTCTAAGTCTTCTTCCTCTGTGTTGTCCCTGAGGGGCTCTTTGGGCTGGTGGCACCCACCACTCTTCCTCATCCAGCCAGTCCTTGACATCAGGGTGCTTCTAGTCTGTTATACTTTTTCTCATAAAAATATTTAGTTTAGATGTTGGCATATGCCCTTTTCACAACAGAGTGCACACTCATAATCCACCACAGAGGAAGACTGCAAAAAAAAATTAATAATAATGACTAAATAGTGGTCTTGGGCAACAAATCAAACACTTATTTACAAAACTGGGCTTTTTGGGTAAGAAAAGTGATGAACAACTGCATAGTGTAAGTATATAAAATTGTGCATCCTTACTTACCACTATCACATCAACAAAGCAGCTCATGACATATTGAAAGGTCAATAACATTAACAGCCAACCTCAGCCAACAAATAAAAACAAAACAATATACCGTATTTTTTGCTCTGTAAGACACATCAGACCACAAGACGCACCTAGTTTTTGGAGGAGGAAAACAAGAAATAAAATATTCTGAATTTCAGAAGCCAGAAGAGCAAAAGGGATCGCTGCGCAGTGAAAGCAGCAATCCCTCTTGCTGTTCCGTCTTCTGGGATAGCTGCGCCCCACATTCGACCCATAAGACGCACACACATTTCCCCTTACTCTTTAGGAGGGAAAAAGTGAGTCTTATAGAGCAAAAAATATGGTAAATGCAGGAGATGTCATCTAAAAGTGACTAAAATGTCAACAGATTGTTATAATAGCCTTCTAACAATACTGGTTGATATTTGCAGATGCGAGATGTCATTGGCGCAGCAACAGCAGGACAGAACTACTACCGTGCCTGTATGGATAACACTGTATCTTACATGAACGTCAACACAATTCCAAGAATTGTTCAGAATCGTGTTCGAACTTGGTATGAGTATACGTGGGATTCGCAAGGAATGCTGGGTAAAATTCAGAATAATTCAAAAGACACTTGCAGCCCACCCTCCCCACTTTCCTTGGGAATATCAATATAATTTAGTTTCTTTGACAATGAACTGGGAATCAGCAGTGGTTATTAACTACTGTACTTGATTTCATCAAATAATTTTGTGCTTTATAAAAATATATTCTTTTAATAAATCCATATCTTAAATTGAAACTGATCAGAAAGGCTGCCTAAATTTGAATAATACTTTTGCAAACTTTTATCAAGTATTCCTGACAGCCCTTCCCTTCTAATCATTTTAGTTTTGTAGTTGTTTTTGGTCGGTAGAGATCCAATGTAGCACAATTTTTGTTTTTTTAAAAAAAGTTTCTCCCCCTCACCTGTTCTGTAATCTTGCCTTGCAGATGAATCTGAATTACTGGAGCAGATGCCAGGGAAGATGCAGCTAGCCATTGCAATCGATGTGAACTTTGCCATTGTCAGTAAAGTTGACTTGTTCAAAGTAAGTGGCTTTTCATGTAATCTAACATCCAGGATTGGAAAGGTGTTTGCTTGCTTGCAGTAATCCGGATTGCCAAACAAACAAGCAAAACTATTCCAGTAAGCAATTTTTTTAAAAAATAACTTTTTATTCAAAATTAAAACAAAACATATTATCCAGAAACATATCATCCTTATTTTCCCCCCATTTTTCCTCCCTCCCCCACCCCCAACTTCCCTCTGTTCCAGTCTTTGATTTCTCTAGAAATGCTGTTTTCTGCATGTTACATAGTTGTATAGATCCTCAAACTATTTAGCTGATTATGATCAATAAAAAGTTTGTGAATGTTTATTCAAAACCAGCCAAGGAGTCCAGTTCACTTTGTTGTGTCTTCAAATACTTTGTAAAGGGTTCCCCATTCATCTTTAAAGTCACAGTTATCCTTGTCCCGTAGCTTGTATGCCAGTTTTGCCAGTTCTGCATAATCCATCAATTTTTCTTCCCATGATTCTTTAGTTGGGGTTTCTTCAGTCTTCCATCCTTGTACTATTCAAACTCTCACAGCCGTTGTCGCATACATGAAGATGTTTTTCAGCTTTTTTGGCAGATCTTTCCCTACAATCCCTAATAAAAATGCTTCAGGTTTTTTAACAAATGTTAAATGGAACATTTTCTTCAATTCGTTGTATATCATTTCCCAAATTTTTTTAATTACCTTACAATTCCAGTAGTAAGCAATTTTTAATTTAAGTGCAACAGATAAAAGCAAAGCTACACAGTTGCTTTAATGCTGATGATCCCCAACTAGGACCAAGTATGGTATGTCAGGAGCCATCCTACTCTCGAGTAGGACCCTGGCAGAGACACATGCCCAACTGGCATGTTCTCTCCCTCCTGGTCGTTCACTCAGGAGCTTCAAAAGCTTTCTTCTGCCCAAACATCACAGCGACCGATGCCAACAGACATTGGCACACTCAGGGATCCGCAGAGTCTCCACAGTTTGCGTAACAGAACTCAGTAGCTCAGCATTTGGCTAATCTACGTTTATTTACGGTACATATAAAACACTCGGAGCATTCCGACTCTTTCTCATCAGACAGCAAAGAGAAAGAACAAAGGACAATAGTCCCACTTCACGGAACACATTAACACAAACTTCCTGTCTCCGTCACTTCCCACTCTGTGGAATGAAATCATACACCGTCATGTGATAGACAACAATCCCATGACTGCAAGCATGGGAAATGAATCTTCAACATGGTGGCCCTGTGAAGGCAGAAGCACACGGGAAAGAGGTTCATGTAGTTACTAGTGGCTCACAGTGGGACTGAACCAGCCACCAGGAGCCACACAGGTTCATAAGCTTTGACAAAGCCATGAAGGATGCTTATACAAGTTGCTGGCTTAAAGGAGACAATTACCCAATGCTTCCAATTTTACAGCAAGAATTCTGGGTCATTGCTGCATCCTAGCCATCCCAGTCTTTGTTCCCAAGAGTGGCACAGCCAGACTGCTGTTGCTGTGTGATTACTGGGGTTGCACTTACAGTCACTTACAGATTCACAAGGATGGCTTCAGAGTCTAAACCTAAATGGTTGGAGCAAGGGTCATTGCATTGCATTGCATTGCATTGCATTGCATTGCATTATTATATTTTTATTTATACCCTGTCTTTCCCCCGATGGGATTCAAGGCAGCTTACAGATAAAAACAAGAATCACTAAAAATGTAGGAAAAAACCAATAATTAAAAAAACATTTATCACATGGAGTCATGAATGGTTGGTGTAACAAACTTTGGGGCCACAATCCCCAAACTTTTAATTGCACAAGAATTCTTTGTTGGAACTAAATCATTAAACGTGTGAGCATATGCATGCTGCCTGCAACCTAGCTAATCTTAGAATGAACTTCTATGATCCACAAGTAAAGATTAGATTTAATCTTCTTTTTCTTCTTTTGTATTTTGACCTTCTGCCAGTTCTGTGTAACATTACATGTATGCATTTCATACATACTGATTCATACAATTCTGATTCTGATTATTCTCGCCCGCCCGCCCCCTCTTTTTTTTAACAGGGATGTGATAACCAAATGATCTGTGACATGCTGCTGAGACTGAAATCCATTGTGTATTTACCTGGTGACTTTGTCTGCAAAAAGGTGATCTTGACAACTTATATTACAAATGCAAGAATAATGAGAGCATTAGAAAAAGGAGTTCAGCTATGGGTCAAGAATAAAATTTGAACAAAATTAATCTTGGGCAAATTACATTGCGGGAAAACTAATTAGAGTGCAATTTGCAATAATAATAATGTACTCTCAAATTTCAAACTTGGCCCAGACAATATGGATTTTATTACTTATATATATGTGTGCGGGTTTGTGTGTTTTTTTTAAATAGAGTAAGAGCAACTGGAATTTAAATATGAGTTATCTATTGGCATACATTATTAGACTTCATTATTTAACTGAAATGTTGCAGACACAAAACTAGATATAAGTGTAAAGAGAGATGCCTGAGACTGAGCTGTAAAATTCTGTGATTTGCCATCTGAAAAACAAATCTGAGACACATACATTTAAATGTTCTGCGCTTTGCCAATAATGATCAGTCTCGATATAGCAATGCTTGCTGTAATGACTAGACGATAAAGTACAGCAGTTTTCTAAGTGTGGGCCAAACTAATGCTGTGTCTTTTGGGGAGAACCCAGAAATCAGGATTAGGACTTCAGCATAAGCCTAAGACTTCAGCTTAGCCTTTTCCTCCTGCACGAAGGTGCTGATGAAAATTCCACTCCCCTGCCACATCTGGAAGATGTTGTCTGGCATTTAAATGAAGCTTCCACTGGTAGCTACAGGAGCTTCCATCCTGGAACAAATGGCAACTTTTGCGAGAATAACTTTTTTTCAAGATCACAGCATGGTGGGAAAGGGTTAAAGCCCCCCCATACTGCATTCTCAGTCTTGATTGCCTCCCTGATCTCTCTCTCACACACATACCGTAGCTACTATTTAAAGGAAATAAATCAAGCACGTTAAATTCTTACATGCATTTAATGTCACATATACTTTGGCCCTGAAGTTGACAAGCGATTTAAATCTTTACCTATGTATGGCTGAGGTTTTGTTCAAATCCAGATCTATTATTTACAAAAATAATGCTCAAAACACTGGACCACACTGACTATATAAATGATGGATACACCCCAGTTTTATGCTACCTTTTCTTTTATAGTATACTAGATTACATTGATTGGAGTACATATATCATAAGCGCAGACATTTCAGTCCTGTTTGTCCAGGTATAATTGGCTTCATTTGGATGCTAATCAGCTCACAAATGAGCTGGTAAATATGCAAGAAACAGCAGATGCTTTGGTTGGTTGATTATTCTTGATTTCCTCTTTGAAATTATGCAAATGATCATTAGGAAAAATAATTAAAATGCTGATTTGCTTTGGAATGTGCAGTGTTTCATTTGTTTGGGCTGCTGTTGCTATGCTTGTCTTGGAGAATGGGAGAGGCAAGGTGAGATAGAGAGAGATACTTTTAACTAGAGTCACATCTATGGATAGTTTTTTCAACTCTGTGAAGGTTAAAATCATTCCATATCCATGGACCGACCCAAGGCATTTTGCTACCTGAGTCAAAGGACGAGGAGGAATTTCCCCCTCTCAGTTCCATGTCCAGACGATATGTCAGTCACGAGGGAAACAGACATGCGTCACTAGGGAGGGCCTTCCACAAAGAGGGGACACCACTGAGAAGGCCCTGTCACAGGTCAGAGTCAACCAGGCAGCCCCCTGTGGCAGCACCGTGATGCCACCGGCCAATCACAGGGTCTGAAGTGGCTGATACTGGGGAATTCATTCTTTTAGGCACTTAGGGCTTTGTATGATAGTACTAACCTTAATTGGCAGCCAGTGCAGTGCTTTCAGGACTTCCGGTCTCATTGGGTTGCCCCACTTATCAGTCTAGCAGCTGCCTTCTACACTAGCTGTAACCTCCAAGCCGTCTTCTAGGTCATTTCCCCCCATTGTAGGAGGCCACCAGAGAGCATGGGCAACCGAGGCCAGGCTATCCTGGTCCAGAGATACCCATAGCTGGTGAATCAGCCTAAGCTGGGCATAAGCACACCTAGCCACCAAAGCTACATGAGATTCTGGTGACACATAGGAGCCCAAACAGTGAACTTGTTCCTTCATGAGTAGTACAAGCCTACCTAGAATAGTATCTCTCTCTCAGCCTAATGATCTGTGACATGCTGGCAAAGTCACTGGGAGGATAAAATGGAGCAACCCCCATCTTGGCCACCCTGACCTCCTTGGGGGGAGGAGGAGATACCTAATTATTCATCATTACTGTATCTACAATGGGAAAACCTTTCAAAACAGGGCATAGTGATTTTACTGCACAGTTGAAGAAGCTGCTTCATCATGCCAGTGTTTCAAAGCGGAGATTCAGTTTGTGGCAAGTTCACCAGCTGCAGAAATAAGTCATGACTCTTTAAAGGATATTCTTTCTGCAATTGCGTGTCATTATCACCACTGAGCTATCATGGACTGAGAATATTTTCTTCTGCGTGTTTATACCTAGGGAGAAATTGGTAGAGAAATGTACATCATCAAACAAGGAGAGGTTCAAGTACTTGGAGGTCCTGATGGCACCAAGGTCCTGGTGACCTTGAGAGCAGGAGCTGTATTTGGAGAGATCAGGTAATGTTTGTCTATTAAATCTGTATACCACCCTTCGTCTGTAGATCTCAGGGCGGTTCACCACATATAAAAAATAATAATAAAATAATAATAAAAACAAGTACAAAAAAGAAAACACCACAAACGAATAAACTCCCCTCCCCCAAGCACATTTGAAAGGCCTGGTTGAAGAGGAACATTTTTGCCTTTGCTGTTCCATAAAGGTAAAGGTAAAGGGACCCCTGACCATCAGGTTCAGTCGTGACCGACTCTGGGGTTGTGGCGCTCATCTCGCTTTATTGGCCGAGGGAGCCGGTGTACAGCTTCTGGGTCATGTGGCCAGCATGACTAAGCCGCTTCTGGAGAACCAGAGCAGCGCCCGGAAACGCCGTTTACCTTCCCGCCAGAGTGGTACCTATTTATCTACTTGCACTTTGACGTGCTTTCAAATTGCTAGGTTGGCAGGAGCAGGGACCAAGCAACGGGAGCTCCATATGCTGTTCCATAGGGTTGACCAAATGTATATCACCACAATAAATTATCCTAATAATGTCTCTTCTATTAAACTACTCTGTAGAGCCAGTGTGGTCTAGTAGTCAGTGTTGGACCAAGACCTCAGAGACCAGGATTCAAATCCCCACTCAGTCCTGAACCTCACTGGGTGACCTCAAGCCAGTCACTTGCTCTCAGCCCAACCTACCTCACAGGGTTGTAGTGAGGATAAAATGGGGAGGAAGAGAAACCATGTGTGTGCACTGTGAGCACCGTGGAGGAAAGGTGGGGTGTGAATGCAATAAGTACATAAAATAATGAGATACCCATGTGTCATCACAAATTGTTATTAGACAGAAGGAGCACCAATGTGTGTTTGAGAAAGTGTCTCCATAATCAGGACCGGCAGGTCATAGCTGGCTTCCCATGGTAAGCAAGAAGGTTGCCGGGGTGGTTGTCTCTCTAATTTGGGGTTATGCCATGCCACCTCCATGGTGGTCATTTTGCGACAGACACCGCCACCACTCTCTCAAAATTCAAAATATGCCCATTAGTCCAAAAAAGGTTGGCTGAGAGATTTGAACCCTCTGTCTCTGGAAAAGTTTAGATCTGCTGCCTGTGAGCTGCCTCTTTGCATATTTGCATTTTGTTAAATTGCAGTTGGCACATTTTCACTGCCACGAGGGGTGCTGTAAGCAGTGGATAAATTTAAACCTGGCCCGCTGCTGTTTTCCAAAAGCAGTTTAGAGCTGTCTGCAGAAGATTAACAATAGCAGGATGGCCGCTGAAACAGAACTAGACTCCACTTTTATCGCATGCAGTAGAATTGAGTTCAGCCACCTGAAAACACTGTTAAATATTGTACTTATATATGGAGATAAGCCCTATAAAGGGGTTCTGCTTCTATGTTTGTCTGCTACACTAGCTACAGCCATTCCTGGACAGGGATAGCCTGCCCACTGTAGTCTATGCATCAGTAAACTCAAAGCTAGGCTACTGCAATGTGCTCTATTTGGGGCTGCCCTTGGGCTTGGCTTGGAAGCTCCAGGTAGTTTCGGATTGTAATGGCCAGACTGCTGGTGGGGGCATCGGGCTGAGAGCATGCGACGGCATTGTTGAAACATCTGCACATTGTTGAAACATCTGCACCCAGTTCAAGGTTCTTGTATGAATCTGCAAAGCCCTGAACAATGTAGGTCCAAGGGTACCTTAAAGGTAAAGGAAAAGGGACCCCTGACCATTAGGTCCAGTCGTGACCGACTCTGGGGTTGCGGCGCTCATCTCGCTTTACTGGCCGAGGGAGCCAGCATACAGCTTCCGGGTCATGTGGCCAGCATGACTAAGCCGCTTCTGGTGAACCAGAGCAGCACACGGAAACACCATTTACCTTCCCGCCAGAGCAGTACCTATTTATCTACTTGCACTTTGACGTGCTTTCAAACTGCTAGGTTGGCAGGAGCAGGGACCGAGCAACGGAAGCTCACCCCGTCACAGGGATTCGAACTGCCGACCTTCTGATCAGCAAGTTCTAGGCTCGGTGGTTTAACCCACAGCGCCACCCACGTTCCAAGGGTACCTTAGGGACCACCAAAATCCTTCCTATCCTAGCTCAATCCCCAAGATCATCTCCAGGAGTTAGCGAGGCAAGGCTCATTTGACAGAAGCACGAAACAGAGTCTTTTGTGTGAGCAGCACAGTCTGGTGGAATGTTCTGTCAATACTCAGCAGGTACCTTCTGTTTCAACATTTAAATGCCTGCTGAAAACTTTTCTATGCCATTAGCATTATGCAGGCAATGAAGAAAATACTTTCCATAACAGTTAGCTGATGGTCTCTGATAATATATATATATATAACAGTAAGCTGCTTTGATATTATTAACGATATAGTGGTAAATATTTTTTATAAATGTTCTCTCTGTTGTTTCAGCCTATTAGCTGCAAGCGGGGGAAATCGGCGGACTGCAAATGTGGTGGCGCATGGATTTGCCAACCTCTTCATTCTTGACAAGAAGACCCTCAATGAAATCTTGGTGCACTACCCTGACTCTGAAAAGCTCCTGAGGAAGAAGGGAAAGTAAGTCTTTACACAAATCTATAGACCATTTGCCTTAAAATGCAGAACTGGCATCTCTTTCCCTCTGTTTGTGTAGAAGAGCATTTACTTCTTAGACATGTGGTTCTTGCTGGACATGGCTGCAAATGTTGGAGGAAGGATAACTTGGGGCTAATAATGCCAGAAGATCAGGGACATTGCAAGTTATTTAAAAGACCCAGCGGACAGGCCCACAACACAAATTTCCCCAAACATATGTAGCACTTATGGACAAACTAAAGGCGGCAGGTGTTTAAAGGTAAAGGAACCCCCGACTGTTAGGTCCAGTCGCGAATGATGCTGGGGTTGCGGCGCTCATCTCGCTTTACTGGCCAAGGGAGCCAGCGTACAACTTCCGGGTCATGTGGCCAGCATGACTAAGCCACTTCTGGTGAACCAGAGCAGCGCACAGAAATGCCATTTACCTAGTTATCTACTTGCACTTTGACGTGCTTTAGAACTGCTAGGTTGGCAGGAGCAGGGACAAAGCAATGGGAGCTCACCGTTGCGGGGATTCGAACCGCTGACCTTCTGATGAGCAAGCCCTGGTGTCTGAGGTTTAGGTATCACTAATAATGTACTCTGCACCATGTGCAAGAAAAAACCAAATATTTTAAAAATAATAGAAGGGGTGAATGGCAGGAGATCTCCGGGTCATCTTTTAACAATGCATCTGCAGAAGCTACAGACCCAAACAAGCGAAAGCCAACAGAGTTGTTATTGTGTGTCAATAGTCTATTGTGATTTTTTTTTTAATTTCATGTAATTCCATTACTTGGATGACCATGTTTCTGATGTAAAAGGAATGTGTTATTTTAAAATGCAGCTTTACAATCAGGAGAGATTACACTACTGTTATAAGATTTTTCTGCTATTGACCTCTTGAGAATACCTTAAGTGTTTATCTTTCAAAAGTTACCATAATCCTTTTTGAGTTCTAGCCTTCAGTAAGAAATGCATACAAATTCTCAAAAGAATATTTGCCCATGCAGTTTCATTGGAGATCATGGGTAGCCAGCCAGTGACTATTCATCGTAATGATTGTATACAATCACCAAGTTTAAAAGTTGTATGCTTTGAGTACCAGCTCATGAGGAGCAACAAGAAGAGACAACTGTTGCCTTCATGTACTTGCTTGTTGGCTACCTAGAAACATTTGTTTCGCTACTATGAGAAATAGGATGCTAGATTAAATAGAGTCTAACCAAACTGCGAGAGGCAGTGGAAGACAGAAGTGTCTGGCATGCTCTGGTCCATGGGATCACAAAGAGTCGGACATGACTAAATGACTAAACAACAACAACCCTAAAAACCATGATCCAGCAGGGCTTTTAATGTTCATATGCCTGCTGGTGGCTAGGATACTCACTCTTACCTATTTTTTGCCCTTGCCCAGGAGGCAATTACAGATCAGACCTAATTAGGAGTCTGCATTAATTTTTTTCATGTATCTTGCCGATATAAAATAAATCAGTTCAGCTTTTCCATATTATTTCCAGAGTGGACTAATCCGTTTCTGCAAGGAATCGCTGGATTTCCTTGAATTTTTAAGCAGCCACCAGTATGCAGATTGGCGTGAGATGGCTGTTGCTGAAACTTAAAAGGAAGTCCCCCTGGTGCACGGGTCTGTGCTTTTATATGTTGCAGCTCGATTGCCTTGGGTGGCAAGGCAAATCGGTACACAAACAAGGCAGAATTATTGAATTCCTAATGGAACATGGGAGGAGGTGGGTGGGAGGAGAGAACTGTATTCAAAGCCCTGAGCGCTTTGAAGGAAACAAATGAAATACAAATAATGGAACTGGAAGCTGGAGGTCAGGTGTCGCACAAGGCTTCCCTCTCCAATAAAAGCTGATGGACGAACTGTGTGTCTTTTGCTGCCTGGCTGGGAATCCAGGATCAGGAATATTACAGGGACTGCAAAACTACTAAATAGAGAGGTGGCTGTTCAAATACTATTTCACATGCTTTCTCTCTCTCCCTCCCCCCCCCCACTTTTCCTATGATCTAGAGTGCTCATAAAGAAGGCAGGCAAGCCTGTGGGAGGACCAGCAGCACCTGCCAAAGGCTTGACCCTGTTAACACAGAAAGTAGAACCACCCAAGATGTTCCAAGCGCTGCTGGGTGGAAAAGGTGGTGGCATGGCGGCTGTTATCCAGCTGAAGAGACAGATGGAGGAACAGGTACTCACAAATGCTGCAAGTTCAATGGGGAGCCTGGAATGTGGCAGAGATAAACAGGGAGAATACCAACTCAGGGTGGGGTGGAGGTCAGGTTAGTTAGAGGAACTACCAGGAGCAAGGAATCTAATCCTCATTAAACATCCAAGCACAAGGAGATGGCAAGCATTACCATGCCATCGCACTCGGAAATGTCTGAGAATGCACATACCCTCCCACCAGATTTATAAGCAGTGGGAAATGTGCTGAGCAGCGTCTTCAAAAGGGGATGCAAGTTTTATAAACCCCTCCTGATGAAGACAACAAGGACGGTGTGTTTCAGTTCATCCCCATTAATGTAGCGATTTTCTTTCTGAAGCAGACAGCAGTGATCAGCACAGATGGAGAGATCCCCTTTCCTTCCGCCATAATCTCAAGGATCTTCCCGATTAGCTGAATTTAAACAAATAAATAATTTCATAAGATTCTTCGCAGTATGAAGAAAGTGAATTAGAGACAAACTGTTTCTTCCTCATAATTACTGGCATTTGGAACAACACAATGAAGTTTATTGTCAGCAGATTTGGGGCAGACAGAAGAAAGCTGTTCTTTATACATTAATTGCGTAACAAACCCCTGTAGTTCCCTTATATAATAAACACACACGGACAGGGATATTTTAGGTTAATGGGCTAAAATTGGTCACAACTTTATTGTGATTACAGATGTGAGTGGTTTGGTTTAGGCACTGGGTGAAACCAGAGTATATCCCGACTCCTGCCTGTCTGCAGGGAGTCACACTAAGGGTAAATCACCAGCAGCGGGAGCTCTACAACATACGTCAAATGGGGGGGGGGCAGTGTCCTGGATGGGTCATGGCATGGCCCTAGCCCACGACCAGCCTTTGGACAGGATCCACAACCCCAGATCCTTTTAACAAGATACCCTTATCGAGGAGGGGCTGGTGGAGGCAACAACCTCCCCTCCCATCACAAAGGCTAAGCCAGTTACCTGTTATGTCAGACACTGACATAAACAGGAAAATAAAGGGTTGGGGAGCAAAGGAGAGGCGCTCGGTGCTGGCTTTCATTTCTAGCTTCATAAACCATGAAATGTGGATTTATTGTCTGAGCTGAGCCTGCCCAACAGGACTTCAACCAGAGTTTGTTTAGTTTAATCACTTATAACCCAACTTTAAGATAGTTTTTCCTAAGACAGCTTGTAACAAAACAATAATAAAATGCACAGCCACACGTAAAGCGATAACCGTTAAAAATAACATCAGTTAAAATATAGACAAGTAAGCATAATATCACTCACACACAAAAAAGCCTAAGACCACACCTCTGCATTCTCACAGTGAGCCAAGGCACGTGGCTATTTTTTGCTGGGCAAGTTACCATTTGGTGACCTTTCTCCTCCAATTGCACTCGGAAATATTTTTCAGCATATGATCGTGCCTGCTTTTTTCACATGGGAGGCATTTTTTGGAGGAAATTTACCTCTGGAGAGTTCTGAGCGTGCTTGTTTATTTAAAATATTTCAGTTTATTTCAAATATCAGTATAGTATCAAAAGATCTCTCAAGGCAGTAACAGTAAAAAAAAAAAAAAGTTTAAAAAATAAAAGTCCACTGAAAAAGCAAAACTACAAATTCCAGCTGAACATTAACCACTTCCTAATGCCTAGGTGAAAAGTGCAAGGTTCTAAGCTGGTGTCTAAATGAAAAAAGGGTAGGCACATGTTGCATTTCAGAAGGGAGGGAGCTCAACGGTTGAGGTGCCATCACAAAGAAGGCCCTGTCTTGCATCGCTACATCATGTGACTGATGCAGACTCCACTAATCTCAGTAGAACATTTATAGACCTTCAAAGACAATGTCAAGCCGCTCTGAAATCAATGTGGGTATCCCTTTAGCTGTGCTTGATGGATTGTACTCACCTACTATGCAGAGAGCTCTTAGGTGTGATCTTAATTTCCTGTCAAGCATCCTTCTTTAACAACATTTAATTGTTTTTGTTACAGGAGGAAAAAGAAAAGGAAGAACAAGCAAAGAAAGAAAAAGAAGAACGAGAAAAGGCGGAAAAGGAAAAGAGAAGTTAATATTTAACTGTTTTTGTTTCAGGAGGAAAAAGAAAGGGAAGAACAAGCAAGGAAAGAAAAGGAGGAACAAGCAAGGAAAGAAAAGGAGGAACAAGAAAGGAAAGGAAAGGAGGAACAAGCAAAGAAAGAAAAGGAACGAAAGGCAGAAAGAGACAAAAAAGAAAAAGCCAAGCCTGAAACCAAACCTACAGAAATAAACCCAACACAGCCTCCAGAGGCCAAAGAGCCACAGATGCAAGTGGAACCATCTGCCCATAAGGAAGAACCAGCTCCCAGCAGCCAGCCAACACCACCGGCTCCTCCTAAACCAAGTTTGCTCAGAGGAACCACTAACCAGTCCCTTATCATTAGCATGACTCCTTCCAGCACCCCAGGAGAAGGAGATATTCTTACTGTTGAAGTCAAAGTGAGGGATAAAGTATAACTGGTGGATCCTCTTGCTGTGCATTGTACCCAGTTCTGGGTGCCCAATTCAGTTTTACAGGACCAAATCTGCTTATTTTTAGATACATGTTTCTACTGAAATTAGTCAGCCCCCCCCCCCCAGTTTGCATCTATACGGGTTCCTCACACCTATCTTAGTATAAAAAACATAGGGCCTCTCCCTTCTGCGCCTCAGCTGGAGAAAATGGCCTTTTGGAAGGCCTTTCTTCATTGGGACTGCCATCTTGGGCCAAATTATCCCCACCCCCACCCCGCCCCGGCTGAGACAAGTTTGATGGGGAACAGGTTTGCTTGACAGTAGAGGAAAAAGCTCTCTGGCTGGTTCGCTGCTATTGAAATTGTCTCCTACATCCTAAGAAGCAGCTCTGCTTTTGTGGAGTATTACACAGCCCTTGGAGAGCAACAAGATGGGTATGAGAGCTCATAATAGGTTCTCCCCAGTAGAGTTCTTTCCTTATGGCCCTCCAACCTGTTTCACTATTTCATTTAGAGCAGCAAGCCTCCAGAGTAACAGGCCCATTTCTTCCTCTCCTCGGCTAATAAACCACTGTTGGCAGAAAGGTCAGCTCCTACCTAACTGAGCTGTTTTAAACCCAATCTGCTGCTTTATGAGCCTTTTTCTGTTCTAATGTCATCAGATTAGGGAAAGGAGCCCAGCAAGAGGACATCAGTTAACCCTTGTGCTTCACATTTGCTCCAAAGTATTAAAATATCTGTGGCAGAGCAAAAATTCAGAAAAGGTTGCTGCAGAGATATTAGCATATTAGCAAATTTTGATTTCTCTCCTCTTATCATTAGGACCCTGTGGTTCTGTTCTCCAGAGAGAAGTAACCCATGCCTTTTGGGGGTAATTATTTCTGGAACTAGGCTAAGAAGAACATTTTTAAGACGACTGAACTTGCAGCTACTCCTAATGAAATTTTTGCATAAAGAAAGTAAAACATGGTTGAGGAACAGCCATAGAGTGGGCTTCCCACTGGACTATTAACCAGACAAAGAAATCTGGATACCCACTCCATATGTTCATCCTGATTTAAATTAAAGTAGATGTCTTCTATCTGTTCTGACTGAAGCTGGCTCTCCAGGACCAAAGTTTTCCCCCCTGCAGATTTATTCATTTAAGGCGTATTTACCCTGCTCTTAGCACAAGAAAGTTGTGACGGAGTGATGTGGTGGCTTGGGCGCCTGCAGGCTTCGCGCTGCCCCAGTCTGCCTGCTGACTCCCCCTCAGCTGTAGGGCGACTGAGGGGAGGATGCAGGCAGACTCCTTGGAGGCCCCACGGAGTGTCCTGCCCCGGGTGGCCCCACCCCTGGGTGCAGGGCACATGCGCCACCCCAGGCGCCTGATCGGCTTGCTCCGCCGCTGACAGCCCCACCCCCTATTGGGCTTCTATGTCAACCCCTCTTCTTTCATTCTGAAGAAACTAAAGTTAGCATAAAGACCCCAAAATCTTTTTCAGAGAAAAAAAGGTTGTTGTCAGTTTAGTGCCAGACCACAAGTTTGAAAATCGCTGATCTACAGGAACACAGGACTGTTCATTATGAAATATTGTTGCTAAACTTCATAGTTGTCTGCTTGTTTCCCTCTCTTCATTCCAGTTTTCTCTACCACTGATTTGTACTTTGTTATCTCACAGACAAACATTTGTAATTTATGTAGTTAAAAATCCCTGAAAGGCTTGGATTCCAAGCTGCTCCTTCAAGAATGGTAGCTTTCCAACCAGTTCCCCAATCTTGCCCCAACAGCCTCTTGCATCATATTCTGCCCCATTGTAAGGGTCCCCCAACACTCAGGAGCAGATTTTCAAGGGGTGGCAGGAGGCTTCAGAGAGAAAAGGAATGAGGGAAGGCTCTTGGAAAGTTAGAATACAAGCTAATTTCTTAAAAGCGCAAAGCAGGGACATTATTTCTATTTTCTGTGAAAGCCACAATAATCAGCAAATGCATATTCAGAGCTTTAAAAGATGACACAAGACATTAGAATTGCTGAGGGGCATAAGTGGAGTTTAATATACTGTGTTATATGGCATTAAGATAATGTTACACCTGAAGCTAACTTCAAATACAAGAAACTGTATTACACAAGGAATAGTGTTGTGCATAGAAATACCGTACACCGTAAGATACTTTCTTCATAAAGCTATATTTTGCTTTGAAAATATACAGGAAAAGTAGATTCCTTTCGTTACAAAAGCAGCTAATGATCAACTTCCACCACAAGGTGGTGCTAATGCATAACTCATGCTGAAGAGACAAATGGAGGCGATAAAAATAAGCTTTGACATTAAGGAAATACTGTTAATATTTCTGGGGATGCTGCTTTTGGAATATTTTTTTTAATATATATACTGAGTTCTGGTCCACCCCTATTTAGGTCCGGAAGTCCATTACAGTATAAACTTGGCAGATTCAAGCCACACTGTACCTATTAAAGGCCTGTTATGAGATGAGAAATACACAGTACAGAACAGACACTGAATGGACTGGAATGCATGTGGGAAATAGCAACCATATAAGATGCTGTTTTCTCATTCACTTTGGAATGAGATGTGTGAACCATTAACGAAAGTAGACAGGGATGGTTTTTTTCCAGACTTTGCTACAGAATACTGCTGCAGTTATATGGGCATTTGATTCACACAGAGAAAGAAGAATAACTGAATTTCAATTTAGTGATCCTCAAAACTTCTGGACTTTAAAAACAGCAAATACAAGGTTGACTATAATCCACTAAATAGTAATTTCAAAACAACCCTGAATCCAGTTTTGCTTTGCTATCCAGTAAATGAGAAACCATGATGTATATAAAAACTTGCAAAAGGCGACATAACAAAAAATAAAAGTTATCAATGGTCTGAGAACAAGAGACAGTTCAATGTAGTCTATCCACTATAGGAATAAAACATTCAATCACAGCAACAGCTGATAATTCCAAATACACCACTACTTTTGATTATCCAGAGTAGATACATTTGATTGAACATAATAAACATCAATCTGACACCCTTGAGTTTTAACATGACCACAAGGCAAAGCATGGAGACTGAAGGCATATGGTTCCAGCCTCAGAGGAATAATGTGCATCTAGACCCTGAACAATCATTTACAGGATGTGGATCTGACCCACACTTTTTCTTACTACACAATTCACAATCATTTTCAGACACCTCAGTCCAATCTATGTCACTCTAGAAGTTAATAAAAAAAGTAAGTGATTCCCCAAAGGCAACAGTGAAGAACGAACAGAATAATCTAATTAGTTCTTGTGCAAAAGGGAAAAACAACAACACAAATTCAATCATTCTGGGCCAACTGTGCTCTAGCACAAATGAGAGGCATCCTAGAACTAGCTAAACCAAGACAGCGTAAAAAATTAAAGTGAAAAAAGAATACAGGTTCAGTAGCATATACACCTCTCTCAATAGACAGCTATAAAATTGAGAAAAATACTCTATCAAGGAAGGGTCCTTCCTCATTGGCACATACTGGGCTTCTTAGTCCACAACAAGTCACATGCTATTACTTTCTAGTCAGATTCTCTAAAAGTCAACTAGCTTCGTAATACAGTGGACGCTCGGGTTGCGAACGTGCGGAATGAACGTGCGGGATGAACATTTGCAACCCGCAGCAGCATGTCTGCGAGCGCACCGGTTGCAATTTGGCGCTTCTACACATGCACGGCCGCCAAAACCCGAAGTAACCCATTCTGGTACTTCCGGGTTTCGGCGGTCCAGAATCCAAAAAAACGCAACCTGAAGTGTCTGTAACCCAAGGTATGCCTGTATGATATACAGTCAAAGAAAACCATGTTAAATTTATATCTTCTGTGTTGCAACTGTTGGCAACATTGCATAAACATGAGATGTTTGATTTGAAAAACAACCAACATGATTTACATCTGAAAGTCTTACTATAGCTCATTTCAAGGTATCACTCTATACTCACTTTTCACTGTTTCATAATGATACAAATGTTCATAAATGGCCAAGAAAGACAACATATTAGTCATTTGGGGGTGAGGGGAGAATGAAGACAGACCTTTACACTCTGCCCTGGTCTTGATGCTTCTCTGCAAATGGTTGAACATTTTATATTAAGCTTATGCAAGCTTTGAGCAGCCAAGGCTCTCTTAAAGGAGGAAGTCAAGATGGGTACAGCGCACTGCTTTCAAAGGCACACTAAAGCTCTGTAGCTGGAGGCACACGGTGTTTTGTCCTGCGCACTATAAGCAGCCAAAGGGGTGATGGCATGGCAAAAAAGCAAACTGGCATGTTCTTCCTGAAGATGTACATAGTTTGAGAGTTTTGTTAAGTCTAAATAAAGTTTTCAGTCTCACTTGCAATTGACTGTTAAAGCAAAATGGCATCTTTGGCGACCCAGAACAAAAAAAGAAAGAAAGGAGTATCTGAAACAGTTTATGCATTTTATGTGTTGTATCAAAAGGTTCTGTCATCCACCCTGGCCTGTTGGCACTGCAGAGGAAGGTGGTGAAGACATTCCCCACATAAGGAACTGGATACTCGGGGTCAGCTGCTCAGCTCCCATCTTGCTTTGCTGCAGGGTTGTTTGGAGGCTGGAGCTTGAATGTGCTGAAGTAGTTCACCACTTGCTGAGGCACCTCTGCCAGGACACTCTGAGCAAGCGCTTCTTTGGGAGCCTTATTCAAAGGAGAAACAGAGTGAACATCGGAAGTCAAGCAAAGAAAGCACACGATCTAGTCCCTGCTGATTTGGGAAGATCAACTTAAAAGCCATTTCCTTGAACACACACCACACAATGTCAGCCAAAGGTTTACTTGCCCATTTGGTCCCACCATTAATCTGTATGGGACGACACACTGGATTTTATTATTTCATTACCGTTTACTATGAAACCCCCTAAGCCACTTGACTAGTTCATACCTATAAAAGCTGGCTGGCTTAATGTAATTTAGATAATCTACAAGATGGTTACCAGATCAACTTAAGATAAGAATATCCAGGGAGAATAACCATTATGTAATGCCCATAAAAACTGCCACTAGCCAGGGCAGTTAACATGCCATAAAAATTAAGCTGCTGAGGTTGGTTAATGACTGTAATTTCTTCCAGTCTATATAGCCCTAACCTTTCCCTGAAGCATTACTTAACCAGAACTTCTCCTCCAAGGGCATTTCAAGTTCCAAGCATGAGATACTAGGAAAAACAGAGCCTGTTTATAGTAAGTGAATCCTGTTACATGCAGAGTGATAAAGGCAAACTATTAACTACCAAGTTAAAGTACAACCTACAGTGGCAGCGCATTAGAATGTAAGGGATTCCCCCCCCCTTGCCCTACGGCAGTTTGCCTAAACAAATAATGAAAAGTAAGGAACATTGATGCCCTAATTTCAGCTTTTCAGCAGGGAGTGGAAATGGAGCATAAAATGTGCAGAAAACCTATTATGAGATTTCACACACAAACAGGTCTTCAGAAAAGGGCTCTCTGGAAAGCAAAGGCATTTTTGCTTTCCAATTTTATTCTACAAATAAAATGGCTATAAGTGAAATGATATTTACACAATAGACTGTGTGTCTGAATAGGAAGAGGAAATGTCTGCCTTTTATTTCACTCTGGGGTAACTGATGAGCTTTGCCTTCCATATCATTTGACTGTAATAGGAGCCTTTCTTACATTTAAAAAAAGGAAAATACCCTTCCTTTTGGGACACAATATTCTTTTATCCATGAAATGCACTAGCCAAATTACTCAATTCTTCTGTAATAGGGTAGATTCTCAGCCACAGTTACTAACAGTATCATGTTTAGATCAAACAATTATTCAGAGACCAGAATTATAATCTTTCATCCTGTTTTTGTTTTTCAATTATTTTGCTCACAGGAGGGGCAACGGATACATAAAGTCCCAAGTCTTTATGCAAAGCTTGTTAGGCTGCACAGCCAGTCCTGCAACAATCTGGTTCATATGCAGGCTACATATAGCAGTTGGGTGTCTCCTAAACATCTCAATCAAATCATCAGCTGAAGGTCACAGCACATCCCAGGAGGCCCTCTGGCCTCAGGTTTCTTCACTTTCACACTGCCAGAGGAAATGGTCATTGATAAATTTCTCAGTACAGTCCCACCTAAGAAGGAACATATAAAGCTGCTATCACACTGGTTCATGAAGCGTCTTCTTTTCCTCTCAACCAACTCACAGTCCAAGATGCTCAAGCAGAGCACTCTGTACTGGTTTATAAGTGGTAGACAATTTTTACTGGAGCACTGTCATTAAAAAAACCTCTACTTTCCCGTTCCTCATTATATCTCATCATGCAAAAAGCTTCAGACCCTACTTGTTTGTGTGTGTATATAAGATAATTCACATGTATTTAGACCAGCAGCAACTGGCTTTCTGGGAGATTTCCATAGCTCTTCTTGAACTGCAGTCACACAGATCTTTTGTTAACTTTGTAAGCCAAAAATGCCAAAGCTATTGGATCTCACATCAGAACTCCAAGATTCTGGCTGAATCATTCTGCTATAATCTAACAAGCATTAAGGGTGTAATTAGAAACAGTACTTACATTCTGGAACTGTCGAAATGGCACAAATTGAACGATGTCTCTAATAGCAGCCTCTCCTGAAAGAGACCTCAGAGCCCCACTGTCACTGTCAAGGAATTCCATGGCACTGAAATCAGCTCCTCCGACACCAACAATTATAATGGACATGGGAAGCTTAGCTGCGTTAACAATGGCAGATCTGGTCTCATCAAGGTCTGTTATCACCCCATCAGTGATGATCAGGAGCACAAAATATTGCTGTTGAACAATTGGATACCTTGTTAAAACTGAGAACAGAAATAAACTCCTGAAATACAGTCGCAGGTGGCACTGATATAGAGGCACCCTTCTATCAAAGGAAAAGGTTGGTACAGAATGAGATTCATTCAAGGCTCAAAGACTTTATGAGGGGAACAATTCTTACACAATCCCAGGCCAATTCTATGGATATATCAACTCTCAGGAGATAATTATCTGACCCCACCAGTGCCTAAAACTGAAGCTGTCTTAAAGTTGAAGCTTTGATTCCACAACAAAACATTTAATTAAGTTTCCTCCATAGGGGTCCAGACATGTTAAATGCCCACGTTTTGTGCTTGTCACCAACCCTACTTCTCATCCAGGAGTGCAAAAGTAGATTCTTGCTGCCAACACCACACTTGGCATCAGGCTCAGCAATATAGCCTCCCCTCCCTGCATGAAGGGTCTGGCCCCTCAGGGAATCCTCAGGACTTGAACCCACTAACTCCAAAGCCACTGGTGCACCACTCCCAAACACCCCTTTTCAGGGCTTGCTGCTTGCTACCCTCCCCACCTCCACATTAGTAGTGCTCCTCTCTCTGAGCAGACAGACACCTAAATGGTATCTCCCCCACCATCAATGTCCGGGGAGCGGGGTTGGATTTCCCTCCAATAATAGATGAGTAAGAGCATGCTCATTTAGAAATTACAAAGGACTTACAGAAGCTGTTTTTTGCTGTGTAGCTGCAGCAGCAAACCTAGCCACATGATTTATTATTGGAGAAAAGTTGGTGGGCCCATACAATCTTACTTGAGGAAGACAGGCCCGGTATGCATCCACAATGCCTTGGATTCCTGGGGAAGTTAAGTAAACATTCTTCACTACATTTCAATATTAGCATCTCTTCCACAGCTTTAATGACACTCTAGTGTACTGAAGTTTCAGTAAGCATATATAGATACATAAATGAAAGGGTGTCCTTATGGAAGGATTTGTCAGATTCACAGCCCCATACTGCTGCTTATCTCAGGCATGTATGGGTAATTGGCCTAGCTAGCAGAATAGCGTATAAAACTTAAGATTCCAATAGTGTGGTGATGGGGCAGGGGGTGGGGGATGCTGAGGTTTACAGGACAGTAATTAAGACTTGGGATCTTTGAGGCTAAACGGACAGTACCTCTCTTAGAGGAGGTTCCTTTCAGATTAGCAAGTATGGCCTCAAACATAGCAGCACAGAGAGAACAGAATTACTATTAACTTCAAGTGCTTGCAGTGGGTAGTAAACACACACTCATTTCAATTCTTTCTTCCACAAGTACTAATTAGACAGAATGAAACTTGGGAAGAAACTGTAACCTACCCAGGCCTCTCATTTATGTGACAATTTTAATAAATAATATCTTCCCCTATCTTCATTTTGGGTTAAGACCTGACAGCTTTGATCAGATTTATTTCTTCCAGTTGACATTTCTTTCAATTATACAATGTTAACGAACCACTGTTTATGCGCTGTGTAACTTTTTAGTTACCTGATTTTATTCTCTCTGCTGGGAATTTTTAGGACACAAGTTGTTACTTGTGATATTGTCATTTTAGGATATTGTATTTTAGCATTTAATGATTGTGTGCCCCCTGACAGCCTTATATAAATATAGCAAATTTAAAAAATAATGGTGCTAGTTCAAAAACCTACAAACTGAGCTATTGTCTCCTTGCTCTGACGTACAATAAACCTAGAAATGCCAGGACATTTTTAAACATCCGTAACTTAATTTTTTTCAAACTTACCACTGCAGAATGGGTTTGATGGGTTAAAGTTTAATGGAAACTCATGCGACACCTGTAAATATATGGAAGATGTTCCAATTATTTTATAGGTCCATTTCTAATCAGGCAGGCTTTGGGTTTTTTTTTTACAAAACTGTTTCACCTTACCTGGTAAGAGGGAGGAATCTGAGCTCCAAACCCAAAAGCTGGGAACATCTTATCTCTATAAAAGCAATTTAGAGCAAACCATTATAAACAAGTCACTGTTCTACATTCTTTCACAAAATAAAAGCATAAATCTCTTGCTTGCACTGCTATTAAATGCTAAAGTCACTTTCATGAACGCAAAGTTCCCTGAGGGAAAATTTCCCATCCCCATCTCTCCCCAGCAGACCCCCTTTTTCCAAGAGGGATCCCCTGACCCTTTGGAAAGGCTTTCTAGGTGAGCTGAAAGACAAAACCAATTAAATCAGCCAGCTACACTGGTGATTTGTAAAACGTGACGAAACAGTACCATCAACTATCTGCAAAATAAAACACAATCCATTCAGAGCAGGATCTGTAGTACAGTGGTACCTCGGGTTAAGTACGCAATTCATTCTGGAGGTCGGTTCTTAACCTGAAACTGTTCTTAACCTGAAGCACCACTTTAGCTAATGGGGCCTCCCGCTGCCGCCACGTCGCTGGAGCACGATTTCTGTTCTCATCCTGAAGCAAAGTTCTTAACCTGAAGTAATATTTCTGGGTTAGTGGAGTCTGTAACCTCAAGCGTATGTAACCCGAGGTACCACTGTACAATCTTCATATATTGTCAACATAATTACTCTAATGATACTAATTCATTAGACGCTAGAACTGAACTGCTAAGTCTAGACAAAATTTGCACTTCCCTTCACCAAGAGAATATACCAGTGAGACACATTCTGTTCTAACACATCTACATTTCTCAACGAAGTCAGGACAAAAAGAAACCAGAACTCCACCTTTCTGGATTAGACAAGTTGGAGAGAAAAATGAGCAGGTTTTTTTTTTGGGGGGGGGGGAGCTGTTATTTTATGTGTGTGTGTGTGTGTGTGTGTGTGTATGTCACAAGTTCTGAGTTATGTCATAATTCTAAATGTGTGTGCTTTAATTTTAATATACAAAAGCACATTGAGAACAAGACTAGCAGAGAAACTTACGTATCGTAGTCCTGAATGACCATCCCAACAGACCAAATGGCAGTCAGGTATTCATTCACGCCATTAGGGCTGATGTAATGTAGGGAATTTGGGGAGCGAGGATCTCCATTCGAGCCAGTAAAGTCAATGCCAACCTGTCGAAAGGTACAGACATCACTGATGTGAATATTACTTTCTGCTCAGAATTGTACTAGCACTGCTGTATTTTTAGGACCTGTCCTATTTTTCTGATCCTAAGTTGTTTTAAATTGTATTTAATGCTGTATTTTAAACTGTTGTAACCTGCCCTGGGACCTCAGGGTGAAAGGCAGAATAATATTCGTAATCTTAACAACAACTATTTGAAAAACTGGGTTGGGCAGGGAGAACCTGAGAGACATCAAGGCTGAGGAAGCATGCAGTTTACTTAGTTTTAGTTTTGCTGTTGAACTGACAAAACAAGCATAGAATGGACCAAGCTGAGTGAAACATGATTACTGTGGCACAAATCTCAATTACTCATTTGACTGAATAAGTCTTCCCTCCAGCCACTCTTCTAAACCTAAAAATTACTGGGAGCACCTTCCTAGAAAATCAGGCTAACCTTTCTCACGAAGTTGTTGCAATGATAAAATAGGAATGGGGGGATGAGAGCTGTGTTGTACTGTTGTACTGTTTTATTGTTGTTAGCCGCCCTGAGCCCGGCTTCAGCTGGGGAGGGCGGGATATAAATAAATTATTATTTTTTTATTATAATTATAGTTATTATTTTTATTTTTATTATTATTTTTATTTTAAAGGATGGCAGAATTTAAAAAGCCATACTAAATAAGGATCTAGAGTTGCCCACTCCTGCTCTAGCTCCTGCTCCTGTGGGGATTTACAGCAACTCCTGATCCTAACCAACAGTTTTCACACAAATCAGGTATTCTTTTTTTTACTTTTCTAATGTACAGATCCTCCTTGACTGCAAGCCTCCTATACCTCAACTTCCCTCCCCCATTAGGAGGGAAGCACCAACATATTCCACACCATGCATGTTCTATATGCTTCCTCACCCACAGTGCTTAGTAGCTTTCAAGCCAACGGTTCATATCGCAGCTAGTTCTGGTTAGGATCTTTATTATAATCCAGTCTTTGGTTCTGGTGCGACAACCCCACACGATTATTCTCAAGCGGATTTGGTCCCCTTTCTTCTCTTAAAAGAGCTGAGCTACAGCTTACTTACAGTAAAATTCAGCTGGCACCCTCCCATGATGTAGTCAAGGAAAGTACACTCCATTATAATCTGCAAAAAAAATCAATCATCAAAGCACTCAGTGATACACTCAGGAACATAGACCTATTAGGATAAGGCAATTACCGACGCACCTAGTTTTTGGAGGAGGAAAACAAGAAAAAAATATTCTGAATCTCAGAAGCCAAAACAGCAAGGGGGATCGCTGCGCAGTGAAAGCAGCAATTCCTCTTGCTGTTCTGGCTTCTGGGATAGTTGCGCAGCCTGCATTTGCTCCATATGATGCACACATATTTCCCCTTACTTTTTAGGAGGGAAAAAGTGAGTCTTATAGAGCAAAAAATACGGTAATTGGTTTGGTTTCAGAACACAGTGACACCCCTACAGTCAATGCTGAGCCCTTTAGCCATCAGCATGGGTTTTCAACTTGGCGTAGGGGGGCAGAGGAGAGAGAGAGGAAAAAAGATTTGCAATGATGGCAGAAGTGGCAATAATGTTAATGAAGAGATGGACTTAATATACAAGCTAGATGATTGAGGCAGACAACCACAGTTCAATAGAAGTCCGCTGCAGATGCAGCACCGTGCATGAAAAAATCCTGACAACACAGGACATAATGGTCTGTCCACCTGCCCAGTCAGGTTGTGTTTCCATATACTTCTAGATCATGATTCAGTGCTATGCAGATGAGCTTCAATGCGTTTGAATTAAGCACTGAGAAAACAAACTCCCCACTCTCATCTTCTCCTACTGAACGGCCAAGACCAGTTCTGCAGAACTTAGTTTTGCTTTTAAAGAATCTTGTTTTAGCATTACAGAGTGTGTATACTCACACATACAGTGAACTCAGAGCTTGTATTTCTTGACAGAGTGAAGAGGGAGGGAATAGGTGGGCATATGATACTGGCCCAGGACTGAGCACACTAAAGGAAGTGGCTGTGTGCTTTTGCATGAGCATGCTGAGAAACACTTCTCAAGTGGTTTCATTAAAAATATATGTATATACACAGCTCTTCCTCTAAATGATACCAGTTGTTCACAATACAAAACACAATGCAATAAAAGTATCTGTTCCTATGTTGTGCAGGGATCAATAAGACCTATTATTTGTACTACAGTGGTACCTCCTGTTACTAACAGGATCCGTTCCGGAGGCCTTGTTGTATCCTGAAGATTTAATAACCGAAGGACTGCTTCTGCTCATGCGCAAGCGACAAACCCACTTCCGGGGTTGCCGTGTTTGCAACCCGAAGATTATGTTACCTGAAGGTAACATAACCCGAGGGTCCACTGTACTATGCATCAACTTTTGGCTATTTAAAGTAATTCTATATTGACGGATTGTAGATTTGTTAAAAATAAAAAGAGCATTGGCAAGCAGTACTACTTTATTCTATTTAGTATTTAGAAGTTTAACACCCTTGCCCTGACTAATGGAACAATCCAGAGACATATTTTAAGTACAGTTAGCTGTCTAAATCCCAGTGGATATCTATGGATGCCTCATTTTCTCAAGACTGCGGCCCATGCCTTTATGCTGGGATGATACAATGTCAAATGTGATTATTACTGCTGTAAACTTAACAACTGAATGAGAAAAAATTTGATACTGACCTCACAATGTTTAACACTCACAATGCCTGAATTTCTGTAGCTTTTCTTCTTTTGCCTCTTCTTCTCATTGATGCATTCAAATTCAGCCTACAAAACAGCAGCAGGGCAAAAATTGCACATATTAAGACTGATATCCTAAGCATACTTACTTCAAAGTTTACAGAACCTGAGATAGTCTGGGACCCTTTAGCAATATTACATTCTGCCACTTCTAGATTTGGTCTATTTGCAGCAAGGAATGGCTTAGTGTTATGAAAAAACAGCTTGTAAGTTCCCCACTTTCTCTCCAGCACAACTGCAAGGAAGTAAGCAGAAGCTTTTTGTCTACCAGTCACAGTTTGATGCTGTGCATGTTTATTCTTAAGTATGTTTTAGGAGTGGGATGCAGGTGGCGCTATGGTCTAAACCACTGAGCCTCTTGGGCTTGCCGATCAGAAGGCCGGCTGTTCGAATCCCCACGTGAGCTCCCGTTGATCAGTCCCAGCTCCTGCCAAACTAGAAGTTCGAAAGCACGCCAAAAAGTACAAGTAGATAAATAGGTACTGCTCTGGCAGGAAGGTAAACACTGTTTCTGTGCGCTGCTCTGGTTTCGCCAGAAGCAGCTTAGTCATGCTGGCCATAGGACCCTGAAAAACTGTTTGCAGACAAATGCGGCTCCCTCGGCCTGTAAAGCGAGATGAGCGCCACAGCCCCAGAGTTGTCTGTGACTGGACTTAACTGTCAGGGGTCGTTTACCTTTACCTTTTTTATGCTTTAGGAAAACAAGTCAACTTCAAAACATAGTTGATCTATAATTTGTTCAGGTTCAGACATTAATCACAACTATGTGGTTAGTTCAAAACAAACCAAAACTTGTGTTTCCTTCCCTAAAGCTGTGCTAAAAGAGAGGGGAAGGGAGCTGTGCATGTATTACTTAATATAATAAAATAATAAAATAAAATAATAATAATAATAATAATAATAATAATAATAATAATAATAATAATAATAATAATAATTTATTATTTATACCCTGCCCATCTGGCTGGGTTTCCCCAGCCACTCTGGGCAGCTTCCAACAGAACACCAAAATACAATAACGTGTTAAACATTAAAAGCTTCCCTAAACAGGGATGCCTTCAGATGTCTCCTGCAATGTGGATTTGCACAGTTTCCCTTAAAAGTTGTTCAGAAGCTGCAACTGCTGCAGCCTGTTATCAGATACAACCATATAGGATCATGTCACTCTGATTCTGAAGGCACTACAATGAAACACTAAACTTGGAGTACAGAAGCTTTATGGAACACCTTTCCCAACACTTGCCACCCTAAACCTTAAGATCAGCTGAAGAGAGTCCTTGTTCATGGTCCCACCACCTTGTGCAGCAGGTAGGACCGTGAAACCTGATGGTACAGATTGGAGTTAAGACCTAGTGTTGTTGTTTTTACAAGTTGTATGAATCTGTGTTCTATTTTATAGTATTATTATTAAAGCTGTATGTTGTGCTGTAATCCATCGAATACTCTGATCTGAAGGAAGGCCATGCATAAAAACTCTAATAAATAAGGAAGGGCCTGTAGAGAAGAGAAAGTGGATTGCCTAAGGCTACCAGTGAGGTAGAGAGGGAAGTAAAAGAACTTACTGGTGAATGTCGCGACGCTTCCTTCAGTTTTGATAGTGTGGTCTGAAAGGTCCCTATGAGATCATGGGACCCATCACTGTCATAATCATAGCACTCAACCTAAAAAAGAAGCATTCTTTGTTAACCCAGTATGTTGTGGTTACAGCACTGACACACCATGTAATTTAACAGAGCAAAAGAGAAGAAATCGTGTGCTTCAGGCTTTTGCCACTTCTGAGTATTAGTCTCAAGATAATTAGGCAGGCAAGACTAAAACGCAGCAACAGTGACCTACAGAGCCAAAACTGTAGTTTCACTGAAAATACGAAGCATGCGTAATAATTGTTTTATGGCTCCAACTTCAAATGCCACTTATGTGTACAATGTGTATTTCACATTTATTTTAAACAATTCTAGTTACTTTTAATTATACCTCACACTGATGTTCCTTGGGCCCATTGCCACTCCTACTCAAGTATGGCAAGAGCATCACCATATTAGGTTAACACACATGCACATGCACTCTCCATCAGTGCAAACAGCATGCAGACACTGCTATGACCAAGGAGAATCTGTGAAACAGATTTTCATGTAATGACAGCACATAGAATTAGAGTAAAACTGAATTCAAGGGTAAGGAATAAGACCAAAAACTTATCTTTTAGTATGAGCTCTTAAGAACTTTGCCAAATTTTGCATTACTATAGCTATATTTCATCTTATTAACAAGTTGATGTTTAACCCAATATACTAACAGTTGATACAGCCTTCTCAAGCTTGCACTTGTTTTTGTGAGATATTCACATTTCCCACCCACAACAGAACTAATGAATGACTACATGCCTGCTCCTAGTAAGAGAAGCCTTCAATGACTCACTTCAACACACACACTTCAGGAGGAAATGTAATGAGATATCAAAGCAAGTTGTTTGTGTATTATAACTGAATACACAAACAGCCATTTTAACACAGAGAAAGGCATTTGTGATGGGTAGAGCTTGAAAAATGTTTTTACTTACTACAATTAAATAGCCAGTTACATAAGACACTGTGTGCATAAAGTATTAAAGAATTGTGTAATTAGTCATTACAGTATAAAATGTTTTCCCTTATTCATTACAGCAAAGAAGTTTCATTTTAAACTGTTTCCACAAGGTTGCAAGACTCTATTTCACCTTTTTCTATTTCCTCAGGAAGATGTAACATGGCAGGCCAGATTTTGATTACAATGGCACAGACCTGCATGCATATGAGGTTTTTCTGTATTCCGTTTGCACCAAAAAAGTTAAAACAGTTTATTAGAAAACTGCATTTTAGCTCATGAAGGGGCAAAAATAAACCAGCAGGGGTTGAAATTTACTTTGCTACAGAATTAGAATTAGAATACAAAACATAATCATTACATATAGAAACATACAGAAACAAACTAGCAGTGTTTTTATCATTATGAGAATAGATGGTGAACATATCAATGAAGGGGCAATCCTTTGGCCGGGGTGGGGTGGGGTGGGGGTGAGGTCCAAGAGGCCAGTTTGTTTTGCAGATCACCCTCTCTATGGGCATAGAGACCAAAAGCCTAAGTTTGCAAGCTGACGTGGAGAAGACTGATGACAGCAGATAAGGTGAATTAAAAGGGAGTTCTGTAGGTGGCTTGGGATCCAAAGTCTTCCTATGTCCTTGATATGCACCCAGGATGGCAAGTGGAGGGTGGGGTGGGGGTGGGGCAGGGGGCTAAGTGCATCAGCTACACTCCAGACATGCACACCTTTTACAAGATCAGGGCTTGAGATCTGGTGACTCTACAAGATTGCTGTGGGACCGGTTACCAAGTCATGATGAAATGAGCATTAATGAGCTGAAGAAAACACCCTTCATCAATGCAAGTTAAAGAGAGGAAAAGATTATCATAATAAAGGCAAAAGGAAACAAACAAGGACAAACTACAGCTTAAAGTATTATTAGGCGACTCTTGGGTTACAAACACAGTGCTAACTCTAGATTTAATGAAGCTATGAATGCTGGGTAATACACAGCTTTAAGAATGCTTCTTAAAGCTTAGTTAAACAATTTACTTTACAGGCACCACACCCATTCTATAGAATTCTGTAGTCCAGTAAGATATTTGATCTTTAGAGAAGCATGTTAAGTGTATGCAATGTGTTTAAACAAAAAAGAAGGAAGTCCCATTTAACAGCTCAGGTATATTCTCTCCACATCACGGTATTCAAACACCCAGTAGCTGCTATTTCTGCTACTGCCAACAAACGTCTACATTTTCAGAAAAGGATCATACCGACAGCTCACTTGTAGCCCATATAACCCACAAAAATGTAATTGTAAATACTGAGGGTGAAATTCAACATGGAACTTAGGGAATCATTCTATCAGCGCAAGTATTTCTGCTTGCCTGACAGAATGGTTTTCCCTCTCCTCTCCCTGGATCCTGTTCTGGGGTTTTTTCCTGACCCTCCAGAGCAGATTTGGGAGAGGCCCAAGGGCACAGGGAGAGAAGAGAGGGTGGGAAAGGCCCTGTTGTTCTATCAGAAGTCCTTGGGCTATCTTCCACTAGAAGGACTGGGTAGATGAATCCGGCCCTGAACAGATTTTTAAAAAATAGTTTTTGAGTCTGTTCACATGACATGCTAAGTCAAATGTTGACTTAGCAAGAATACTCATAGCTGCTCTGCTCCTCTCCAAACTTTTTTGCTGCGACTGAGCTAAGGCAAGCTTAGACTTGGCATGTTATCTGAACCAGGACTTAAGTTTAAGCAGTCTCCTCACTAACCATGGACTGTAGCCAATAATAAACAATGTTTGGGCTTAGTATGGCATGTGAACCAGGCTCACATAGAATCATAGAGTTGGAAGAGACCACAAGGGCCATCGAGTCCAACCCCCTGCCAAGCAGGAAACACCATCAGAGCACTCCTGGCATATGGTTGTCAAGCCTCTGCTTAAAGACCTCCAAAGAAGGAGACTCCACCACACTCCTTGGCAGCAAATTCCACTGTCGAACAGCTCTTACTGTCAGGAAGTTCTTCCTAATGTTTAGGTGGAATCTTCATTCTTGTAGTTTGGATCCATTGCTCCGTGTCCGCTTCTCTGGAGCAGCAGAAAACAACCTTTCTCCCTCCTCTATGTGACATCCTTTTATATATTTGAACATGGCTATCATATCACCCCTTAACCTCCTCTTCTCCAGGCTAAACATGCCCAGCTCCCTTAGCCGTTCCTCATAAGGCATCGTTTCCAGGCCTTGACCATTTTGGTTGCCCTCCTCTGGACACGTTCCAGTTTGTCAGTGTCCTTCTTGAACTGTGGTGCCCAGAACTGGACACAGTACTCCAGGTGAGGTCTGATCAGAGCAGAATACAGTGGCACTATTACTTCCCTTGATCTAGATGCTATACTCCTATTGATGCAGCCCAGAATTGCATTGGCTTTTTAGCTGCCGCGTCACACTGTTGGCTCATGTCAAGTTTGTGGTCAATCAAGACTCCTAGATCCTTTTCACATGTACTGCTCTCAAGCCAGGTGTCACCCATCTTGTATTTGTGCCTCTCATTTTTTTTGCCCAAGTGCAATACTTTACATTTCTCCCTGTTAAAATTCATCTTGTTTGTTTTTGCCCAGTTCTCTAATCTGTCAAGGTCGTTTTGAAGTGTGATCCTGTCCTCACGTTTAGTTTTAAATACTCATTCTACTTCCTCATCCTTTATACATTACCTTGATCGTTTTATCCATATCTCCGTAACACAAAGAGTTGAGAGAGATTTTAAATGGCCTCCATACGGGATTCAAGTTATTTTTAATAACCTAAATAAATACAAAATAATAATGGTTAAAATATTATTAAGGTTGTGGGTTTTTTGCATTAACTATCTTTTTATAACTTTGGCTGTTCCAACAACTATCGCTAATCCTATCCTATCACAGTAGGATAGGATGCTGCCTGATACAGTAGCTTTCAAATTTCTTTCTACTATAGTTATAGAAACCAGTAGTACCTCACAAAAACAGAACTAAAAGTATTAAAATAGGCAATGAGTCAAATCAGCCCACTTCATAAAAGAATGAGAACCACCTTACTTCTGTTCTGTGCACCATCACCCAGTTTCCTTCAGAAGTCTGCTTGTGGAACTCCAAATAAGGATCAGATTTTCCAAAGAAATCCTGCAATTAAAATATAGGCTATTGCTTCAAAATTGTCTTTAGAGGATGGGGGTTGTTGTTTTTTTTGCAAACGTCAGGCTGCAGAGCAGAAAGAAGAAAAGCAGGGCTAATTCCATTGGTTTTGTAGATAGTGCACCTGCCTCTGGCCCTGCCTTCAACTGTCACCTAACAGAAACCATTCCATTATGCTAACTGAATTGCTGCCATCCTGGCTGGTCATTATAAGAACAGTAACTTTAAGAACTGATGTCTCTACTTTTTTTTTCTTCTTCCCTTTTTCCTTGTGTGTCATGACTTTTAGATTGTAAAAATGAGAGCCTGGACTATTTTATTACTGATATTCATAAGCTGCTTTGGAGTTTTTTCAGCTAAATAATGGGGTGAAAGTCCTTTAAATAAACTTTGCACTACATTACTTCCTGTTCAAAACAGACACCACCTATATGCCAAGTACAAACATGCAGTTCACTTCCTCTTTTCCACCAGCGCTGCACATACATGCATGGTTGCATTCAGATTATTAATCCTTCCTTGGGAAATTCAGTGAATGCAAATCTTTGCAACTCCAGTCAGAAGAATGGTAGTGGTTAAGTATTTCTGTAGAAGTGCTCTCTCTCTATCCCTCTCTTTCTCAAACAACAGGATCTACTCATCCAGAGCAGGTATTGGGGGGGTGCTCAGGAGTTGCAGGAAAAAGGAGAGAAACAGCAAATCCTGTTGCACAAACAAGTCAATTTTATTTGGTAGGAGGACAAAGTTGGATTTTGCCCATTGCTCAATATGATTTAACCCCAGATAAATGTGTATAGAATTGCAACCTTGAAGTACCTTGTTGTCCAGTTTCCTTGCTTCAACTTCAAACATGACAACCCGATTATCCTTTACTTCTTCAGCAGTAATCTAAGTAAGCACACAAAGACAACATTCACCATGATAAGATACTGCATTCTAAAGTATGTCATAGAGTTCTTTTATGGGCAGTAGAATGAAACGTATGACAAATGGAGTGTAGTAAAATTTGAAGTAAAAATTATATTTCTATTATTTTTCTATTATTTTCAAAAGCAGTAAGAACATGTTCACAGCTATAAAAAAAGAATAGTTTTATAGTAATAAGAAGATGCTCCTTTCTCCCATTTTAGAACATTGAAGGGTTGGCCACAACAGACTCATAATGCCATGAACAACCTGCTTTGAAAGATTTCAGTCAGTTTTCAATTTCTCCAGGTTGCATGTGAGGCTGCTGTTTGAGAGATAAAATCTGAAAGATGCAGAACTAGGCATGTAATTGGTTTTTAAATTAAAACTAGCCCCTGCCTTCTGGCAATGAAATTTAAAGGGGAAATTGTATGGGGAAAAACCTAAAATAATTAAAATAGGTCTTAATCAATTCACTTATTTCCTAGAAAGTGCATAGGATCCCAACATGCATCTCATTAATTTCCACAGAATTTCAGCACACTTAAATTTTGTTTTGACTAAATTCATGTTTCCCTGGGTCATCAAAATCTTTGTCCACAGCGAAATACCAGAAGGGGGAAAAACCACTTGTGTTTTCATACCGTTATTTTTCCTTTTCCTGCAGGTCTGCCATTTTTCAAGAGTAGTGGCCGGGTGAGCGTTTTGCTAGAAACAATCTGTAAAAATACAGAAATATCCAGAAACTCAACAGATTAAGAATTTACCTTGTCTACAGAATTCCATAAATGGTGACTTAGTCAAAGCTCTTAGCAGATGACTAGAAAAAACAGTAACACAACAGGCCAGTTCAGATGCAATTATTTGAGTAATATGCTATGGTTTATTTAACTGATAACTGGCATCGACCCATGCATTAATTTTTATTTTTACAAATTTTTATAAACCACAAGTTCATATAAAATATGAAAAGGCATAGTATAAACTAAAGGTATATTTCAATAAAAACACAAAACACATTATTAAGATCTGGTTGGTGAAGAGTCTCAGGGTTAAAAAGGGTTAAGAAGGAATTCACAGGGCAGGGCATGTCAAGCTAAAGGTTTAGCCCCTGGTAAAGGCTGGCTGAATGGAAGGGAACCACCAAAGGTGCCCCATCAACAGATCTCAGCAATCAAGGCAGAGCATAAGATGACAGGGTTTATTTTTAACAAAAAAATTTTTACTGCTTTTGCACATGTAATAATTTTATACATATGGACTCTTAAGATACGTCCAACCCAAATTGCTCACACAGTCACCCCTCCCCTTTGTTACTTCTATCATGGTTTGTTTAAACCAGTTACCAGTTACATCGTAACTAGAAAACGGAGAATTAATCTTGGTTAAGTAGCCAGAATCTGACTGGTTTCCCAATTTACCTGCAATAGGAAACTGGTTTACACAAATCTGATTTTATGTTCAGGGAATCAGTCTATCCATAGGCATAAGGCAACAAGGAATGATAAACCACAGAGATTAGTTCCTGTAACAATAGCATTTGACATAACATTAGATAAACTGCCTATAAAAGGAAGACAATTTACTATTTCAATTCTTATTGAAAAGCAGAACTTACAAAATGGGAACCTGTAACATGCTATTGTTCCCGCTTTGACCTTTTCTTGGTTTTGCTGGGTGAAGGAACAATACCAGCATGAATGAGGTTTCAGGTCAAATGACATTTCTCAGGGCAGAACCAAATGAACTGTAAATGAAGCAACCAATAAAACTCTCTGAAAGTGAGAGAATATTATTTACACCTACCTGCCCCAGTGTGCATTCAAATTCTCCTAAGAAGTCATCATCACTCAGATCAACAGTTGTATTGTCAATGTCAAAAATCCCAAATTTGAGTTTCTGCACCAGCTCAAAATAGTAATCAATTAGGAATCTCTTGGAAAACCTGGGGTCCAAACAGTTCTTGATTCTTTCTGTGCGATCAACCTGTGTATAAGACATTGGGTGGTGGTGGGGAGAGCATCACATGATGTTTCAAAGAAATAAAACTCACTTTTACATCCCAGAACTTGATGTTTCTAAAGACCAAATTAAAACAAAGAGCTAATAGCCAGAAAAGAAACTTTATTAGAAATATTTAATTAAGTATCAACTTACTGTACCTCATACCACTGTTGTCCACTTGTGTGCTGAAGCAGCACACACAATGGGTCTGACTTGGAGCCGACATCTTTATCCAGGAGGTTGCTGCAAGAGATGGTTAGCTCCACCTTTGTTACACATTGCGCTGCCATCTGCCTCACTGGATGGGAAGCAAGCAACAAGTATACTTAACATTGGGGTCATTTTAACAGCTCACAGTCCGAATCCAACACAGATTTAAGCACAGCCCACTGAAGCAGGATTGTGGCCCAACAGTCATTCAATAAATCATGACTATGGGTATCTTGGGTAGACATGCATCTTCCAGAGCAGAAAAGAAAAAGGTTTCTCTGCTGGCAAGTCAATAGCAGAACTAAGCAGCATAAATCCCTAACCAGCAGCTTAATCATTCACAGATAAACTACCATGAACATAAAAAGCATTTATGTGCAAGATGGATTGCAGTCACTTTCACACAGCAGAAATAATAACTTGCTCAATAGGTTTACCAATCAGCTGTACGTGTGCATATACACCTACCAACCAAGGAGAAAACATCATGCATTCAGTGAAATGAGCTCTAGTTTACAAAAGTTGATGCCACAGCAGTGCAGTCTGCAGGTACTACTCAGAAGTATGTCCCACTGACTTCAATGTGACATTTCCAGGTAAGTGCATATACAATTGCATCAATATAATAATAATAATAATAATAATAATAATAATAATAATTTTTTATTTATACCCCGCCCTCCCCAGCCAAGGCCGGGCTCAGAGTGGCTTACAAGCAAGAATAAAAACAAGATGAATGATTACAACTTAAAAACAAAAATAAAATACAACATTAAAATATTAAAATGTAGCCTCACCGCAGGAGGAGAAGGAAAAGAAAAAAGAAAGAGAGGGAGGGAGGGAATCAAATTGGCTCCAAGCCAAAGGCCAGGCGGAACAACTCTGTCTTGCAGGCCATGTGGAAAGAAATCAGATCCTGCAGGGCCCTGGTCTCATGAGGCAGAGTGTTCCACCAGGCCGGAGCCGGAGTTGAAAAGGCCCTGGCTCTGGTTGAAGCCAATCTAAATTCCTTAGGGCCTGGGACCCCTAGGGTGTTGTTATTTACGGACCTTGAGGCTCTCCGTGGGGCATACCAGGAGAGGCGGTCCCATAGGTACGAGGGTCCTAGGCCATGAAGGGCTTTAAAGGTCAAAAGCAGCACCTTAAATCTGACCCTGTACTCCACCGGGAGCCAGTGCAGCTTGAAAAGCACTGGGTGAATATGGTCCCATGGCAGAGACCCTGTGAGGAGCCTCGCAGCAGCATTCTGTACCCGCTGGAGTTTCTGGGACAGCTTCAAGGGCAGCCCCGCGTAGAGCGAATTACAGTAGTCAAGCCTGGAGATGACCGTCGCATGGATCACTGTGGCCAGGTCGGGGCGGGAAAGGTAAGGGACCTACTGCTTGATGCGGCGAAGATGGAAAAATGTCGCCTTGGCTGTTGCTGTAACTTGTGCCTCCATGGAAAGGGAGGCATCAAGGATTACACCCAAACTCTTAACGGAATATATTTAAGACACTTATCTTATACTGTATACACATAAAGTTACCTAAACTCTGGTACTTTACAGCAACACTGTAGAAGAGTGATGTGATGAATCACACTTCTGGGTGTAGGCCAAAAGCCTCTTTTTTAAATAGTTTGTCATTCCAAGGATTCTCAGACTTTATAATGGGCCACACTAAACCACGCATTCAAGCTCTTTTAGACATGGTAGGACTGAACTAAAGTTGAGACAAACTTTTTTGACTGCCAGGATAATATTTTTTTTTTTTACAAAATTTAAACAGCCCTTCAGCTTGATGGATTTCAAGGCAATCCACAACAACAACCAACACAATGTTATAAAACATCACACTTTGTTACTAACCATAAAACTGAGAGGCAACAATAACTATAAAAGCAAAGGAGGTAGTCAGAGCAATTTAAAATGCCTGGGTAAACAGATATGCATTGACTTGGTGCCAGTAACAACCACAATGGTAGAGGCTCCAGCCCATGAAAGTTTATGCCACAATAAAGTCATTTGTCCTTAAGGTGCTCAAGATTCTTTGATGTTTCCACTGACTTGCTAGCAAATGTCAACGTGCCCCTTACCTTTACTGCAGATTTAAAGTTGAGCATGTGCTTTCAGCAAAATAGGAAATAATTAATACAGCTTATGCTAAATGTAAAAGAGAGGAGGGGTTGAAATCTTAGAAAATTGCATTTCATATCAAAGATGGCCTTTCATTCAAAATTTAATTTTTGTTGAGCTTTTTAAAAAGTTTTTAAGTAGGGACCTTGTTATCTCAGATCTCTTCTTTCTCCCTGTATAATGGAACAAGAAAGAACACATGTACTGCTCCTGCTAAAGGCTCTGTAATATTTCATTTTAGTAAATCTGCAATCTGGTGAGAAAAAACAACATCCTAGTTTATGGAACTTTAGGAAAGCTTGGAAGACTTATGTGTTAAATTATCTGCAAACCCACACAATTTCTGGGACTCCAGTCCATTCCAGATGCTAATGGCACCCTTATTATTTACAACACGAACATAAACACAACCATGCTGAGTTGAACCAGAATTCCTTTGAAGCCAACTAGATGTCTCAAGAATGCTCAGAAAACAGGACCTGGTGGATGCTAAGGTACAGTGTACTCCAAACAATACTATTATTACTTCTGCACAAGCAATTGTTTCCTAAATAAACAAATGCAGTAAACACACACACTTTTGTCTAGAAAATGGAACTACAAGAGAAAAGAGCTTACAAACCACTGTTTGAGGGCCAACAAACTAGGCACTGAAAACAGAGCCTGTGCTATGGTTTGCTGTTCTGTCTGAATTCATAGACGACTGTCACACCCACAATGCTCTAGTTGTCACACGATAACTACACGCCCATCCATTTCAACTCAATCATATGCTCAAGGTGTGAATGATTTGCTATACTGATCTTCAGGCTTCCCTGGGCATATGCTCCCCAAATGTGTAGGGAATTACACATGATAATCATATAAAGTTATCACTTTGTGCGGCAATTGTTTGCCACAGCTACACTGATGTGTTTCTCATAGCAGAAATGTAAAGCATATTAAGGGAAGGCACATATTACTAAAGACTTGGGGAGTTCTATTTATTATTATTATTAATTAAATGTAAATACCATCCTTCATCTGAAGCTCTCAGGGTCGTTCACAAGATAAAAATACAGGATATTTGGCCACAGCTTAACATGTCTGACCTGGAAAAGACCCTGATGTTGGGAAAGATTGAAGGCACAAGGAGAAGGGGAAGACAGAGGACAAGATGGTTGGACAGTGTTCTCAAAGCTACCAGCATGAGTTTGACCAAACTGCAGGAAGCAGTGGAAGACAGGAGTGCCTGGCATGCTCTGGTCCATGGGGTCAAGAAGAGTCGGACACGACTAAACAACAACTAACATGTCTGACACTTAACTGTCCTTCACAATTTGCATATTTGATTGTAATTTTTTAAAAATAAGTTTTTTATGCTGTATTTTAAATGTTACCCACTCTAGGACCTAGGGGTGCAGGATGGGGAATAACTCATATTATTCTTTTAAATATACACAATACAGCAGGAAAGACTAGTGCAGCACCAGCAACAATACCTAAAGAGACATGGTGATCTCTGCAAAGAAAACATGAAACAGACCTCATAGACTTCAGTTCTCCACTGCCATCCTAGCATAGGAGCCACACCCAGTGCAGAACCTACGTTCATCCACCAAAGTTTACCCCACAGGATACACCTTTCACACCTCAATTTGGACTTTCATTCTAGATATGGAACTCAAGGCAGGTATACCACCTTCAAACAAACCCTCACACTTTAACCAAACTCTATATATTACACATCTATATATATTTTTTAAAAAGTAAGTCAAGGATATTCCTCGAACTTCTTAAGAAGAGACAAAGCCAGTGCTTTTTATATTAAAAAAATGTGCAGGCACTCACCATTAAGTTGCTACTGTGAGTGCCACACATTTAACATCTGGAGGGGGTGTAAAGGTGCCGGTACTGCATACCCTTCAGTAACCCCCAAGAAAATAAACACTGGTCAAAACAAACATCAGTCTAGGGATCGCTGCTAATTTAAACTGGAAAATCGTCTCGGCTACAGTAACACGTGTGTGTGTAGTATCCCTGAGCAATGCAAACCTAAGTGAGATGAGATCCGACTTTCATTATATATTCTGGAAAGTTTCCAGGCTTCACTGTTACCTGTTCGGTTTAGGAACTTGTGCTTCAGTTAAACTCCGCCCGCCTCCCTCCCACTCCTTTATCCTACCTTTTGAGCCCGAGAAAAAGGACCTTTTTTCGGGGGGTGGGGTGGGATGGGGAGCAAACGGTCAGGATCCAAATGCTAGAAAACATCTTAAATGAATGGCATGACCCAAGTCCCCCCTCCCCCACCTGGGTTCCCATTTCCACCATTCCTCATCGGGCCGCAATTCCCACAAGCACAGGCTGCTCCCTCGCTCGCTCCTTTACACACACCTCAGAGAGGCTTCCTTCCTCAGTCGCTTCCCACAAACGTCCGAAAGGGCGCAGCAGCCCCTCCCTGAGCAGCGGCTCCTCTTCTCCGCAGCGCCTGGGAAGGACCGTAATAATAATAATAATAATAATAGGACCGACGAAGCCCTTCCCAGATACTTGAATCTGGGGTGGTGGCTCCAACGGCCAGCCTCACCTCAGAACTTGTGTAACCCAAGGAGCTGCGGGCGAAGCTGGCCGTGCGCATGCGTCGGCCACCTCAGAGGACCCAGGGGGGAATTAGTAAATAAAACCAATCCTTCTAACCCCCGCCCTCCCCCAGCACCACGAGAGTCACGTGAGAAGACGCCGACGCTACCTCGTGACGTCGGCGCGGACGTAGGACGCCCCTCGCGCGCGGCAAATCCAAAACCGTAGACGACTCGCTGAAGGTCCGCCACGAGGGGGGCGGGGAACTAAGAAAACCTCAGTTTTTGGAGCAAACCCGGCTGCTCTAGAAGGCGGCCACGCGCAACTTCCGGCGTGTCGGGGGCCTGGGAAAGAGAGCGTTTCCGGCGCGGGTGGAAGTCTGGGGGGGGGAGGGGAGAGTAGGGGAAGAGGCTTCCGCTATGGCGTCTGCAGCGCGGCTTTGGCGCCGAGGAGGCTGCGCTGTGAGGACGCCGCTCCTCTGGGGGGCTCCGAAGGCGAGACTCGGCTGGCGGCGCCAAGTCGCTTCGGGGCGAAGAGGAGGGGGAAGCGAGGTGCGGTTGCGCTCCGACGTGCGCTCATCCTTAGCTTTCTCTCCCTGCTCCCCTCCCCTCAGTGTCTCCTTTAAAGTGTGTTCTGGGACGGCGGCCTTGCAAAAAAAAAACCAAACTTGTCGGTGGAAATCTCGGCTTTAGAGTGAAGGTTTACTCTCTAACACCCCCCTCCCCCGCGCCTTATTTCCTCCCTTTCTACTCCCCCCTCCTATATCTTTGAGTGCTGGCTGTGACAACTATAGTTGAGCGCTCCTCGGCTAGGGAAATCATATGTTTTAGTTGAGATTCCTGCATTGCGGGGGGTTGGATTAGCTTGACCCTCTGGGTCCCTTCCAACTCTACAATTCTCCGATTCCAGCGGCAGCGCAAGCTGAGTTTGGTTTCTTCCGGGTAAGAGCACTAGAGACGTATGGAGCTCGTAATGTTCACTTTAATGGTGAAGAAGCTGAAGAACATGTGTTCACATTGAAACAGTTCTTTTGAATATGAAAAGGAAACAGGCAGGTCGCAGCATGGCAGATTGCCCAGTTAAATCTGTTAAACCTATTGCACGTAGCTGCTAAGATCACAGGTTTGCTTTAAACATACTCATTTATATTTTGAGTTAACGTATCCATGCTGCTTTTAATTTTCCCTCCTTGCAATACTGTTGTGAAGGTAGTTGGCTGAACTAGAGAGGGAGGGCTTGTTAGCCAACAGGTGGGCAGGAAAAGGAGCCTGTTGCCAGGTAGACAGAAAATTGGGAGAGGTCTGAGAAAGGGCCAACAAGAGTCTCTTAGACACCCAAGTGGTTTAATTTTGGGGGGCATCAGCCCTCGTGTCTCTATAACCAGGTAGGCTGTGATAGTGGGGACGCAACAAGCTAGTAGTAAACAAGGACACCAAGTAGTAGGATAATCCAAGATACAAAACCCAACTTCAAATCATGTTTCTGATTATGATTAATGCCTGGTTGGATTCAGACGTACAAAGAATCTTAGTTTTTTGTTACATCAAGACTAAGCCTAAACATGAAATTCTGTTCACACTTCCCTGGGAATGAGCCACAGTGGTACTTACTTCTGAGTAAGCATGCCTAAGATTGCACTGCACATATATCCTTGGGCTCACAGAAGTAACCCAAGCCATATTTTAGTACTGTACTGGGTAATAAGCATAACTGAAAGTTTTGTAAAATGAGAGTGCCTTCCTAACTTACAGGACTTCGTTTGTATGCATACAGCCCAGTCTAACTTGTGTTTACTCAAGTAGATGCAATGTTTCTTTTCAAGTTGCAACTAAATATGGTTAGGATTGTAGCCTTTGTCTCTCTCTTGTTAGGTGCTAGAACAGTCCAGATTTTTCAGAAGAGGAGTTGCATTCTCAGCACTGTCCTACTTGAGTTATGAAGCATACATACTAATCTCTCACTCTAGTGTGGTTCATGCTGATGTCAAAGGTAAGCTGAGGAATTCAGAGGCCTGGTTTTTACAAAACACTAAAGCAAGTCATTGCTAAATATGAAGGTGTTCCTTCCCGAGTCCTGCGTTTGCTATGCTACCCAGAGCTAAGACCTGTTTGGCTTAATGTTATGTCTGAGCATGAGCTTTTGACTTGTGTCCCCTCCCCCACCAAACCGCAAGTGGTAAGCCAAGAAAAAACCATGCCAACAGCTCATGGAACAAGACAAATCACATGGCTTCGAACATGATGCTATACCAGACCATGGGTAGTGCAGCAGCAGCCTGGCTTGCAGTGGAGTGAAGTACCAATTTTTACTGTGGGTATACACATGCTTACATGCTCATGTTTAGCCATAGTTTGGCTTAGCGTTGCTTGTGCATTGTGATGGGCAGTTGTAAAACTAGTTACCATAGGATCCTTTTTCTAAACTCCTGTCTTGTATTTGTTTTTTCCAAAGCTGTAAGTGAAATATAATGAAGACTATGATCAGTTGCTTTAGCAAAATGGAAATTAAGCTATCAGATATTTATGCCACTATGGTTGCAGTGTGCTTTTTGACCCTTTGAAAGCTCTCAGAAACTTAACAGTCCAAAGAAGTCGGGTAATAACAGGCTTAAATGAAGTCAGCAAAAGGAGCATTAGTTAGCAAGATGATGATATGTAAGCTCAGCCAGAAGGTCTTGTTTAGCAGAATTATCTCCATTGCTGTAGTCCTTGCTTTTTTGTATATTTAGATAACAGGATGTTCTGTAATAATAGTGATATAACTTGCAATGCTTTATTTTTTAAAAATGAAAAACCTATGAATATGATCCAGAGAGAGACCTGCATAAGGCTGCTGGCAGCAATTGACTTTCACTCCCCTCCTCCTCCTGGCAGCCCCTGAAAAAGCTTAGGGACCTCTTCTCAATGGGTTGGGCTATGTTGGGGAGCTTTGAGGGGGAAGGGCAGAGGCACTTTCCATGAGCAGGGAAGGGGTAGGAAAGTCAACTTTTACCCGCCCTCTTCTTCATGTTATTCTCCGGATCTAACTCAGTGTATATTGTATTTGTCTTTACAAACAGTTTTCTCCACATTATTGTACATTTATGAATGCAGTTTATTTCATTAAACACCTTGATATTTAGACATCTGTCATACTTCCTTTCTGGTACACTTTGTTCACTCAAAGTGTATTTGTTGTATTTTTTTCATAAAAAGTGACAAACAAATGGACTAAATAATAACAATATCTCAGTTGCTTTTGTTCTCTCCAACTCCCCTGGCTTTTGTGCCAGCAAATAATGATTAGCAGTATGCAGAAGTCCTGTACTATTGTGAGCACCCTAAAAATGACAATTTTGAAGAAGAAAAATTGGTGTTGCTTAGAAATAAGCCCCAAACAGACAAAACACCCACAGACACACCCAAAACAAACAAAACACTAGTAACAGAAGTAGGCACGCTTTGCACACAGACACACACACACACCGAGAGAGAGAGAGATAAAACCCACACAAATAATACAAAACAAGCAGTACAAAAAACTAGGTAGCATTCCAAAAGAACACCCATTCAAAAAAGAGATAGGCAAAATGCCCTCTCCCATCCAAAAAAACCAAGTAAATAAAACAGGCAACTCCCTGTTGATATTCAAATCTTGTTCCTGTCAGTTTGTTACTGGAAAGAAACCAATATTATTTGCATGACATAGTTAGTGTGGCACTTAGTAATAATTCTTCACTGTGCCGGAAATAGACATAGTGCTATTTAACTTTAGCTGAATTGTTCTTCTCTTAGAGCTATTTATACATGAAAGATGGAATAGCATAGTCACACTTTTTTCTGTTTTAACCAACCTTAAGTTAATGAAGTCCTAGATCAAGCAGACTACCTATATGGGAGTGGGGAAACCGAAAAGCTCTATCAGTTGCTGGAACAATACAAAAACAGGTAAGTGATTGTAGCAGACTCCCTCTGTACTCTGGTCGCACCTGCCACTTTTTATGAGGACAGCCATTTCTGTGGGGCAGAACATAATGGGACAGGGGAGATAATTCTTAAAGGATATACTTGACTGGTCAAATTTAGGGCAGCCATGGATATCATTTTGTTTAAGAATCTAATCATACTCCAACATCCTGTTCTCACAATAGCCAGTCAGATGTGTATGGATGTCTACAAGCAGCACTTTCTCCACTTGTAATTCCTAACAACTGGTATTCAGAGGCATATTCAGTAGAGGTAGAACACAGCAATCATGGCTAGTAGCCATTGATAGCCTTGTCTTCTGTGAACTTGCCTTAATAATCTCATTAAGCCATCCAAATTGATGACCATCACTGCATCTGGCGGGAGGAAATTCAATTCTCCCACTTCCCCTCTGTAACATGAAATCTCCACTCCCCAACACATGCAGTCTCATCTCCTATATGAAGACAAGAATACCAAGCTAGTGCTATTGTGATAAGACTTAACAGTCAGCATGTCAAAAGTATTTGAAATGCTGCACGAATTCTTAGTTATTCTTCCAACAACTCTGTAATAGAGGGCAAGAACATCCCCGTGGCAGGTGGTATTTAGGACTGGGCTGAGAAAAGTAGTGCTGTATCAACCATTCTTTTATCAATTAATGAGAAAATATATTGCATTAAAATTGCGAAAAGAGAGAGAAATTTTTAGAAAAATAATATTGTGGGATGCAAGGTTTTTGTTGTATTTATCTTACTTTCAATGTGGCCAACGTGGTCCTTTCTTTCATTTCTCAAATCATCTTTCAGTTGTCTGCTCTCTGCAGTCTTCCTGGGTGTCCACATTTCCTGGGGGGAAAACCACACATCTTCATTTGAACTTTCCTGTAAACATAGAGGGGGTGCTTATTGTTGCTTTTTGTGCTTACTTTGAAGACTTTTCTTACTGTTAAAAGAATCTGCATGGGGTGTTTATTTTTTATTTATTTAAGGTAGAACTTCACTTAAAGACAAAATCAGCAATTCACAATGTTTTTATGTGCTTGGTAGCCAGCCTCCCTAATTTCCCATGCTTTGATTTTAGCTCAGGGCTTTTTCATATCAGGAAGTGTAGGCAGTTGTAGAGGTTGAAGATCAATTGAGAAATGTTTCATGAGAAAGGAAAAACCCACCGAGCGCAACCTCGTAACAATAAGGTAAAAATTCCCCACCAAAACTCTAAAGTGCTGTGAGAAAAAAGGAGAGATATGGAAGCCTCTTTTGCAGCAGATGAAAGCATTTGAGAAATTATTGTAGTTCTTTTCAGGGAGAAGTTTGCTATTATGAAGCTGCTTGTTTTAATAGCTTTTAGTTTTAATTGAAAGACTCTACTTCAAGGCGTGTTATCAAAACCTTATTTCGGATCATAGAGTGGAGTCCAATGTAGTGGTAAGGTAATTGTTCCATCAGCGCAATAATTTCTGCTAGTGCAACAGAACATTCTTCCCCTCTTCTCTCCTCCCCTCCACATTGCACAAGCAAACATTTTTATGCTGATGGGACATGTTAGTAGAATACTGCCCATATAGGTTGCCTTCTGCTGCTATTCATGGTCCAAAACTATTTGAGCAGTTAGATTGATGTACAGCAGTACATCAGTGGCCTGGCACACATGACACACTAAGCCAAATCTTGTCTTAACAAGACCATGCACACATGTGGGCTCCTGGAGAGAAGCTTTCACCCACTTCGTTTGTCCTTGATCCTTTTTGCTAAGCCAGGATTTGGCCTTACAAGTCATCCAAATTGAGGCTCATGGTTCAGCCCTTTCCTCACTAACCATGAGCTGCAGTCCAGGTTTGTTTTTTGGCTGCAGCTTGCTCCTAGTGAGAGATAAACTACAGCAGCATGGCAAAAAGGACCCAGGGAAGAGCAAAGCAGCTGGGTGCTCCTTTCTAGGAACTTGTAGATTTTCAGCCTTTCTAAGCCAACATTAGGCTTAGTGTGCCATGCAGACTATCTACATATTGCTGCTTTTGCTAACCATGGGTCACTCAAATGGCAGTTTACAAACCGAGTCTAACTGTGGTTGCATATGGAACTAAATGTGCTTAGTGTCATTATTGGTACAGAAAATTATTAATTGCCCCTTGGCCAGCTCTGAAAGTAAAAGTTGGGGGATGGGCTGGGGAATTCGCACATGAGGGGAAATAGCTTATGAGCCCACAGCATCCCTGACCTAACTATAGTTATGTTTCTTCGATGGTTATTAACTCTGGCCTGGTAATGATCAGTGCATCCTGTTGTGTTTCCTTATAACTAGTGAGAATGCACAACTGTTGTGGCGCCTGGCACGAGCATCACGGGACGTGGCTCAGCTTAGTCAAACTTCGGCAGAGAAAAAGAAGCAGCTGATCTATGAGGCCCTTGCTTACGCCACAAAAGCACTTGAGAAAGAGAAATCATGTTTCAGTGTGCATAAGGTAAGTGTGGCTCACTCCATTTACTGGGCTCCAAGACTAAAGCGAGGGTGTGGCCGTGTAGATCCTGCAAAGGCAACCCCTGACCAGAGGTGGATCCACTCAGGATCAAATGCAGTAGCTATTACTGTAGACAGATAGACTCCAAGAAAACATAGATAAGAACTGGAAATAGGGCAGCTCTGGAGAGGCAGTTGTTTTTCTCACAAAGGCCAGGCAGAGACTGAGAGGCTTGTGTGTGTTTTCTTGTTGTTTTTGCTAAAACAGACAATTTGATTGTTCTTGGTCATCATCTGGGCTACAGGATACATCTGGTGGCTCTTCCTCTTTAGTAGACCCCTCTTTCTGAATGGACCTCTGGTTCTTCGGTTTGTTTTCAGCTAGACGAGTGCTCCTTTGCCAGTTCAGTGTCTCCCATAGGGGGTCTCTCTCTCTCTCTCTCTCTCTCTCTCTCTCTCTCTCTGTGTGTGTGTGTGTGTGTGTAAGTCTGGATCTAGAGTTATGTTGTGGGGTGAATTGGCTGCTTAACGGCTCTTCAGGTATATTGAGGATTTCTCCAAGGTCCCAGTCCTCCCCAGATGAGATCCCTCCCAATTGTTCCTTGATAGTAAACTAGACAGAACAATTTAATAAGCATTTGCTCCCAGCCATATAGTAATAGAAAGGGGAATGGCTACAATTTCTATAGATTTTTCAAAATAAATAAAATTATAAGGGATGGAAATGGGCCTATTTCAGTTAATTTGAACTTTGTTAGGATTAAATGTCTAGAAACCCAACAGCAGTAACAGTGGGAAAACTCATCCTCTTGAAAATAACTGTGACTGGTGATTTAAATCATAGCAGAATTACTGAACTAAATCTTTTCATATATTATTTTTAAAAATTGATAGAGAATTTGTATTTCCTAACATGCAGAATAATAGCAATTGCATATTTTCTGTTAAAAATCACTAAAATCTCAGTACTCCTAAGTTCAATTATGTACCTCTCCTTTATATTTAGTGGTATGCAATCTGCCTCAGTGATGTGGGAGATTATGAAGGAATAAAGAAAAAAATTACCAATGCTTTTGTTATCAAAGAACACTTCCAGGTATATAAAATTAAGTTTCCTGTCTTGTGTCTGTTTGCTCAGTGTTTGGCATATAGATAGAGAGATAGATAGATACATAGATATAGATAGATAGATAGATAGATAGATAGATAGTAGCACAAGCTTCCAACTAGTTATCAGAAATGTTTCCAGACTTAAACACAGCACAAAGGAGAGATTGTTATTTGCTCTAACACAGGGAACTAGTTCGACACATTTTACAAACGTGAATTTAAGGACCAGGCATACAAGCCATTTTAAACTTTCATGTGGTCTCAGTATAAACAAAGACCTTTAAAGCTTAAATAAATGTGTGAGAAAGAGCATCTGGAATGCTTTTTTGAGAAGGATGTGAATGTGTTTGAGGCCATAGATTCCTCAGGATTACTCCAGCAAATGGACTTAAATTTAACCTTTAAATGTGAATAGTGCCCCTTTAAAGAGCAGTGTTTGGTGGAGGAATAATAATAGGCCTAACTCAAAGCAGTCTTAATAATTTATGTATTTAATAATTGATCTACCGCAAAGGTGTAATGGGCTAAATATTATTGAACAAATAGGATATTTCCTTTCACCAGAAACCTAAATGTAAAATGCAGTGTTTTCTTCAGACAGGCAAAAGGTTCAGGAATATCATCTAGGCACTGCTGCAGGTTGGAAGGGTGATTGTGGGAGCAATAGAGGCTATGGGGTTAGTGTTAAAAAAAAACCCTGATAGGCTTTCATTTGTTGCCTTTCCTTGACAGAAAGCGATAGAACTGAATCCAAAGGACGCTACATCACTTCATCTTATGGGCATTTGGTAAGATTTTTAAGCAAAATCATACTTGTGCCACCGCTGTTAATGAAATGCAAAATGTTTGGACAGAAACTTTGCAAATTCCACCTGATTCTCTTGGCACTGGCTTATAAGCAGCATTATAAGACGCCCTATTACAATGAACCAAGTTTGTATTGGCAACCGTGCCGATATAGACAAATTTGCAATAAGGCATTGTAAAGCATTATTAGTATTCTAGATGGAAACAGAAGTCTATTTCCACCCATCATTACCATTTGGGCCCCTGTGGAATTCTGTAGCTAGATAGTTTAGAATGAAAATAGAAAGCTTAATAATGTATTCAAAATAATACACAGATAAATACTATGGGAAAATTAACAGCAACTGAAACATTTTCCAAGACGTTTTGGGCACCATTTCAAACACAGCTCAGTTTCCACTTTCAAAAGAGCAACATTCCCATTTTGGAGTCTCAGGAAACGTGCTGTGTTCTGCTTCTTACATGGATTGCTTTGATTTTTTTGGTCAGACTGCATACAAAACTGTTTTTCCCCACTCACATTTTTTTTTTTTTTGCCACACTTCCTAATCCTATTGAGAGACCTAAATTGCTTTTGGCGATTTCCCAAGTTCCTAGTCATCCTCTTAAGAGAATCACCTCCTTCCTGCTCTGCTTAATGGTTATAAGTGGCTCAATATTTCTGTTCATTAGCATAAGAAATTGAAAACTCATTAGCGTACACTTCCCTGTTAGGCCCTCCACAAACCCTGCCTATTGCTGCCCTGAAAGACATTAATATGGCCATGTGGCAAGAGGCCATTTTGATCAAATCCTTGAAAGGGGGGCAAGATTGGGAGCTTTTGTCTTTATTCTTTTTTCTTCTGATGCTTGTTGAGAAGGCATGGGTGTCCAGAAACATTTTGAAGCAGCCTGACCGAGAATTATAGGCACCCCCCCCTTTAGGTGCATTCAGATCACTTGCGACTGCAAATACATGTGGCGCCAGAAACCCAGAAATGGGAGAGACCTGAAGAGCCTCAACAAAGCCCCTCTGTGCCTCCAGCTTGTGAGGAGACCCTCCTTGTAGCCTGGAAAGGATGCCTGCACATGATGGAGATACCTGCCTGACTCTCCTGGACTTCTTTGCCTGTAATTAAAAGTAGGCACATGAGTTGTTGTTTAATCTGGAGGTGTTTTCCTGCACCGTTTTCCTGCTCTAAATATCCCCCTGAAACAGTTGTTAGCCCTATGAGGAGGGATGCCTGTGTCCTTTTTATTTTGGGGCTTTGAGAAACAATTTTCGCTTAAGTCATGCTGTTTACTGACACTGGACTTTAAAATTTCACTTGTAGAATAGGTGGGTAGCATTCATTTGACTGAGTTGCAGCTGACTGCTACGTTCTTTCTGTTTTTGCGGCACTTGGTGTGCTACACTGAATTAATCTGTTTGGGATGCAACCTTGGAGGGTTAGCCTAGTAGAGTGTTTGGCCTCATGTGATTTCAGGTAGAGCATAATATGGGCTTTGCGTTGAAGCCAGAGGTGATTGCTCAGACATGTAGAACTCTCACCGCTTTTGAAAATACTATCCTTTGCATTCCACTGTCATCTAAAAGTATAGTTTTGGTAATGTATAAATCTGATAGAAACTGAACATCTTGTTTGTGCTAATGAGCAATGTATTGCTCTACGGAAAACTACCTTTAAAATCGGTGTTGTCTAAAATGAGGGGAACCTCATTAAAGCTTCTTCATAGATGGTATCTCACACCTTTAAGATTGTCCTGCATGACTAATAATGTCTTATTCAAGGGTCTTATTTTCATGGCAGAGTTGTAGTCAAATTTTGAACTAAACGTCATTTGAGCTTATGGAATGATTTACTGAAGTGAACCAATACAGACATTTGAGATAATTTATAACTTTTATTATTGTAGGATGTTGAGTCAACCAATGTGTTGTGATGTTTTTTGTTGGTTGTATAGTTCTCTTGACCTAAAAGTGAATGAAAACATTCTCCAAACATGCATACAAAATGTCAAGGTGTAAAGTATACAACGTCCTTTTGCATTTCTTGTAGGTGTTATACGTTTGCTGACATGCCATGGTATCAGAGCAAAATAGCTGCAGCTTTATTCTCAACGCCACCCAGCTCCACCTATGAAGAGGTATGGTACCCCAACAGGCTATGCATCGATTTTTCTTGGTTACTGTATAATAATTAAAGCATAGAACGAAAAGGGCGTGGAAGGTTGCACTCATCTTAAACTGTAAGGTTGTCGTGCGGTAAACATGAGCATACTGATCTGACAGAACCAGAGATTTTGAAAAATAAATGTAGCTATATTCGTGACTGCTGTTTAACAAAATAAATTGGGAGGGCATCTGCTGTCCTTCATGTGTTGTTGAACTACAGTTCTCTTCACCCCTGACAACAGGCTATGCTGGCTGGGACCAGTCGGAGCCAGAGTCCAGCATCACGCGGAGGCCACAGGTTCCCCACATCTGGTTAAAACTGTACTTTGTAAATAAATATGTTCTTCTAAAAAGGTATAATGGGTGGGGGGACACTTGAAGCACACACCCATTTCACAGAATGGATTCGTAAACATAGCAGTTACCTTGCACAGTGGGCTATTCCCTGGAATATTTTAGCCCACTGCTGGAGGGATTTTGATTATTTCAGGTTATTTTTCAGCCATACTCTAACTTTAATACCAATATTTTGCAGGCTTTACGTTACTTCCAGAAGGCTGAAGATGGTAAGTTACGTAGCACTGTAGAATACGTGGTATCCTTTGTGCATGGACTGTTAAAATTGAAAACCAAAGCACAAGTAGAACCTTGTCAGGAATAAGTGTGAAAGGCTCTACTATTCATAACTAACCTCAGAAATATTTGAGACATTAAACCTGTATAGAGGTCTTCATTTTGCCTTCTGTAGAAGCTGAAACAAGGATTTAGGTTATACGTGTTCTCTTCACTTTTCCCACATCATAGGATCCCATTAGTTCTCAAATGGAAAACTTGGGGTGGGTTTTCCTAGCCATTTCCAAATGGTGCAGGAAATGAGATAACATGTAATATTTCACAGCAATAAACATGCAAACATCCTACACAAATTACTTGGATCAGCCCCATATCCAAGACTCATTTGCAAAAGCCTGCTAAAAATATTATGGCCTCGCCTTTAACTCTGTGTTAAAACATCTCTGTAAAGTGACATATATCTTTTTCTGTTTAATCTTTAATTCCTTATGGAAGGAGGTAGGGATCTGTGGACCCTCCAGACCTGCCTGTTTGGCCTAAGAAGCCAGTTTCAGAAAGCCACTCCTATCTGCCGAACACCTGGTGTCAAAAGAACCACTGGGAGCTTTAAGCTCCTGGTTGTTTCTTTGATTGAGTGAGGCACACTTCCATTTGCCCATCAGCTGTTGGGTGGTGGGATCATACCTTACTCAAGTCTTCCAAATGACTCCCCTCCCCCACCAAATTGGGGTAAGTGGGAGTATGGAAATGTGGGAGGGGTGTCCGAAAGCCCCATGAATGGATGTTTACAAAGGGCTGCTTGAAAGTCCACTTTGGGAAACATTGCCTGATGTCACTATGATGTCAGGTGATGGACAGATAGGAGGCCCTGTCCCTTTCTCAACTTTGACCCCCCCATACACCCTAAATCTGTTCTGGGTCTTCCCCAACCCTCCAGAACAGATTTGGGGGAAGTTCCATTGATCAAGTGTAAATCCTTGTGCCCACAGGGCTGTTGCTTAGTACTGCATTGAATACAAGTCAATAATTTTTACTTTTGGTTTTGAGAGAAAGTAGAAATTGACTATTTCTGGCGTAAAGCAGGAAGAAAATGTTTCCTTTCCCAGAATAATAGAATCATAGAATTTTAGAGTTGGAAGTTGACCCCGGGGATCATCTGGTCCAACCATCTGCAAAATTTCTTAGTACATTTTGGTTATCTGGTGCAGCTTATATGCAATAGGCAGCAAAGCAAAAACCTTACTGGTCATGTTAGTGTTGCCTGAAGTGCATACGCAGAAATCACTGCGGCATTCTCAAATATGTAATTGACTACAATATTATATAGTGAAAATCTTTCTGTTGTCACTTTTGTGCAGTTGAGCCAAATTTCTATAGTAAGAACTTACTCTTCTTGGGAAAGACATACATGAAGTTGAACAACAGAAAAATGGCCCTTCTTTGGTTATCAAAGGCAAAAGAACGGCTGTCACACACAGAGGAGGATAAGCAGGTAAGCATTGTGGCCATTGTCACTATTGGCTAAAGAAACTCCTTGTATTTTTCAACTATTTTTGCAGAGTGAGTTACAGCATACTCTGAACCTCCTCCTATTATATATCCCCAAAGGGCAGTATATTCAGAATGTGCTTGGAAATAAGTGTTCAAAATGAAAAAGCTATATAAACACGTCATCAAATTGTTTGCCTTTTAGTGTGCTAACAATCCATCAGAGTATATATGGGGAGTATTAGCAGTGTTTTTAAACTGACCTAATGTTCATATAGTTTTAAGTAAATTTCCAAGTGTTCCTGCCAAGAAGCCGAATTTAAAACTATGAGGATGAAATTTCTTTTTTCATGGGAAGGAGCTTGAATTGATTAGAAAGCCATAAATCTTACAGTCTAGTTATGATTCTTATCACAGTGGTATATAGTCATTCCTCCCTGGAGCTCAGGAGAGAACAGATTTCTTCCATTTCTTCCAATTCTGCGAGGTTACACTAAAATGTTTACTGATCTAGGTTGCTCTGTTTCATAGAGAAGTGGAGATTTAAACCCAGGTCTTCCTCCGCCAGTGCAGTCTACTTTACCTCAGTGGTTCCCTTACGAATTAAGGCAGGATCTTCTGTTCATAGAAATAAAGATGACAAACGGTTGCTCGACTACTCTGGCTCTTCAATCCAGTGCCCTTGATGAGTAATAGTGATTGGAGGAAAGTGGGAGATCTAATGTATTTTGCATATGCTTACTAAGCCGAAATGGGTAGCCCCCCCAAGAAGAAAAGAACAATAGCATTGCAAAGGGGACAGATTCACAGGCTAAGTGAAGGCAACTGTGTCATCTGGAGCTCTCACTGATCACTATTGTAGCTCTTGGTATTTTTGCACTCAATTTCCACATACACACAAAACGCAGGTCTTCACTTGTAGGGCTTCAGCAAGATGTATTTGGCATTCATTTGCTCAATTATAAAAATAAAAGTCAGAGCCAAGAACTGCAGAATTCCAACTAATGTCAAACGTTAGGCTCTAAAGGAAGGGATGGAAGTCCCTTTTTCGAGCTGAGGCCTGCATTATACCAGTGGAAAGCTGGGCAGGCAGATTTCACAATCAAAGACATGTAAAAAATATTTGTCATAGAGAGGGGGTGCATATATTTAATTCTTAGTAACCCCTCTTAGATGTTATCTTTCATTTTCTCCAGAGACTTTGTGAAAAAAGATGTCTGCAGCGGGGGGGGGGGATTTTTATCTTTACAAAAGGTAGAAAGATCCCTGTTTCAGCAGAATGCAATAATGCCTGTGCACAGCTGAATGACAAAGTGCCCCTTCGAAGCCTCCAGCTTCAAAATGCAACAGCACCCCATGAATTGCATGAGTGCAGTTGGAAAATGCATTGGCAATCTTTTCAGTATACCTCTGCTGAGACATTTCCCCCTCTTTTGATGTCCTTACTGAGAAAGGTGATTCAATCACACACTTGCCCCACAACTCCCTTTTCCTGCTTTGCTGCTTCCCAGAGGGCAGATGAAATCCATCCCTAACCAAGAGAGTATTGTGGGTATGGCTGTGTCTTGGTGGGAAGACACTATTGAAGTTTTCATCTTTTTTCATTTTAGGTACATAAAGAAGCTGTGGAATTGCTAAATTCTCTGTGACAAGATCATTGAAATTTTTTGTGTTGCTATGATATACTTACTGGGCTGGGGCAACCCTGTCAGATGGGTGGGGTACAAATTATTATTATTATTTACTAATCAAACACATAAAACAGGCCTAGTGCTATGGAAATGGCCACATCTTTAACTGGAGGAAATTCTGTTATTGTGTGAAATATATATTGCGAGAGATGGAGGGGATATGTATAAAATATGCTGTTCCAAAGCAAAGCAGTTGTAAAATTTTCTTATAGGCATTGTTTATCTTTTGCTTCTAAATCCGTTCTTCACTTGCTGGAGCTGAACTCTCACTAGCTATTATCTTGGGAAAAGAACAGCCTAATTTTCATTATCTTTTTCAGAGCCCCAACACCAACTTTAAAAAATCCTAATGGAAGTAATAATGTTAGGCCTGTCCATCTTTTAAGACCCATGGACATATTGTGGCTTTTGAGTGAGTACCATGGATGCCCCCCCCCCAATCACTTCTATCCCTCACTACCCTGGAAAGAGACAGGAAGCATGATTTCCAATGGATATGGGTGTCAGATCCAGTAAAATTGACCTGAGCCTTTAATAGCACACAAAACTGAAGGAGGAAGTGCAGAAGAATGTCATGCTTCTACCTTCCTCCTGCTGCTCCTTTCTCAAAGGGGGGAAAAAAGGAAACCACCCTCATCACCGAGGGTGCAAGATGGACAGAGGCTTCATGAGTGCTGGGGAAGACCTCAAAGGTGAAACTGCACCCATGGGTCCAACACTAGGAACTCCTGGAGTGATGTATGTTGAGAAATACATGCCCATGGCAATTTCTCAGGGTATTTGTTTACCCTTGGGGAGTAAGTATACCCTCTCTGGGGTTAATTTTGATAGACTCCAGGGCACTTGTTGAACCTTTTGGTGTTTGGCAGAATGAGCTACTGCTTCCTTGTTGTCAGAAGAGGAGATCCCTTAATCAAGAGAATGAGGGAAGCAGGCAGAGATAACACCAGATCCCGCTCCAGTTGGATTTCCCCTTTCCCCTTCACCAACTTCACTTTTTATCAGCTATTTTAGTATTAAATTGTAAAACACCATGGGTGCCTTGGCAGGAAGGCATTGTATCAATGCAGTAAATAAACTGGTTCCCTAAAAGTGTGATCTGTGTATTCCTGGTGTAGTTTCCTATATAATAAAGACCTCTTGCATTACTTCTTTCAGAGCCTTTCAACAGGCTCTAAAGATGCAGCAAATGCTTAAGGAACACTTGCCATTAAACGCAGTATGGGGCACCTTATTGTCCCTTCTATTTTCAGTTTTGTGGGGGGTCTGTTTCTCTCCCTTGAAGACAGAAATCACCATGGGCAAGTTAGCCATCCAGAAAACTCTGGTAGTGGGGTGGTGTAGAAATACCACAAATAAAGCAAGCCAGCCTGTTTTACAACTCATCCCTATTTACAAAATTGTCTGGTGGCTGCTGACAGTTGAAACATCCAGATTAAATGCTGAAATTTGCCTGGGATACAGTGGTAACTTGGATTACATACGCTTCAGGTTACAGACTCCGCTAACCCAGAAATAGTGCTTCAGGTTAAGAACTTTGCCTCAGGTTGAGAACAGAAATCATGCTCCGGCAGCGCAGCAGCAGCAGGAGGCCCCATTAGCTAAAGTGGTGCTTCAGGTTAAGAACCATTTCAGGTTAAGTACGGACCTCCAGAACGAATTGAGTACTTAACCCGAGGTACCACTGTATACAGATTTCTTTTGCAGACTTGAAAGCATGAAACTCCAGCTGTCCAAAGCAAGATACTGGCTGCAAACAGGGTCCATTGAAACTAACATAGCTCCCTCCTTACTGTAACTTTTGGACCTTGAAAAGCCTGTAACTTGCTAACCCAACAGTTGCAAGCAAAAGGGGAGGAGCAGGTAAAGGAGGATGTGAACAACGTTTGTAGCAATAGCAGCTGATTACTAAACTCCCCATTCCACTTGCCAAACAATTGGGAGAAACCCATGTGTCTGGTGGGAAACAACTCTAAAAACTGGAGTACTGTAACTTCCTTCACTGACAAGCAGGAAAGGCCCTTTGCAGGGCGAAGCAAGTCATTGCCAGCAGCGGGCAGCTGGCTGACAAGACCTGCAGGTAGGGGCCTGTCTCTCTTCTCTTGCCCCACCCTGTTGCTCCATCACTTCTCCCTTTGTCATCTTGCTGCTCATGTCTGTGTGGGGAGGAGGGTGACCAGTTAGTGGTGGTGGGCTGGTGCCAGCACATTATCCATCCCAGGGCAATGTGGTCCCTTGTCAGGTCATGGGCCTCCCCCTGCTGCTGGCCATGCTTTTGACTCATAGGTTGGGAACACTGAGCCAAAGGACTAAGGTCTCTGGGTTTCGGTGCATCTATTGTAAACCACCATGAGGATAGCTGAGGGTTGCCCTGACTCCAGAGCTCTTTGTATACAGTGGTACCTTGGTTACATACGCTTGGTTACACACTCCGCTAACCCAGAAATAGTGCTTCAGGTTAAGAACTTTGCTTCAGGATGAGAACAGAAATCGTGCTCCAGCGGCACGGGGGCAGCAGGAGGCCCCATTAGCTAAAGTGGTGCTTCAGGTTAAGAACAGTTTCAGGTTAAGTACGGCCCTCCGGAACAAATTAAGTACTTAACCCGAGGTACCACTGTATTTACTTTAACCAAATTTCCTTTCTACAAGTGTATGATCTTCCATTGCCTGCAGTGTTAAGATTATCGAAACATGTTCATCTACAAAAAGACACATGAGATAGTGTAAACTGCTCACCCTTTCTGTAAACCTGTCAAGCCAGCTCTACCTATTTTAATTGTTGCAAGGAAACGGTAAGGATTGCTGCCATAGAAATCAGTGCTGTATGTGTAACAAGGAAGCTTGGCCTGATCACAATTTCCCCACCCCACCCCCCTAAATCTTCCTAAGTAGTGCTGTGCCTGAAGTAAGTAGCTACAACATCTCCCTTACTTGTGGCTATACTCGCCAAGGCTGACAAAATTTGGAATCAAGCCATCTAGAGGCCACAGTTTCCCCTTCCCGGATGTATTTGAACAAGGAAGTAAAATAGTCCGACCTGGTCTTGCATGTTCAGTTCTGGGCACCACATTTTAAGAAGGCTATAGACAAATAGGAACAGGTTTCAGCAAGGACAAAAAGTATGGAGGAAAAGTCCTTTGAAGTTGAAGGGAATGTGTGTTTAGCCTGGAGAGGGTGGTGTAGCACATAATAGTACTCTTGAAATACCTGAAGCCATCTCACATGGAAGATGGCAAAAGTTTGTGCTTTACTACCTAACCACAAGTGTAGAGCTAATCATATAAGTTATTGTGGACTAGATTAGGAGAAACCGCTTGGGAGGTACAAGCAGTTGGACAATGGAACAAAGGATCTCTACAGGTGGTGGGCTGTCACTCATTGGAGGTCTTCAAAGCAGAGGTTGGACAATTGGGAATGCCAAAAAAATCTAAAGGAAAAATGGGCTCTAGGATCTTAAAAACAAAAGGGAAAGGGTGAAACAGTCTAAAAAAAAAGTACTGGAGGGAGTCTGGCTAGAATACAAAGCAAGTTGCCCAGCATACACAAAAATCATGCAAACTAGCAAAAATCCCCCCGTATGCTGATAAAGAACATATCAAGAACCAAGACAAATTATTAACACAAAAGCACAAAGCTGAGCAGCATGAAAGCAGGAATAGGGGCTGGTTGGATGTGATCAAACCAGCTGCAATCCCACCTTTAAACACTGGAGGGAGCTCATGTCCTACCTTTGAACATTTTCAAAGGAACACGACCTACCTCTAGGTTTAGTTATCAAATAGCAGGTTAGGCAAAATTATGTACAGACGCCCACCAACTTTGATTCTCTCATTGCAACACATTAGTGAAGTCTGTTCATACATACATGACCCACCATGGGTATCGGAAAATGAAGTTCAGTCATCTTAAAACTGGCAAATCTAGATTGTTATCTGCTTGTCATCTGAGACTCAAGAAGAAAATTACTACTTCCCTATGCTGGGGGGTGAATCCTCACACTGATTGCTGTTGAAAGATTTTCCTTAAAGCTTGAGGATAAGCATACCTGCCCTGTTCTAGTGAAATATGACTGATCAATGCTATGTGAGTCCTATCTAAAGCAGGAGAAATTCCACTGCTTTGAACAGGACTTAGACCTCACTACATTTTTTCTGAAACAGGCAAACGTCTAATGCTATGACCCATCCTTATAAGGGCTGTAGCTGGGCCTGTGTGAATGTGTTTCTTCAAATAAGCCAAATCAAAACGGACCAGCAGTTTAAGAAGTGTAAGCACTGAATCCTAAGATTAAGCAGCAGGGAGAGAGGATTTTATCTCTACTAAGTAGCCTTAGGCAAGGCCTCCCCCTTCCTGTAGCAATAGGAACAGTTCCCACTTGGGGGGGGGAGAGGATGCCCATTGGAGAAGTCAAACTTCATTAGTTTTCTGCATTATCTTAGGAACTTTTTTTTTTTAAGTTGCTCATGTGAATGGTGGTAGGGCAACCTAAGAGACTAAGGTTCCAATCAGAGTAGAAAAATCAAGATGATATTTTGGTGTAATCGTACATATGTGTGTGTAGGGTAACTAACACAAGATAGACAGGAGGTCTGTTAATCAATGCAGTGCTTTTATCAAGCATTCACAGGTTAATATCCATGAATAATAAAGTGTAACAATATGTAGAAAAATAAGATTTTGGCAGAATTAAACTGCTATATTGAGAAAATGAGAGCAAATATAGCAGAGTCGTACTGCATTTACAGTTTTTTTTTTTGCAGTTTGATATGTTACAGAAATGTTAATTCTAGGAAATCTGTTTCATGTGTGTACAAAACTGTATAAGTTAAATTTAATGGAATTTACAGTGAATATTGAAAGCATGATACAAATGGCAATTTAAAATGTTACTCTAATAAGGAAGCACAATTTGCTAAAAGTAGCATTTAATAATTCACATCAGTAAGTTGTAGAATTTATTACACATATTTGCAGTTTAGCAAATGCCCCTCAATACTGCAAACACAATTTAATTTTTTTATATACATTGTGCACTTATGACAAATAAGCCTTGGCCTATATAAAAACAAAATTTAGAGTTGCTTAATTAGGAACATCTGGATTTTTTTTTCTTGAAGGGATGAGAGTATTGAAGACTAATAGAAAATTAGTTCAGTTGTGCAAAGCATATGTAACTACTTCCATTTGGATTTTCTAGATCCAGATTAAAAAAAATGAGAACAATTCACATTACTTTTTCATATCCTCCTAAATTAATTAGTTTATCAAATGAAATTGAAACATATCACTAATATCTTTTTTAAAAGCCTGTAAGATACCAGACTGGGACAGAATGTGTAGGAATCTTTTTATTTTTTCCTTGAAGATTACCTACTGTTCTCTTGGAAATAACCCAAGGTAATATGTAAACAATTTTCAATGCTGCTCAATGAGTTATAATAGTCTGTTCAGCTCCTACAGTAAAAGTCAGAACAGTGGCACCAATGTCTTAACAATCACATTCATCTTATTGTACATTACTCTTGTGCAAGTAATAAAGGCTTTATGACCTCGGCTACACAGAAGTTGGGTTATCAGCTATTACAATTATTATTTTTTAATTCAGCTGACAGAATATCACATTCTATCATTTCAAAAAGCCAGCAGCATTTTTCTACATAGCGAGGATGTGTTTGGCCTAAGCCTTTTAACACCTTTAAAACAGCCATGCAATAGAAATAACCCTTAGAGATGTTGCATAAGTGAGAAGAATACAGAGCAGTCTGCACATTTTCTGAACAAAACCAAGAAAGATACTCCTGACTCTTCTGAATGGCTGTGATGTTTAATAAGTTTACAGCTCTATAAAACTAGAGCTCATTAGTGTGTATTTATATACACATTTTTTTAAATAAAGTCTTTCATGTTCAATTTTATTCTGGCCAGTCTTTGAGGGGAAAATAAATAAAGTAGAGAAGGTAAAACTGTTTTGCATATCTTTGTGGAAGAACGGAGAACATTTTTTAGAGTTCCAGAAAAATCACTGTACAGAAGAAACAGCTTATATACCACTAACTGTGCAATTTTGTTGCTCCAGCCTGCTACAACAAAACTTCACTTTGCCTTGAACTTGTTTTTTATTCTTGTCCAAATCCTTCTGTCTCTTCAATTGCAAAAAGCAGCTTCTCTTTTAGCTGTTCATAGCTTTTATAAGGCGGTAAATCCAAACGATTAAAACTAGGAGAGAAGAGGGGGGGAATCAGACTCTACATCCCATTTGAAAACATCTTTCACAGGACCATATCAATCACAGCTGTTTGATTATAAGCAAGTAATTTTTACCTCTTTAGTACTAAGTAACTCATGAAGATTCATAAATACCCATGTTAAGCTGAAAATAAATAGCCAGTTTGCAGACCATTTTTGATATGTCTACTTAGATTAAAATACATAGTCAAGTTTACAGATTCAGATTGATTGTCCATAGGCTGATATTGCCCTTGAGTTTTGCAGTGTAAGAAATGAACAAGAGATGGAAACATCTGTTTGGCTGTGCTTGGCCAAAAAGGGAAACATAAGAGAGGATACAAATATCCTCAAATATTTAAATATTTGTTGTCATTTGTTGGCAGTTTTGTTATTATCTTTGTTATCTGTGCGTTGGTGCTGATAACCATTGGATCTATTTATTTATTTGTGCTTTTATCTTGTGAACTGCCCTGAGAACTTTTGATAAAGGGCTGTATAAAAATCTAATTAATAATAATAATAAATCTGTGATTTTTATTATGCAATCTACTCAATATAAATTTCAGTCTGATGGTAGGTTTTTTGCATGTGAAAATCATGCAAATGAAAGACAACTCTTTTTAACTCTACTGGGTCCAATTTTCACTGAGACCCTATGGAAAAGTAGAGAATGTGCGCATACTCGCTTACTGCTGTCTGTTGGGGTAGGGAGTGTGATCTGTAGAATAGCGGAAAGAAGCAAGAGATGGTGCCCACAGCACTTTGAAAATTCCCAATGTGTCCCTGAGCCCCAAAAGGTAAGAAACCCCTGCGAAGAATGGCTGATGTTAAAGAAGCATACTATAGAACAAAACGTAAGATAACAAAGAACTCTCTGTTACAACAACTCACCATGTGTGACTTCTTGGTAGCCAGGTTTCCTTGCCAACTTTTTCAATGCAGAATTTCTGAGGACCGTTACTTCCTGAGTAATAAAAAATAAAATTAAAGGTTAAAATGGTATTTTTGTTAACGGCAGGGTAGATATTAATGATACCATATTTCAATAATTGGGAGAAAATGCAGGTTAAAAGGACCAGGGAATGTTACTGTATATTACACATACTTTGCAGTATATTACGACGTTTTCTTACCCATGAGCTCAGCAAATCCGCCCAGTGGTAATCGGCAAGTACCAGTGACAAACTGCATCAGTCGCATGCGAACTTCATTGTCAGCTTCTTTTATAAACTAAGAGAAATGTAAAGTTTATTTTATTACTTTGAAATGTCAATTGGTTAAGACCTAACTATGTGCTTGTGTACCACTATCAGAAGTAATTCCTATTAAAAATTACATTTCACTTACCAAACTTTCCTAAACCAAGCAAACTCCCATAGTTTGAGATTTGAATTACATTTTAAACCTGGTTTCCTAATTTCATTTCATTTCTGAATTGCTTCCCATGAAACACCCCAAAGCAAATAAGAATAAATACATCAAATATGTGTTTATATAATTAGTGTTATGAGTTCAGGGGCTGGACCTCTCTAAATTCCTGCATCCAGTAAGTGTTAGAATATAACCAAGGCTTGGGGAGTTAAAACTGTGTGCCAGACACGTCTACTGCCTAGATCCAGAAAATGCTAAAAGCTGATTAAGCCAGGCTGTAATGCTAAGCCCATATATAGTGGTACCTTGGTTTACAACCATAATCCATTCCGGAGGTCCGGTTGTAAACCAAAACAGGTTGTAACCCAAGGCGCACTTTCACCAATGGGGCCTCCCCCCAAAAATGGGTTGTAATCCAAAAAAAGGGACACACACTTCCGGGTTTGACGTGGTTTTAATCCAAAATGGTTGCAATCCAAAGCAGTTGCAAACCAAGGTACCACTGTATTAATTTCCAGGAGTTACACAGAAGCCCAGGAAGAAACTTTGGCTTTATTTCTAAAATAAAAACCGTACCAATGTGTAATAATTTCACATCTGCTGACTTTTTCAACAAGAATATATTATACCTGCCAGAACCACATTATTTGCTTGCTGTTTCTTGTATAATGACGATAAACAGTGTTCCTTTGCCAGTCTGCCAAATCAACTTCTTGCATGCCACAAAGCATGACCTGTAAAAAGACCACATGATTTAGCACTGTAGCAGCTTAAGATCCTGAAGCACAACAGCAGATACTGACATGCTTGATATTTTCTTGTCTTGCCCCAAATAAAGATTCTGGAAAAGTGAGATGAAGCTTTCAACAAAATATGATTCACTAACAAATACAGTCATCATATTTTTAAGGATATATTAAAAGAATTGGTCTTATTAGTTGTTAAGGAACTGGTTAAGAGCTAGCTGCACAGCAATATGCGCTCTCTCTCTCTCTCTCTCTCTGTGTGTGTGTTTGCTACTCCCACATTAGAAGATTCCATAGCAAGAATCAGGGAGACAGCCCATATGGTCAATAAGGGACGTTATATGAGTGAAGGAAGGCAGAAACTGTATAACTTGCTTACTGAAAAGTGGAGCAGCTTTGAGATGTACTGGTGTCACAAAATGCAAGAGAATGTACAACCATATGTACATTTCAAAGAGCAATACCTGATATAAAGGTAAAGCTAAAGGTACCCCTGACCATTGGGTCCAGTTGCGGACGACTCTGGGGTTGCGGCGCTCATCTCGCTTAACTGGCCGATGGAGCCGGCGTACAGCTTCCGGGTCATGTGGCCAGCATGACTAAGCCACTTCTGGCGAACCAGAGCAGCACACGGAAACGCCGTTTTCCTTCCCGCCGGAGCGGTACCTATTTATCTACTTGCACTTTGACGTGCTTTCGAACTGCTAGGTTGGCAGGAGCAGGGACCGAGCAACGGGAGCTCACCCTGTCGAGGGGATTCGAACCACCGACCTTTTGATCGGCAAGCCCTAGGCTCTGTGGTTTAGATCACAGTGCCACCTGCGTCCCTAATACCTGACATACCTGTAATTAAATCTATATATTTCTCTCTGTTTTCCTCATCTGAGATTATTTTTAATTATTTTGTTTTAATTATGTTTCTTCTTTAATTATGTGAACATACTGAATATGAAAGCTAAAAGTTTTCTAATGTTCACAGCCCTTTGAGGACTGCCTATTTATTTGTGCCTTAGTCAAACACGGACATAAACATTTGCTTGTACTATTTTTCCTCTTATTATGTTAGTATCAAAGATTTTTGCCCAGTTAAACCACTGCACCACAAATTTCTTGTTAATAAATAAATAAATTTGAATAAAAATTACCTCCAACTCTTTTTCGTCAAAATACTGCAGCCACTGAAGGGGAACAACTTCATTAAACCCATCAAGGAAAGCTTTGGTTTGTTCCTGTACTCCTCGTGAAAACCGCCACTCTGCCATTAGGCTGAAACAGAAGTTTAGAGTTCTAAAAGTGGAATCCTTTATTTAAAAACAAGCTGCAAACATTATACTCTGCTACACTAATTCCACATTTGTATAAGCTCCAGAAACTCCAGATTTATTTATTTTCACATTGTAACTAGAACAGTCTCATATATCCTCTTACCAATACTTTACTCCTAGATGGATGTTTATCCAATTTTTTTGTATGTATTATTGAAAGTTTATGGGCTGGACTCTCACTATGAAAGCTCTGTGAGAAAATGCACATTAAGCCATCTCAAAAGCAAGCTTATCTAATACAAGATCTACCCTCCTCTCTCTACACACACACACACAAATGAAACACATTTATTTATTTATGTATACATGCAGGTATGTGTTTATGCACACACATATGTATGTATGTATATTCTTGGCACAAAGTTATGAAAAACTCTGCCGAAATCTTTAGTGTACTTTTATAGTAACATGTATTTGTTTATCCACCCACATTTCTTTCACTTTGAAAATCAGGAAAGTACTAATACTAATTAAAAACTAATACTAGCTGATGTTCCATCTTCCACACACCTATTAAATAGCAATACTTGCTCTGCTCAGATATATTGCTGTCAAACTTTGGGCAATTTCTCCTGGGCCCCACACCTCATCCCATTCTGCTTGACAGAGTATTCCAACTCTGCAGAGGTCCCACCCCCGTGCCCAGAAGGTTGTGGAGGGAAGAGCTTCCCCCTGCTGACAGAATGTGAATTTCTGCATTGATATTGATGGAAAAGTTACAAGAAAAATGTTTGACAGTCTTTTAAATATATATATATATATGCACCATACCCAATGTATTCTTCTTTGTTCTCTTCGGTTACAAGTAAGTTTGAGCCTCCTAATTTCAGCTCATGCGAGGTAACTTTTCCTAGAAGCTCCATGTCAACACAGAAGTACATTTCTAAGTTGCACTCTTCAATGTTGTTGTCCCTAAAGAGGAAAATTAACCAAAGATAAATGAAATATAATCACTTTACTAATATGACAGAAAAAATAGTGAACTTCTGAAAAGATTTACAAACCTTATCCAAATTAAGGAATTATAAAATTCAGTATCAATAGATTCCAAATCCTTTATTGTGAGTTTCTTATTTAACATGCGCTTGTAGAATGGCAGGGAAAACCCAGTATCAATGAATTTGCCATGAAACAATGCCTGTTAAGGATTTAAGTAACAACAATTCAGTATTTCAGCTTCAGGTGCATCACTCTGAAAAGTGGTGACTGTTTATAGAAAATAGTAATCTTAGGGAGAACTAATACCAATGGAATAAACACTCTAAATCAATAAACCAGAAGATAACATAATTCTCATTATCAGAGTAATATCCCTTCAAATGCAGACTAAACTAGCAGAACACATCAAAGTCTTGCAGCCAGATTCTCATTACATGAATTATTTAGATGAGTCTACTGCTCAGTACAGTATAAAATTTGGCCAATTAAGGATATACAGTACATTGAGGTGTCTAACCTGAAGAGAATGAATGAGATGAAAAATAAATACGGTGATAACTTTTAAAATGAAAGAGTTCTGTTATAAGAATGTGCATAGGAACATAAATGTGATTAGCTGCCAAATGCAGAGAGAAAGATTACATAATGCAAATTCAACATGTTGCCACCAGGGGGCCTTCAGATTGTCCCAAGAAGCTCCAGAGAAATTATCAAAGATTCTTTCCTAGTCAAATCTTTTAAGTAGATTAGAACAAAGGAATGCTACAAAACACATTTTCTATACAGTATTGTGTGATTTCTCATTTCCATAGTGCAATTATGAATTTGCTTTTTTTCAGTTTGCATATTATTCCTAGGTATGTAAAAATGTAGTAGGAGTAGGGAAACTGTGGCCTTCTTGATATTGTTGGACTCATAATTCCCATAAGCCCTCACATGGCCAAAGACAATAGATGCTAAACAACTTTTGTAAAGCCACAGGTTATTCGCCCCTGCTCTATGGGATTTGCCCCATGTTCCTAAGCTAAATGTCCAATTCCTTAAGCATTTAAGGAACTTGTTCAATACCTCTGGTTCCTTTATATCCATTTTCTGTACAGATCACTTGCATCTTATGTGGGAGTTACGTTCTAGGGATAGCAAGTAAAGCTGAAATCGTGTATAGTCAAAACAACTTCTTGCAACAAGAAGGCAGAGAGCTTTTAAGCTTTCAGACTTGCTTACTAGGCTCTGCTGGACCCATCTGAGATCTCATGAGAGCCTCCCAGAGCCTGGTAAGCAAGGCGGAGAGTTTAAAAGTTATTTCCATGCCAGGAAAACCCTGCACAAAAAGAGCTTTTAAGCTCTCCGCCTTCCATGCATTTAATTTGTGTGATTTCAACTGGCCAGTCTTCCAAATGCATAAATTTGAGATTGCTTAAGTTAAACACATGTTAATTGTGAGTGACTCTGACATCGGGCACTCAAAGTAGTTTTGTTAATATGGGGGCAATACACAGCTGCGCAACTGCAACATACTTGCTCTTTTATTTTCAGCCTTTCCCTTATACGGTGGTACCTTGACTTCGAAAACGTTCAGAAACCAAGGCACAGCTTCCAATTGGCTGCAGGAAGCTCCTGCAGCCAATCGGAAGCCGCATCGGGCGTTTGGGTTCCAAAGAACGTTCGCAAACTAGAACGCTCACTTCCAGGTTTGCGGTGTTCGGGAGCCAAAACGTTCGAATCGCAAGGCGTACGTCAACCAAGGTATGACTGAACCTCCTTATACTGAAGCTGCAAAACCTACATACACTTATCTGAGAAGACAGGAATAGGAATGCACTATGAATTCCTGTTTTGCTGATGTGGCATACTGGGCTGATATTTTCAGCAAATTGTCAATTCTGACCCCAATATTTCATTGCTAGGTAATTACAATTAATTTAGAATTTAATTTAGAAGACTCAGTAAATATATTTGGTCTCTTCTGCCCCAAAAAATACAATATACACTGCTTTTCACTTTCACTGAATCTCCTTTGTCATTCCATTATCCCTTCACTCACTTTGGCGAGTACCTTTTAAATTCAAATGCACCACTGTATCTAGTATAATGCTGGGTCTTTATCAATATTAAATTATAATGAATCATGCCCAGAGCAAGGTATGTGGTTCTTTAACTTCTCTAAAAAGCCTTTGTTCCAAAGGTCTGGAACCAGTTTGCTGTGAGATCTCCTTACCCCATAAACGCTTACTTGACTGCTTCAACCTGCGAAACTACTGTTACACATGCCATTTAATACCCATTCCACATTTGTAAGAAATCAGTATTTTAGTGTGGCAGCACCAACACTTTGTAGCTCCCTGCCTGTTGATATCAGGCAGGCACCTTCACTGTGCTTTTTTTGGTGCTAAAAACATTTTTGTTTAGAAATGTCTACCCTGATACCTAGAATGTTCATGTGTGTTTTAATTATGCTTTTAGTTTATTGCTGATTTTAATTTTCTGAACGTTTTAAACTGTTGTTAATTATTTTTAGTGGTAGTATTTTTATTTTTTTATTTTTGTAAACAACTGAGATTTTTTTACAATCAAGAGGTATATACATTTTTTGAAATAAGCAAAACATATTTTAAAAAACAAATGAACTCAACCTCTGGGTCCTAGAGTCTAGGACAATGATAGAAAATGTACCAATCTCTTCTTCACATGCTTGTTATAACCATTCAGCAAAATACTTGATTGAATTGCTGGTGAATGAAATCCAAGTATGACAGACAGCCATGTGTACTCAAATACGAAACACTCCAGAAAGAAAAACATACAGTTTGAAACAAAAAATGATCAAACTCACCATGGCAATAAACCGTCCAATGAAACAGAAATATGAAAGATGATCTGGATTTATTGTTGATGCTGGATTTATCTGTAGGCAGTAGTTGCTTTTTCCAGCATATTCAAATAGACAGTACATAGGGTTCAGCACTTCATGGGAAAGCAAGAAGAACCATTCTCTACAAAAATTTACAATAAATAAAACACAAAAATCTAACACTGGTGTCTCCAAGCATTCATAAAAATTGACATTAAATATATAAGATACAGCCTTATGTCAAAGGTAATGAAGAATGCTTTGAAACAATTTACTGCAGGCAATCACCCAGCTGAACAGACAATATGGCTTTAAACTAAAAAAAAGTGGTTTCCCATTGCTGGGTGCAAGCCTGCAGGAAGAGCTTTCAAAGTACTTCTTACATTTCTTTCCCAACCTGGCATTCAACTGTCTAGTATTACATGAATATTTGATTTGGCAGTATTATATAATACACACAAGCGAAAAGCCCTGAAGTCATGTGGCCCAACATTTCAATATTTGCAACCTTAATCTGATCCCCCAAGTTACTAACATATAGAAAATGGCAAATCACCCAATAACAGTTTTTATCCTTTTTTCTAGGAAGTCTTTATAATCTGGAGTTATCATCCACTGGCTGTTGTCAGAATTTCCCAATTCTGATTTTTTATATATTTCTGAGTTCAACAACTTTTTGTCTCATAGGTAAAGTGACCCCTGACCATTAAGTCCAGTCGTGACCGACTCTGGGGTTGTGGCGCTCATCTCGCTTTATTGGCCGAGGGAGCCGGCGTACAGCTTCCGGGTCATGTGGCCAGTATGACTAAGCCACTTCTGGTGAAACTAGAGCAGCGCACAGAAACGCCGTTTACCTTCCCACCAGAGCAGTACCTATTTATCTACTTGCACTTTGAAGTGCTTTTGAACTGCTAGGTTGGCAGGAGCAGGGACTGAGCAACGGGAGCTTACCCCGTCACGGGGATTCGAACCGTCAACCTTCTGATCAGCAAGTCCTAGGCTCTGTGGTTTAACCCACAGCGCCACCCGTGTCCCTCTCTTCTGTCTCATACATTCAATTAAAATCAATTTCCCCATTCCCCTTTGCACACAGAAAATGCACAGACCTCATTTGGACACAACAATAAAACATGGCTTATTGTCATTGGAATGGGCCCAAATGAGCCTTGGACTCTCACACTCTTCCTATCAGCACAGCTGGGAGAAGCATGGAAGTGACTGCTGCTGCTTCATACTAATGGCAGTCACAGTTAACTAAAACAATCCAACTTCAAGCCATAATTTATGAATCTTATCTACCAAAGTTAAGATTAATCACAATTTAGGGTATAGTGCACAGATACAATCTACTTGCAAGCTCCAACTTCCATATATATATATATATATATATATATATATATATATATATATATGCTGAAAGTCTCGGAAGCTGCCCAATTGCCCAGTTAAGAGTCTTTTCCCATGGTATATATCTCCTACCTTTGCAGAGGAAAAGCCCCTGGCTATTCCATAAAACTGCTCTGAATAAACCTAGTATGCATGCAGTTTTCCTTCACTGCTGAGGACTGGGCTTCAAGAAAACATTTGCCACTGAGAAGATTTCAAAAAGGAGACTTGAACTCAGTGTATTTCCTCTCAGCCTCCTCATCCTAAACCTAGAAAGCCCCTTTGCTGCCAAAGATTATGAGAGGAGAGACTTGCCTGGGGAAAGCTCCAAGTTCTTTTGGTCACAGAAAAAGGAATGCTGAACCATCTCAACTTCCCCAATCGTTTGCTCCCAGCATGTTCATTACATTTTAAATGTCAAGCCTCTCCAGTTTCCCCTATGATTTTTTTCCAGACCACACTTAAAACCTCGATAAGCAAGGATATTCTCATAAGAAAACTGTTAAAGCAGTCTCTTACCAGCACAATCTCTAGTTTAGTTTTGTATCATGCAGGCAACTTCAATAACCCACCTCTCTTTTTTTCTCCAGATACTCCATAAAGTTATGGAGCAAGGTGCATGCTCCTAGCCAGTAAATACATACAAGAAAAAATCCAAGAGAAATTCTTAATAATTTACCTAGCTAAGCCACCATAATCCAATCCTTCTTCTCCTCTGAATATAACGTACAATCGTCTTCGCAAGTCATAGGGTTTTAAAGCCATTATCTGCATACAAATTGGTGAATGCAAATGAAAGTAATGTTGAACAATACAAGACAAAATAGTAAACAACTTCATAGAATATATTACACATGAATTTTGATACAATTTGGTGTGGTTTTATATAGAATTAAACAAATTTATCCATTAAAAATTTAAGGGGTGTTTAACTCTCCCAACGTATCTTTTTTCTGCCTCTTTTAATTTGCAGATACTTTGTTCCCTCTCTACAGTTTTTCAGATGTCACTTTCTTCTCTCTTACTACAGTGGTACCTCTAGTTACGAACTTAATCCGCTCCAGAGGTCCATTCTTAACCTGAAACTTTTCTTAACTAGAGGCGTGCTTTCGCTAATGGGGCCTCTTGCTGCCGCTGCACCGCCAGCACACGATTTCTGTTCTCATCCTGGGACAAAGTTCTCAACTCGAGGTAACTCTTCCAGGTTAGCGGAGTTTGTAACCTGAAGCGTTTGTAACCTGAGGTGTTTGTAACTCGAGGTACCACTGTACATGCTCCCAGCCAGTTATGGATCATGCAATCCATGAAATGGTGAATTAGTCAATGATGGCTATATAGCATCATCTCTGAAGGAAAATGGGGCAGCACTGCGTTTGTGAAGTGGGAGGAAACATCTATATTACCAAGGTAACTGGGTAATGCTCCACACACTTGGTTATGAAGATGGGTTTGTTTTTATCCCTTTCAGGTAACTGAGTAATGCTCAGTTTTCTCAAAATATAACGGTGCCTAGACAATGTGGAAATCGTTCCTTCCTCCCACCTCCACATGACAGACAGGCAAATATTTTCCCTCAGTTTACGTAGCCCCAGAACATCTTTTCCTTGAAATGAAAAGCCCTCCCACATGTTGACTCAGTCCTATACAGAATAATTACACAAATTATTTCCTACTAGACACTAGGTAAGTGAAGATTTGTTAGGACAGAATCTAGCTATTCAAATTATCAAAAGTTAAAAGCTTTCTAATATTTTACAGCTTTAATGGAGTTTTAAAATATGAAATTTCCTTTGGCATATAACAATGTTAAGATGAAGCAAATTCACTATACAGTTTTTACTTTAGTTACCAGGTTTGATAATGTAAACATTGTCTTACCTGTTGGAAGGAATCTTCAAACAATGTTTGTCTGGATACATTGATCTTCACGTGGCTTGGAAGAGCATTTGACTACAAACAGACAGTAAATCATGAAATAAAATATGCAAATTTAAAAAATACAAAATGCAAATTGAAGTTTACACTATCATTTGATCAGCATTACCTGACACAAGTAGCGGAAATGAGCTAGCTTCCACCTAAAGCTGCGTTCATAAGCAATTTGTGGTCCTTTATTTCTGTAAGGAAATATAGCTAAATTTACTAAGCAGAAAATTAAGATTTTACAGCACTTTCAACTCCTCAGCAGTTTTGTAGATTTCCTTCAGATATAGTGAAAAGGTTGCAGCATACACGCTTCATGCTTCAAGGTCAGTTTTAAAATATCATCTAATGCTTAAAAAGTCACATCTCATAAGGTGTAACTCATGTACACCTTAAACAACCCGTGTACATATTGAATCAATTAGCCACCACCAAAATTCATAAGATATCCACTGCCTACTACCTAAGCAGTAAAACTATTATTCCTATGTACTATGAATGCAAATATTTTAAAATCTCCATCAACATCTCACTTACACAGAGGATTTACCAGTACGAGGATCACTGAAGGTAGTTGTTCGTGTATTATGATCAACAAAGTATCTTACACCTTCTCTGGTGTATCTGATTTCCCAGCCCTCAGGGAGGGGGTCTTCATTTTGTAAGCTGAAAATATAAACGTAATATATTTCTTTAAAACCCCAATCACCGTACACCTACTTTAGCCTCGGTTTATGAATAGAAAACACACATGAACATACCCTTGAGTCCGTGGATCTTCCCACTGTGTTGTCTTTGTGTTGTGATTTACAAAATACACTCTATCATTTGAATCAACTCTCCTTTCTGTAATAGAAATGAACCATTTAAAGCAAAGTTAACTATAAATAGGTGTCTATTTCACAAAGCTATTTACATTTCTTACCCCAGCCTGGTGGTAAGGGACCAAGTGGATCATTTTCCGCAGTCAGCATTGAAGCCTGGTTGAAGACACAAGACAAAATATACAATAATTTTTTAAAAAAATAAATTAAAAATGTCTATAAAAAGCACTATTTCTATATTTAACAAGCTTCTCTTCACAACTAAATTTAAATGATTTTAAAAAATTTTACATCCTTTCTATCCTACCATTTCCAGCTTCAGATTTCCAGGTGGCTTTCTTTCTTTCTTTCTCCACAACAGACAGGCTGAACATGTGCTGTGTGACAGGTAGCACTATTCACTTTGCAAGCTTTCTTCACAGAGAAGCTGATATAGAAAGAAGGCATCATCTCCTTGTCTAATGTAATTCATCTCTTTTTTATTCCAGGTGGCCTGTTGATAACTTTGCTTCTAACTAGGTAAAACACTCCCCATGTTTGAGGCCAACACAAGTAGACTAAATCTGGACTGCATTTGAACAAGAGGTGATCAGTTGGCTTTTCCACTTTTTGTGAAATGTTGTGGGTACCCACCATAGAACAATATATATACTCAAGACTGTATGATCTATCACCCTCCGCTCTTCTAAACCCACATGGTTATCTGCACATGGGGAAGGAATGCATCTCAGACAGGTATACACCTAGTTTAAATAATTTGGAATATCAATACAATCTAAGCAACAGAGTTGTCTCGTGAAATTTAGATTTAAATAAAAACAGTTCAGAATTGTCCATAAAGCACAGTGATCTCCACAGAGATTCTGCACTGTGAACGTCAGTGAAAAGTTGGCACACTGGCTACGGTTCTATTATTGGTTATTAATCTTCTTCAGATAGATTCATAACATAATCAGCTTGCAAAAGGAATGGGACAAGACTAAGTTTAGTTGCACTTTGTTCATGTTCAAATAAATGAAGCTGACTTCTCACATTAATTTCAGTACAATCTATGTGAAACTAACTTATGACTAGATCCAACCAGTTTGCTACTTCTGAAGACACAAATGAAAAAACAACAACACAAGTTTCAAAGCTCTAGCTTGAAAGCTAAGCCTTAACAATGAGGCACTGTAAGTCTTCAGGAAACCCTGCACCTAGGAATTCCTCCTTTGAATTCAGACATACCAGCAAACCAGCGTTACTGAAAACTTCAGCCACAAAATCGGTTTCAAACTGTGGTTTCAGATCCAGGTTTGCCAAGCCCCAAACAAACTTTGGTCCATGGCCACTCAGTGAAAGACAACGGCTGCATGGTTTATTATAAGAATCATGTGCACTGCTTCTTCATCTTCCCCTTCCCCTTGAACACCAGCTTTGGTGCAGAGTTCCCCAGCATTAAGCCATAGTTGTTCATTATACCTAAACCAGGGGAATCTGGAATAACAATTATAAACAAATGGACATAGTAAGTCAGAACTCAATGGTTTACGAAGCTATGGACAAATGTCCAAACAAGCCAATCAAGAAACCATAGCTTTGCAATACATCTGAACCCAGCCATGATATATAACATGGTCTCAGTATGTAACTACATATAACATGTATCAAACATCTAATGGAAGGCAAAGAGAAAAACAAGAACTCAAAATGTTTCATAACTTTGTAAATTTACCGAATAGAGGTATCGTTGGTTAAACTGTTGCATAGCTCCCTGCAGTTGATTTCGTTGGGACTGCCATTGTTCAAAGTTTCTGACAGATTCCATCGTAGGTCGTTGCCATGTTGTTGTTCTTGTATTATGGTCCACATAATAAACTCTGCCACGATCATCCACCCTTCTTTCCCACCTAAGAAACATTGGAAGCTATTTTCTTTCCAGTCAAAATGCAAAAACAATTTACTACATTTTCTTCATTATTTTGCCTTATAAATCTAAGCCTTTCAAATGTTCTTTCTAATTACAATATTATAAAATAAAGTGTGGGATCAGAAAACAAACACAGACTTAAATACCTGCCTCTGAGTTTCTGCCAGTGTTAAGTAGCACAAAGTCATTTTTTGAAACAGTTTAAGTGACAGAATAGTGCCTGCTAAATCTTAGTTGTACTGTCTCCTGCAGTAGCAACACAACTGAATTTTGCTTCTTCTGGTATCAGTGCAAGTTCTGAAACATGCACGCAGGAAAAATATGCAATTTTCTTCTCTCAAGAAAGGAAGGAATTAGAATGCAAAATAAGCACAAACTAAATTTGCTTTACAAGCAAAGAAAAAATCCCAAAATAAAGGTCTATGACAGAATTCTAAGTGAGAAATCTGCTGCAAAGACAGTTCTCAATCTTGTAATCAAAGCATTTGAAAACTAAGGCCAGACACCCCATTTGTAAGCGTAAAAACATGTAATTGAAATGCATATTCTTCTTATTTATCCCAACCTCCTTAGCAAATTGTAGATTGTATGCTCCTTGGAGCATGGATTTATCCTCTATTTTGTAAAGCACGAAACACGCTGATAGAGCTATAATATCAATAGTTACATGGGTTCTAAATGAGAGCCATTTGAAGCTTTGGATAGAGGCTACTCATCCCTCCACTTAGGAGCAAGCTGCTGGTGAGACTCGCTGAAAGTCATCCCAAAAAAACGTAACTAATTAGAATACAGAGATCCAGCAGTATGGCCTAATTCAGAACAATCTGAACTTTTCTATAAAAAAATGAACAGCACAAATAGATAAAAAGCAAGGTATGCCCTGCCATTTCAGCATTTTCCTCCAGCTTCCTGATAGCACTACCAGCAGATGACAAAATTTAGTTACTTGCATACCAAAGTTTTTAGAGGACAGTAGTATTACAGTACCAACATGCAAAGAAAACTACAGAAAAATTCATTTACTATAGCTTGGATCCTAAAGTATTACATTAATAATGTCCAAACAACTCCCATCACCTCTTCCTTCTGTAGACCTCCATCTAATTTTGGGTGACTTCCCCACCCCTGTATCAGCAGGCCCTACATCACATCCAATTGTTTAGGAGGGTCCCTCACCCTCCAGAGGGCACGGATGACCAAGGGAGAAAGAACAAGAAAGGGGAACTTGTCTTCTGTGAATGTCTTTGAGTTAATGTACCTTAGGAGCCACATTTATGGGTCTTTAAAAAATAAAGATACATGCGTGAGCAATTTTTTTGCATCTCTGTTTCTAAGGAAAATTATTAAATACAGTCATAACTCGTGTTGCATTTGCTTCATGATACTTTTTTTCAGGTTGCGTCCCGCGGCGACCCGGAAGCACCGGAAAGGGTTACTTCTGGGTTTCGCCGCTCGCGCATGCGCAGACACACAAAATGACGTCACACACATGTGCAGACGCGGCAAATCACGACCTGAGCACGCGCAGATGCGGGTTGCATTCTGCTCATGTTGCGAATGGGACTCCGGAACGGATCCCATTCGCAACCAGAGGTACCACTGTACAAGCATTAAGGAATTGCACAGAAAATTCCATAACTAACACAATCCTCTAAAAAATATTTCAATTTGTGTATTTAGTAAGTAAAATGACACACAGCAAGTCAACATACAACTTATCTATTACCCTGGTGGCAAAGGCTGCGGTCTTTCCCAGGTTGTTGTTCTTGTGTTGTGATCAACGTAATATGTTCTACCATGAGGATCCTTTCTCTGTTCCCATCTATAAAAATACAAAAGAGGTAAAACACCATTAACAGAAAATAGTGTTGTCACTTTCTGAAAGATTCACTTAATGAATCTTTCCTTTCAGGAACGCTCCAATGCAGTTAAGGGGGCTCACTTTCTTCATTTTCAGGAAGCAGCTTCAATTCAAACCATTTTCTCCAAAAAGAGCATTTTTCATCTGCATCAAGGCCTTTTGAAGTCAGTTTGGAGGACTGGATCCAAATTTCTTTGTTTAAGTGGCTTTCAAATGGGCTTGCTGTAACCATGAATCATGAATCAGTTTCAGGAGGCCACTGTGTTTTCCACTGCCAAACAGTCCACCTTCAAAGGAGGTTGCTGTGACCACTAGTCAGCTGACTGGAGGCTAGTGGCCTCTTTTGAGCTTTGACAGCTGTCAATCACCTGGTGTCATTATGACTTTAGGTGGCTAGCAGGTGGGTGGTTGTGCACAATTGTCAAAGTCAGCCCACAAGTGGCAGCCCACAAGTGGCAGGGGTTTTAAGGATGCAGCCCACTGGCGAAAATCAGTTCCCAATCACTGCTCTACTCATCTGCAAGCACTGACCATCTTTTGGTCATGCTTTTTATATACAACAGGTTAGATCCAGACAAAATTGGCTGAACTTAGGTCAAGTTAGACATGACTTAAGACACATTGATTTTAATGGGAATTAAGATAAACTAACTTAATCTACATCCAATTCAGTAAGAAACAGGAAAACGAGGACCACTATGTATCAGACTCAGATGCCAACTCTGTCCATATGTCTGCTCTGCAACATTATTTCAAGACTGAATAATGTTATCTAGAACATTCATTCTCCTGTTCATCTTCCAACCTGATATGTGTCATCATTTGTCAGCAATGCTCTTCTGCATTCTACAAAGGAAAAACATGCTAGACCCTATACAAAACAATAAATGAGCATAAATCTTAAAAACTAGTTAAAAACTAGTGAGACAACTCTTTAACCATCCTGGTAAATAACCTTAAAGTAGCAATATTTGAACAAAGGAACTTAAAACATAAAAATACTGACTTACAATACATCAAAAGGATCAATGCAGTCACTTGTGGATTGAACTGGGATGATGGATTTTAATAACACTACATGTTTCAAGTGGCTTATGAATACCAGGATGTCTGTATTATCAACAATTGTTTTGTGAATTACTGCTCTTGGTTACATATCTAATACGCTATCTGTACTTTCTAAATTTCATTTTCCTCTGACTTCAGTGTTCATGATGTAATATGATGAAATGGACAGCAATCCATTAAAATTTATGCCATAATAAATTGGTTAGTCTTTAAGGGTTCACCAGACTCTTTGTTACCTGAACCTGTCCAATAGACAACTAAGGGAATTAATAACATTTCTACATCTAAGGATAACTTTTCTGGTCTAAGCATTATTATATTATTAATGAGAACAAAACCCACATACCCTGGGGGCAAAGGTTCTATGCTGTTGCTACCAGGCTGCTGCCTTACAGTTTCCCCAGACACAGTTGAAGAGTCTCTTGGTTTCGCTGCTTCTGTAGTTACATTACTTCTTGTACTAGAAGATGCAGTATCTGTGGGAGCAACAGCATCAAGCCCAGCAGATACACTGGGAGCAGTTGTAGATGTGTTGCTTTCAGAGTTGCTAGTAACTTCTGTTGCTAAAGAAGGTTCTACAGTAGCTGGAGTACAGTCTACAGATGTAGAAGATGCCTCACCAGAATCCATAAGAGTTTCAGAGGCAGAATGATTATCAGTCTCCATCATAGTTGACTCACAATTAACTGGGATGCAGAAAAAGAGAAGATATTGTATTGACAACATAAAGTTACATCCTGAATTTTAAAAGATAAAGGAAAATTGATGTCATAATAAAACAATAAAAATATTATAAAAATAAAAAGGCAACATTTAGATGCCTGGTGTAAAAAAGATGAGACCCATAAATGTATTAGTCAGATTCTTCTTTCCTCCTCAGGCTCCACAAACAGTGTTTTTACTTCACTCGAAACTAAGTAGTAGAAGCCTATAATTTAGTTTGTTCGTTTATGAATTGTTTCCTATTAACTACAGTTGCACCTTGGTTTTCAAACGCCTTGTGACTCAAACGTTTTGGCTCGCAAACGCCGCAACCCCAGAAGTGAGTGTTCTGGTTTGCAAACCTTTTGGGGAAGCCGAATGTCCAATGCGACTTCCACAGCTTCCGATTGAGTGCAGGAAGCTCCTGCAGCCCATCAGACGCCGTGCCTTGGTTTTAAAAAGTCGAACGGACTTCCAGAACGGATTCTGTTTGAGAACCAAGGTACAACTGTATCTCAAAGCATTTCCACAATACAATAAAAACATATATAAAATAATTACATATGCTAAAACTATTTCCAATATCCTCAACTGGGATAAAAGTTTCCAATTAAATGGCTTGTTAAAAGAGAAAAGACTTTAACATGTGACAAAAACCCCACTATAGACAGCACCTGTCTGATATATAATGGGAGGTTCCAAATGGACCGCCTGACAAGATAGTATAAGCAGGATGCCCTCTCCTGCAAAGCATAGTGGTCAATGTGGTATAAGGGATGAGATGGGAGTATTCTTGTTCCATGCTGTATATGGCTTTATGCATCAGTTTCAACATGCACGTAGTGTGGTAGCAAATTGGCAGCCACTGCTATTCTTTACATACGAAAATAAGAAGAGCCTGCTGCACCCTGATCTCAAGTAGCCAACCAGATACCCATGGGAAGTGTGCAAGCAGAACCTGAGCACAACCGTATGCTTCCCACCTGCAGTTCCCAGCAACTGATAGTCAGAGGCATATTGCCTTCAATAGTAGAGGCAGACCATAACCACCATGAATTTGTTTAATCCTCTTTTAAAGCTATCCAAACTGCTGGCCTTCACTACCTCTCATGAGAGCAAATTCTACAGTTTAGCTATGTGCTGTGTGAATAAGTACTTCCCTTTGTCCTGATTCTTCCAACATTCTACTCCATTTATAGTTCCAAGTTCTAGTATTATGAGAACGGGAGGGGCAAGGGAATTGCACCTAAGAATACACAAGATTGCAGTTCCAGTAGTAGGTAAAGGTAAAGGCCCCTGGATGGTTAAGTCCAGTCAAATTTGACTATGGGGTGTGGCACTCATCTCCATTTTCAGGCTGAGGGAGCTGGCGTTTGTCTGTGGACGGCTTTCCGGGTCATGTTGTCAGCATGACTAAACCGCTCTGGCGCACGGAAATGCTGTTTACCTTCCCACAGCAGCAGTACCTATCTATCTACTCACACTGCTATACTTTTGAACTGCTAGGTTGGCAGGAGCTGGGACAAAGCAATGGGAGCTCACCCCATCACGAGGATTTGAACTGCTGACCTTATGATCTGCCAGCGGTTTAAACCACAGCACCACCTGTGTCCCATAGTAATGAAGTAATACTAATACTAATAGCCAATAGGCACTTCTTTAGATGAAATCACTGGTAACTACTGATTTTTAATTCAGTTGATAGTACAATTAACATGGTCATACATTTTTTAAAATTGAGATGGAAAGACCTTTTATTTTATTTTCAGCTTGTACTAGGGTTCCCATATTTCAAAAAGTAAAATTCCTGACCCCTGCCCTCAAAGTTATTGAGCCTTTTTTAGAAACCACTTGCTAGGTAAAGGTTTAAACAAGAAATTTAGCATTGCCATTAATATACTTTTGTCTGCTATCGCTTTGCCAAAGAAGATGTTTAATTATCTACTGCAAAAGATGACTATTTCTAATAATGAATCATGTTTTCTTGGAGATCACATCCCACTTTCTTTTTAGCCACCCAAGCAACAGCTCAGGGCACTGCCAGGGAAACGACGGGTGGCAATCCAGTTTCGGCCAGCCCCTCTGTGGGCTTTTTCTGGGTTCAACCCTTCAAAAGGATTCAAAGCAGTATGGCAATTCTACACTGCTGAATGCTTTCTCTGAATTTAGAAAAGCAAAACTGTTTCTTTCTATTCATTAAAAAAAGATAACATATGTATGATGTTTCAAATATTATTGTTTTGATCTGAATGTTTGTACCAAGCAAGCAGTTTAAGTTTGCCTTTCTTGGTTATTTAAGTCTTAATTTAAATAAACAGGGTAGTATTCAGGAGTGTCTGTACACTGACAGAAGGGAAGCTTTCAACTGTAAATCTTTTTCCTCCCTGTACATACTGTGCACCCTCTACATCTGTTTCATAAACTTGAGGGACCCTCCAAAGCAGCTTAGGGGTTTTTGGGGGGCGGGGTGATGCAGGGGGACAATCAAAATTGCCTCCCTGAACATTCCACTGACCAATTTCCTTCTGTCAACTGATAGGCAACGCTGGAGATCACAAACAGCCTTGTTTTATAATTTTCTCTCTCTTAGAAACAGATTGCTTATGATTAATAACTTAAAGTAGGTAAAGAAATAAATCAAACATCATTCTTTCACTTTCAGCACACATTCCACAACAGCTCTTCCTCCCCAAAAGCTGCTTCAAATGGCCAGGAGATTCTTCAGAACAGTATTTGAAGCAGCACGAAGGGGGGAAATGGAACACCACATACATGTAAGTTAGAGGTAGCAGTACAGATCCTTAGCTCCCTTAACCACCATAGTCCACTGATGTCATGATGTTAGGCGACCCAAATTCAAAGGAAAGACTCAGGAGTGCACTCTAAAGGGTGCTGATATTTATTTATTTGTTTGTTTGTTTGTTTGTTTGTTTGTTTGCTGAAAACTGAAAATGAAGTTCCCTGCTGAAAGATGCTCGTAGTCAGTGCAAATCCACTGATCTGCAGAAACTACAAACCCCACTTTCAGCACAGATTTACTCTGGCTGGGAGCTCATGAGTGGAACCAATCACAAGTGCAAGCATTTGATGCAAAATCTGAAAGGTGCCGAAAGCAAGTCCTGGCATGCCAAAGAACAGTTGGGAGCGCACTATAAGACTAATTATTATTTTTAGTGAAGTTTTTACCTGCACCACATCTGACTTCATACATGAAAATGCTGCCATAGTCCAGACTAGCTAGCACACTACTTCCTATAATTAATACGGAGTTCCCTGAAAAAAGATAATAATCAAGTAGTCGAATAGGCTGTATTCTTACCAACGTCATCAGACTGGCTTGTAAGTGGTTTTGGTGCTGGTGTATTTTTGGGTCTGCTTGCAATATGAGGAGGAGATGGTGTGCTGTCTCCACTGTCTCCATTAACTGCATGTATAGGGAATGAGTTCTGTACTACAGAGCTTGATGGTGTTTGATTGTCTATTCTGTTGGAAACAGCACAGAAATATTGTCAAAATAAGTATTTTTATATTTGTTACACATATTTGTGCTAAACCTACAAAAATTATTAATGGACCTGAATAAAACTTGCATTAATTTAGTTAGGATGAGAACAGTATTCATTTTATAATTCTAGACAACATCACATGCCTCTCGGCTGGTCTTCATTTGACCACCTCCCTTCAAGTTCCTCCACAAAACTCACCTTTTCCAGGAAGCATCTGAAAACTATCCCAGACCCAATTTCTTTTTGTAACTAAGCCAAAGCAAAAGTAATGGACATAATCACATATTATTCCATATGTACCCTGTCTTCAACCCTTAAAAGGGTTGTTTCACTATCTCTATTTCAGATCGCAAGCTCTTTACATAACAGCCTCTCATATTTATTCTTTGCAAAACACCATGTTCATAGATACACTATATACATAAAAGTATTGTGCAATATGATGCCAGTCAATTCTGTTGCATTGATTGCAAGTGATATTTGGACAGTCATTAAATGGTTTCCATCTCTTCTCCACCCACTCATAGTGACATTATAATTTAGTTAGTTTTCCTCATGTAGATCACTGACTGATAAAACTATCAAATGCTATTTGAAAATAAAGTTTTTAACCAACTGGGAATTCAAAGTAGCCTTGTCTGTAATTAACTTCAATTTAACGGCTAACATTATCAATAACAATGCTGGATAGTAGCTGATTAGACTGAATGGAGAAAGCTCCAGTATCTGTTATTTTAGTGGCAAATTCAGCCTTGTATTTAACTACTCACCTGGTTGCCATTGGAGACTGGGGATTCCATACAAATAATTGCATAGAATTCCATCTTGGTGAGTGAATAGTTTGGCAGAGGAAAGACAAACCTCTTACTTCCTTGTCAGCACAGAAACCAATCTGTCTATTCCTCCTTATCAGCCCACTGCATTTCTGAGCTGGATGCACAGGGGGTGATGTTCCTTCCCACAGCTCCGGGACAGAGTATTTCTAGCCAGCAAAAGTGTTTATGTGCAAGTAGCTCACAGCACAGCAGAATCACCAACTGATCTGCAGCCAGAACAGGTGGCTGCAAGAATCTGATACTTGATTACTTTCCTGCTGGGTGTGCATAAACATACATCCCACAGTAAATCATGCAGAGAAAGCAGGAGTGGGTTGGCTAGCAGAGAGAGAAATGTTTGCCTTCTGTGATATTACTTTTTAATTTTTTATATATACACACCACTTAATGCCAAGATGAGTGGTTTGAGACGATTAATGAAATGCAACAAAACTGGCTGTAGTTTTTTCAATATTTACAGTTTAGAAACACTGCTTAGACTTTAGTTTAAAAAACTTGGACATCTCGGAGCTGATGTAAGTTGAGATACTGTGGCTAACAAGGAACACCACAAAACTAAGTTAGTTATATGAATCCTGAAATATGGATTTCACAACCTATTCTTATCAGAGTAATTGACAGAAAGATTGGGATAGGAAATCCTCTTAAATTGGTGAAAAGGGGTATGGCAAAATGTTCCCCAGACAATTAGCAAGAATCTTAATGAAAACTTTCATAAGTTTTTCTTTCTATGGCACCTGAGGCCACTTTGTCTAATTGTATTTATAGCACAATGAATTAATTCATGTTGGAGATGCAAGGCAACCAGTACTGGGATACAGCATGTCTTTTGGGCATGCCCCAAATTAAAAAATTATGGACAGAAATAAGGGAAGTTGAAATAATAATGAAATATGCTTTACAGATAGACACTTTAATCATTGTGTTCTGATTTAATACTAGCCAATGGCAAATACACTTATACAGGAAGACACAGCTGCACAAATATAATATAGGGGACACCTGGCTTACTTAGCAGTGCATGTGAAAAGGATCTAGGGGTCTTAGTAGAGTCAACAGTGTATGCTGCATCAAAAAAAGCTTATGCTATTCTAGGCTGCATCAACAGAAGTCTAGTGTCCCGACCAAGGGAAGTAATAGTACCACTCTATTCTGCTGTGGTTAGACCACACCTGAAATACTGTGTTCAGCTCTGGGCACCACAATTTAAGAAGGATATTGACAAGCTGGAAAGTGTGCAGAGAAGGACAACAAAATGATCAGGGGTAAGAAACCAGGCCTTGTAGGAAATGGTTGAGGGAGTTTGGTATGTTTAGCCGAGATAAGGGGAGACTGAAAGAAGATATATGATAGCCATCTTTAAATATCTAAAGGGCTATAATGTGGAAGATGAAGCAAGCTTGTTTTCTCTTGATCCTGAGGCTAGGACCCAAATGAATGGATTCAAGTTACAAGAAAAGAGATTCCGACTAAACATCAGGAAGAACCTTCTGACAGTAAGAGCTGTTCAACAGTGGAACCAACTCCAAATGTGCCCATGGGTCTAAAATGGTTGGCGTTCCCTTCTCTACAGAGCATATTATCAGATGCATTCAAAATAAGCAGATGAATAAGTAAATAAAATCTCTTTCTCATAGTAGAATGAGTCAAAGTAAATACCCATCCCCGAAGTAAATGCATATTCTAAAGCAGATTTATTTTTCAATAATGCACTTCCTCTCTTACTCTTACTGCAAAACATCCCAGCTGAACTCTGAAATGCAACCTGATATTCTGCAATACAAATTCAGTTTTATGACATTTTAGTAAGGTGATTATACTGTTACCATAAATAGTTTTCTTTAAAGAAAACTCTGACCTGGAAGTGGTTCTTGCGGATGTTTCTCTGTTTTCATGTAACGCATCACCATTTTGCTGGACTTCTACTAAACAATAAGAAACAAAATTAGATATTTTCTTTCTTATACCATGGGATATTAAGGTTAATCTTATTTTCCCCAGTTTAACTTACTGGTTACTAGTGAACTGTGGTTTGTGAGAGATTCTGGTTCAAGCACCAAACCATCAAGCACAATTATTAGTTCTCCTGTTTGCACCAAGCCACTCTTGTTTTCCAGTGAGAGTTTCAACTGTTCTTTGACTCTTTCTACTATAAGAAAAAAAAATATTTCAATGAACCAGTCACTAGAAAAAATAATTGCGCTATATATATATATATATATATATATATATATTTAAGTAGGCTTGCATTAATACTTAACTTTTCATTTTAATTCTTTGGAATGATTGATTCAAATATTAAGATTACACTGCTACAGCATGGTTTTCCACATTATATCGATGCTTAACAGAAAATGCTACTGTAGAGCATAAGGGAGAATCCATGGCCAGGTAATGTCATATCTAAGCCTTGCCAGCCACAGCAGGAGTTGGACAGTGGGAGGAGCAATTTATCTAAATAATTCTAAAGTTCTTGGGTTTTGTTTTGGTGTTTTTTTTTTACCTTTTTCAATTTCTCTTTCATAAGTTCCTATAGGAGAGAAACTCATTTCATCAACTCCAAGGCTAACATAGTTTTCTTCCTGTTGTGGGGGTGTGCTAGAGGTATGGGGGCATCCTTGGACCCTATAGATCAAATACCCCCCTCAATCCAGCCCAGCATGCCTTTATTTCTCTCTTGCTCATGGTGCACCAGCCAAGGAGAAATGGCAGAAGTTCACTGTTGAGGTTTCCATAGGCATGAAGAGCGTACGAAGTCAGACTTTCCATTCTACATCACCTGGGACATATTTCCAGGGACTATACAACTGTGCCTTGAATAGTTCATCACAAACTATGCCACACAATTCCTTAAGAGTTGTGGATCTATTTGTGCCTACACATAATCAATATGTAGATATAAGTACCCACCCACCCTGAGAGGTGTGTGTGTGTGTACACTTACAACAAACAAACATATACACCTGCCTAATCAGTTATAGGCTGGATTCAAAAGTTCTACAAACAGAAGGCAACTTGGGTAATTGGGCTTTCCAACCCTTCCTCCACTTCTGCAGTTCTGTGATCCCCACAAAGTCTCTCCTTGGAGTTGCAGAAAGCTTCTGTAAAGTATTGGATGCTTCATGTGGGGTTGTACTCAGTGCTTTTTTTCTTTAAAAATGTTTAGGGGCACTCTCATTTTCCTACTCATATTGAAATACTGCCCCTTAATGAGGCCAAACTTAGACTCACAAAATGTTTAGGGGTATGGGTTCCCCTGCATCCCCCCAGAAAAAGCACTGGTTGTACTATAAATGGGAAATCTCTGAAAATGTGGTTGGAGACAGCTTGGGGCTCCTGCTCATGCAAGACACATCAGCCTAATAAAATGAACCTTTATAGATTTGCTCATTCCAATTGCTTTATGGGTTATGTTTTATCAATCATAACACTCCTACAGTCACCAGCAAGGTCAGTTTATGTGGGGTGGGAGAAATTATGCAAGATCAAGTAAGCCTTAAGCCTTTATATATAGCTACAATATATGTAACAATTGGAACATCATCTGCAGTTAAACATATATATTACAAAAACCAAGACACATTTTCGTATAAAGATTTTGTTAACTAATGAAATTTAAATAAACTGGAAACTTACATCTTCTATCATGCATTTCCAAGGCTTGTCTAAGATCTACAGTGGCTTTTCCTAACAAAGCATCAGCTTTTAAAGTATGATGGCTCCAAACTTTAAATTCCAAAGTGGTCTGCGGAGTCACATTCCTATAAACAACAAACAAGTTTCAATTCCTTTTTCATCATGGCACACTGCAGTCTATCAGTTTCATCATATTCAACATACAAAACAACAGCTAGACCTAAATAGAGTTTAGACATAAATCTGCATTATGAAGTTAAACAGCTGTGTTTAATAACAGTCAAATTTGTCAATGTTGAATTCCCCCCCCCCCCCGCCGCCGCCCACTGAAAAATGCAAGTACACTGCTCTGAAGACCTCTCCCCAGCCTAGGCACCCAAGTCTAATTAAGTTCCAGAGATATGCAAGAGTCAGGATATTACACAGTACAGAAGCTACACATTTTGTTTTGGCACAGCTTGCATCAGGTTGGAATCCCATAGTAGAAAACAGAGCAGAGACAGGCAGCATCCCAGCTTCTAGTTATGCTTAGTTTGCACCTAGAGGGAATCATGTGAATAAAATTGCCAGTGTGAAGAGAATATTTAGAAGGGCCAAGTGCTTGTGAAACAGTCAAACCACTTATTTCCCAGACCAGAATCCTGAAAGCAAGTCTACTTTTTTACAAGCAAGTGGATAGAAGCCTACTGAGTCCTGTATTTACGGAAAGGAAAGGACAGAAAAAAACCTGAATGAGCCTGCATTTATTGTGCCTGGGTAACCCAGCCAGATAGGTAGGGTATAAATAGTAACACTGTAGTAGTAGTACAAATAATAAATTTGTTGTTGTTGTTAGTTGTGTTAAAATACATTTACATAAAAGTAATTACAAAAAACATTTGAAACTCAAATAAAAATGAATACAATAAAACAAACAGAAAAGAAATTAGAAACATAATGGGAAGGAAGACAAAGCTGTTCTTTAACAAGTTGTAGATTTTTATACTTAGGCATTGATGTCATAAATCATCAATTTCAAACTGATTTGGGCTACATAGCCTCACCTAATCTTTTCTGGAACCTACAGATGATTCTTGGCTCTCTATGTAGCCACTGTGAACTGGAGGAATACACCCAATGTTCTCTCACCACATCATTCATTGCATAACTAGTTATTCCATACTGGGTGGGCGTGGGTGTCAATAAATGAAAGCCCTCCTTATCCATAAGTTCTTTCCACTGTTAATGTTTCAGTTCTGATACGAACATACTTATCAGAGTGAAGGATCTCATATTTTTGTGTGTAAACAGATCTTTCAAGAAGAGCAAGAGACTTGGAGCAGTCCCAAACACTACACCTGCTGGTGCTGAATAATATAGTATTTTATATTATTTAACAGTATTTCATATTATAGCACTTAAAGTAAAGCACTTAGGTTTATTTTTATTAAGAGGTACAGGTAACTTACATCTTACATGGAGATTACGTTTCTGGCCATCGTGTGCAAAAGCAAAATTGAGGAAAACCCATGATATGGCAGCTTGTACTCATGCACTCTCCCTGCAGCTTCACATCCCATCCACCTTCCTCAATCTTTTTTCTAGCTGCCCCATGGAAAGGAAGAAAATGGAGGCACAGAGGGGTTGTTGCTGCCCACTGGCCCTTCTTTTGGCCTGTCCCACCCACTTTCTATTTATTTAATTATTTCCTGGCCAAGTGTGCCAAGCGAAATAAGCGTAAGATGCAAGTTACCTCCATAAAAATCTTGTAAAATCAAAAATGCATCTCAGCGAATCATTATCCCACAGCAAGGAAGTTGTTCACAATAATAAAAGTTATGAAGAAAGATCTACTTACACAGTCAACTGTTCATCCCATTTTGGATTTGAGGAACTGTTAGATTTAGACGTTTTCTTAACTTCACTATCAGCTACTAGTTCTGTATAGATGGCAGTTCCACCAAACCAGTTCTTTTTTCTTTTCAGTTTGGCACTAGAAACTAACAAAAACATTGCTTATAACCACTGGAAAACATTTCATATTGTACAATGACAAACATATCTTATTCAATAATAAATTGAAAAAACAATGTTTGCTTTCTCAACTTCTGCTGAAAAATGTAGCAGTAACCCTATTTCTGGCAGTTTAAAAAAAATAATCAAGCAGAACACATTTCATCTTTCATCTTAGGGCAAAGCACTGCCAGGGGCAAGAGGGGATGGTGTGGAATAGCAAAAAGTGAGGATATTTTAAGTGTGTGGCTATAACGGAATACTACTTCTGGCCCTCTGGAGCTTTGGTTTAATATTCAGCATAACTCATTTACAATGTCAATATATATACATATGATATGCAGTGCTTTTTTCTTAAAAAAATGTTTAGGGGTACTCTCATTTTGACTCAAGAAAATCACCATTTTATAGTTCAAATCATGGGAAATAAATACAGTAAATGGACAAAAGTACAAAGATTCACAAAATGTTTAGGGGTATGCATACCCCTGTGTATCCCCGGGGGGGGGGGGAGCACTGATGATATGTATACAAACAAACAGGAAAGGGCCACTGTATCCTTCAGAGGCACTGTATAACTCGACGTTTTAAAAATTATGGGTCAGTAAACTATTATGAATCCAGTACCCACATGGGCCATTTCAGTACTAACATAACAGGGATTAAAATGTAGTATTTGATTCCCCCGGACCTATTTTTGAGCATGACACCATCAACTGGGCATCACTGTGTCAAAACTGATGATAAACTTAAATACACTTCTAGACTAAACAATAGATTATGCTGTTCCATTTCAAAGTAAACTCCAGCTAAGATCTAATTAAGTTATACATGAGATGCTCATGTTCTCAAGGAAATAAAGTTCACCTCCCTCTTGTTTCTCAGTGGCCCTGTATTGCTTCTTTTCTGTCACCACTCTCTTATCTGAAGAGTTTGTTACTAGGGAGTGACTGACTGTTATTTGTACTTGCCATGCAAACCAGGATTAAAACACAGACTGTGATCCTGGTTTGCAGAGCAAGCACAAATTACAGTTTGCCCGTTTTGATATAAACAAACTTTGGTTTGCCAAAAAAACAGGAAGTGACTAAGTATTTTGAGCACATAAGGGAAGGAAGGAATACACACATCCAAGGCTCCTTCTAGGCTTGTTCTCATAGTGCCAAACCATGTTGAATTGTATACTATGTACTGAGCTATTTTTGTTATATTAGGAAAATAGAAAAACTGAATAAAAACCTGAGTTTTGAAATCATATGCCATTTAAGAAAGTCTTTTTTAAAAAAAAAAAAATTCTTTTCATTCTTTCCCTAGATGAATTTCTGTGATCTAATTCAATATTTCCTGTCCACTCAATACTTCATCCTTTGCCTAAGGTGAGCAGAATATGGAATAAGTGAATGAACAGATGAAAAACACATGAAACTAAAAGAAATACAAACTACCCTATATTTCATATAATTTATTATTCAGGTGACAGAAAAGATAAATGGAAGAAATGGCAATGAATTGAAATAGATAACACAGTTTGCCAGTCTTCCACACTAGAAAATGTGAAGACCACTGTTATTCACATAAAGCCTTAAGCAAACAATATTCACTCTACAGTGTGCTTAAATTGCTTTGCCTTCTTCAGTCTTGACTGAAACAATCAAGCACAGTGCAGAAACATAACAGCACTGTTTGTGAAGAACCAATCTACATACAATAATAAAATATACCACGGATGTTATCTAGAGAAGCAAGCTAACAGGTGTTGCGGGCTCATATTTTTTTAAAAAAATGGCTGCATTCATAACATTAGTACTGTGTTGATTTAGCATAGATTAAGAGGCAGGTGCATGTTGTTGAGCTTTTTTGTGGAGGATTACCCAGAGTTGTTGTGCTTTTTTGGGGAGGGGGATTACGTAGGGTTGTTGAGCTTTGTTTAGGGGGGGTTGCCGAAAATCCACACACGTCCCAAAATCTGCCTCACGTCTGTCCCATCGCCGGAACAAACTGCCAATCGCCCACCCAATTGCCACAGCGTCAGCCAATCAACACCAACCATTGACGCAGCAACCAATAACACGCCTAACAGTCGCTGACAGCCACGGCAGCAACCAATCAAACGTCCACCCTACGCACTATCCATGTATAAGATGGTCCCCACTTTTTTGCATAATTTTTAAAGAAAACAAACTAGTCTTATACACAGAAAAGTACGGTATTACAAACTATTAGGAACACACCTCTCATTTTCCCTTTTTCACAAATGTATAACTTGACACTGCTACTTATATGTATTGTTCATTATCTATTATATTTTAGTATGTATTACATATTTCTTATTATTATGAATTGTATTTATATGATTTTTAATTTTTGTATTGTGTGGATATTATGGATTTACATTATCTTGTTTATTATGTTGCAAACTGCGCTGTAGCGTTTTGACGAAGGGTAGTATATACATTTCCTAAATAACAACAGTTTACTGGACAGCAGTAATTCTAGTCTATTGGAGTTAAATACAGCAGAATTACACTACTGGTGAACCCTGAAAGCAACTATAATCTCAGCCACTGTTCTGTATCAAATTAGATTGCTTTTTAAAATGGAAGATTTCAAATGCAGGGTCATTCAGCAGAAACTGGCAGGGAGGGAGAAGGCAGAAGGATTGTTGGACATCTCTAAAACTAGGGGGGGGGGGATGTAACTAGATTTCCTGCCCATCCATGCATACCTTGTTACATCATTTGTGAACTTCAATGACATGGAGTTAGTTACCAGTCAAAGGCTCAAAGGAGTGAAAGGTATTTGGCCCCAAGCCAACTGGGCCTTTCAGAAGTTGCTGTGTTCTTGGCTTCTCAGGAGACCAAAGAGCTAAATAAATGTAGGCTGACATTGCCAGGTAAAATGACATCTCAGACCGTTACTGTTTCAGAGTTTTAAAGTACTATTGAGGCTTTGCAAGAATTACTTATTGGATTTGAGGCTCAGAAAGATAACTTAAAGCATTTGTGTCTATTGAGATAATATATGTGAAGTTCTCTGATTATTCTAAAATGCTATACAAATATTTGCCATTTTTCAGCTAAAGAAGCTCTCAAAGTAATATACAAAAGTAATACAGAGTTCACTTATTACACTTACATTAATTAAGAGATCTATCTTCCAGTAACCTCAGGTTTAAAGGATGACCACTGAACCATCCAAACAAGCTATACTTTCCTGGTTTCCCAGGAAGATTGTAAGACTCATGAGATATCTGCAGTTTCTTCAGCAGTAACGGGCATAGCTAATAGCCGGCTATTAAACATTGTACTATTGCTGTAATTTTATGATTTCAATATAAACAGACAACAGTGCTGGATGAAAAATTGCTTCACTCCTATACACAAGATGTTTGTGTTTATGGCAGTGGCAATCCACCCCACAATTTACAGATAAGCTCTCTCTAGAGTACTGCAAGAGGGAAACAGTTGGGATCCATTTTACTGAAAATTCAAAACTAGCATGCTCAGTGGAAAATAGCAGTGTCCGTAAGCCACAACATAAATGGATTGACAAAAAAACAAAGATTGCTCCATCTGCCATTTCTGCAATGCACACTCATCAAGCTTTTACGGAATCAATTCTGTCCTTTCTAAGGAAGATAATTTTTAATTATTTTAGACCACACAGGTAATTAATATAAAATGACTTTGCATGTTTCTGTTAGGTTTTCCAAATGTATAATAAGTTTGTGATTTATAGTTCTATATGTTCGTTGTAATCAGTGGCTAAACAATCAAATGTATACTAATGGTTAACCCTATTCAATGTGTGCCACTTCTTACGTAGTCAAAATGACACCATCCACAAACAAGAGGGAGGCATCAGCAGACTTGGAAGAACCTGAAGGCTTGCAGAAGTGCAAAAAATAAAGGGAGTGGCCCACAAAAGCTGGACTGAGCAGGCTCAGTGGACATGTAATGCTGGCTGATCATTCGTGGCTTGGATGAGACACAAAACTAGAAAGGATAGAGAAATGGAATGGCAAGAAATCTGAACGGGAGGACTCCACTGTACTGTTAGTTACTACTAATATCCATAAGTGTAACAAGGAAGTCTGTTCTTAGAACCCAGAAGACAATTAATGGAAAATACCAACATCCTTGTTTAGGATTACAAGACTGAAAATCTGTATGTATACACAACAGAACAACTAAAGGGAGCTATATATATTTTTTTTTTACCCACCCCTCTCAGTGGGAAAGGAACGGAGACACAAAGAAAAACTATGGCAATACACTTCACTGTGCATACATAAATTATACCTTCCATTTAAAGAGACAGAGAAAACTAGAAGGACTGGATCAGCACTGACTGGTCACCTTGAAGCAATTTCTGCTCACCAAAGGTGAATAATGGCAAATTACAAGTTAGTGCTAACAAGAGGGCATTTAAAGGATCAGGTTTATTATTTGCAAATTTTTACTTACTAGTTACTTGCATTTGCAGTCTTCCATGATAGTTATTACTGCTTCCAGATCTTGGAGAGGCTGCAGCCATGTCAGAGGCTACAACTTCAGCCTATTAAAAAAGATAGAAAGAAAGAAATATTTGACTACATGCACCAGCCACCAGTTTCAATGGCATTGACCACTTTAATACCGGTATATACTAGACTCTTTTTAAATAAAAAGCAACATTTTACTTTAAATTTAGTCAGTCTTTCAAATCTGTCCAAAAATTTACAAATTGTCAAAAAGTGTATCAACTCACCTGCCCACATATATCCATGTCACAAATTATTAATACGAATATATACCCTTGTTTTACAGTAAATCTCACCACATTTTCAAGAGTTCCTCCTATATCCCCCATGCCATGCTTTTCCAGGAGCATCTGACAGTTTAATATTGAAAACAGACACAAGAGCCAAACACTTGCACAACCCCACACTACATAAAACTTGCAGGAACAGTTTTCAGCTGGCCTGTAGTGCCCCTTAGGTTCTACACATAGTACTTTTGATTCCAGATACTATGTTTGATTCAGGTAAATTTGGTATGTTTAGGACTGCAGAAAACTGCAGAAAACACACATAACAGGATATGAGAAGAATAAGGAACAACTGTACCCCCCCCAAAAAAAAAAATTAGTACAAGGATGTGCTAAATGCCACAGCACAATGCTGTATAAACACAGCAGTGATATAACTGGTATGATTAAACAAATGGCCAGTTCACATGCTTATCAGAAGATGATGCTTATCACATCTACATTGTAACATGTATATATTCTGCACAAAGTCTTCTCCGTTTCTGAAAGAAAATTTCGTGCAGATCATTTATAAATATATCACCACAGACACAAACGGGATTTTGTGAAACTAGCTTTCACAAACATCTAATTTTTGGCGATAACCATGAGAGCAAATCTTTCTAATAACTGAGTATCAAGAATGATAGGTTTTAGAGAGCCCTATAAAGTTCTACACTGTCTACCACCAAAGAAATTTTAAAACAAGGCCAGGCCAGACAAGAAACTGCAATTACCCCATCCCAACCATTTGCAATTGCAGTTGGTTTATCTCATTATAACCAACCACTTCAGAAATCACCCCACCCCTCCATCTATATAAGCCTTAGGGTTTGTTTGTTTTTACTAGAATATCTGAGCAATTAACCACAGTTGCTTAACAGACCTATTTCAACTTCACCCTCCCAATATTTTCCAAAATTCACCTGGTGGCTTCCCAAGACTGTTCACTAGCCTGCTCTCTGCCCTTGACCTTCTCCAGTTGCTGGGCCATATTCTATAAAAAGACTATGCTAAATCTATGCTTGACAATCTATCCCAATTAAAAATAGTGAGGATTTACCATCTTTCTATAACCACATGCATCTGTCCCTAAATGAAATTAAAAGCAAACAAATAGCAATGTTTAGGGCACTTATGTCTAGTTACTAGAATTATACAGAAAGGCTTTCGCAATGCAGAGTGGGCAAGGAATGTTTTAAATAAATACAGAATTAAATTTAATTACAAAACACAGAAACTAAGGTAAGTAGTATGGTAAGTTGATGATTTAAAGATTACCTAAAATGTATGGGTACCTAAATAATAGAGCAACACAGTGAATCAAGGAAAGATAAACAGTTGGCAATCATAAATGCAAAAGGGGAAGATGTTCAATTTGATCATGAAAAAGGTATCAAAAGTGATGATGATGATGATGATGATGATGATGTAGAGTTAGGACTGAGTAGTAAGGTGGACAAGTTTTCTAATGATACTAAATCGTTCAGGATTATTAAAGCAAAGACGAGATTGCGAAGAGCTCCAAAAATACCTCTCCAAACTGACTGAATTGCAAGTTTAACGCTCTGTGTAACACATGCATGTTGGAGCAAAAAATCATAATTTCACATACATACTCATGGGGTCTGGCAGGTCATGAAGGACCAGAAACAAGACCTTATGGTCACAGTAGACAGTTTGATGAAGAGGTAGACCCAGTGTGCAGAAGCAGTGAAAAGGTCAAATTCCATGCTAGGGATCATTAGGAAAGGAATTGCAAATAAAACTGCTGATATCATAATGCAGTTATATAAATCTATGGTGCAACTGCATCTGTAATACTGTATACAGTTTTGGCTTCCACACCTAAAAATAATATTGTAGAGATGAGGAAAGTTAAGAAAAGTACCAGCCAAAATGATCAAGTGAGTGGAACAACTCCCCTATGAAGAAAGGTTGCAACATTTGGGACGTTTTGTTTTTGGAAAAGGTGAGTAAGAGGTGACATGATAGAAGTTCATTAAGTTATGCATGGCATGGAGAAATTGAAAAGAAATTAGTTTTTTCTCCCTCGCTCATAATGTGTGAATTCTCACTAGAGTTTGTGAACATCCAATGAAGCTCAATGTTGGAAGATACAGAACAGATAAAAGGGAATTACTTATTCACGTAGAGCACAGTTAAACTATGGAACTCACTCCCACAGGAGGCAGTGATGGTTTTAAAAGACAAGTTCATGGAGGAGAGGACTATCAATGGTTACTAGCCATGATGGCGATACTCTGACTCCACAGTTGGAAGCAGTAATGTTTCTGAAAGAGAACAGGTTGCTGTAATAGATGAGCCAGCAAGTTCTTATGTTCTTGGTTGTCAGATGAACCCCTGGGATAGCTCGATCAGTAGAGCATGAGCCTCTTAATCTCAGGGTTGTGGGTTCGAGCTCCATGTTGGGTGAAAGATTCCTACTTGCTTCAAATGATTTACATTTAAATGCATCTTAAAATGATTTACATGACTTTTTATTTTGTCTAGAATGTCATCTCTCGTCACCACTATCAGCCTCAGTTCATCATACTCCCTCCCTGTAAGAGTTAGTTCAGGCACTAGGGCAGAGCTCCTCAAACTTTTTAAACAGGGGGCCGGTTCACTGTCCCTCAGACACTGCTGGGGGCCAGACTATAGTTTGAAAAAAATATGAACGAATTCCTATGCACACTGCACAGATTTTATTTGTAGCGCACAAAAAACAGGAAAAACAATACAATGTTTAAAATGAAGAACAATTTTAATCAACATAAACTTTTCAACTGCACCGAAACTGAAGTTGTTTAAAGAAAGAATGAGATGTCTAGAATCCAGGACGCTTTTGAAACGTGTGTTTCGAAAACTCAGGAACCCAGATTCCCTGCAAATCAACTACAATTACAGTGTGTGTGTGTGTGTGTGTGTGTGTGTGTGTTGGGGATTGTAATAAAAGGGTACACTTTTTGCCAATTTGTTCACTGGAGATTTCCCCCAAACTCTCCCGCTATGACCGTCGCCACACACCCCCAGCCTCACACAAGCAACTACTTAAGAAAGAATGAGAGAGAACGGGGGACAAATCTTTCTCCTGTACACAAATCCCCATTCCCCAATTCTTTCTTTGGTGATACAAGCGCCTCCTGAGCTCCAGGAGGCTCACATGCAAGTTTGAGGTAGGGGAGACAGGAGGCAGCGAGTAAAGCCCCGGGGGTGTCCAAGGACACCAGTTGCCGGCTGAAAGCTCTTAGCAAAACCTCGGAGAGAAGAGAGAGAAAAGTGACAGCTCCCCTGGAAAAGTCTTGGTAGAGTGAGAAAGAGTCGTGAAATATAATAAAATTAAACCCCGAGCTCTCCAGAACTGACGACAAAGAAGGCTTCTATTTCCCCCACCCCACAGAAAGTGACCCAAAGGCAGTCCCCCACGGCTACAACAAGGCAGTAGTGGCAGCTGCAGCTAGAAGCAGCCAGAGGAGTGGCCAGCCCTAGGCAGCGGTGGCCAGGGACTGGAGCCGTGGGCGGGCCACCATGCTGGACAAAGGCGCGTGGGCTCTGGAGAGGAGAGGGCACCGCTGGCCACACGGCCCGGCGGAGGACGGCGAGGGCACCTTGCCACATGCGGTAAGGCTCCCCATCGTAGCCAAGTCCCCAGCGGCTCCACTGGGGAGAAGAAACTTTAGGTGCTTCGGAGGGGAAGACGCAGCGGTGGCGGCCCCCAGGAAAAGCAGGAGCAGCCTGGCAGGGCGGAGCTGGAGCCCTGCCTTCGCTTCCACCTCTCCAAGCACGCACATGCCTCCCTCCAGGCGGAAGAACCCGGCAGGTGCATCTCATGACAGGCAGGCCTGTGTCCGTCACCCAAGTGGGGGGGGCCTTCCATGGAGCCACCCCTGCTGCTGCTGCCACCACCGCCACCGTTTCTCCCCTCAAAGCCTCCCTTACTAGGCCAAGCCCGGGTCAGACAGATCTCCAAGTTGAGGTCGATGCACATCCGGGCTTCCCTGTTCTTCTGCTTCAGCTTGGCCTCCAAGTGGGACAGTTTCCGCTCCAGCGAGGACAATGCCATCTTCCCCTCCTCCCCCAGAGCCACTGACAATGCCGCCACTGCGCAGCTAGAATACACAAACACCGCAGTGCGCACGTGCCAAAAGGACCAACCAGGCCACCATATTATACTCCTCCTCCCAACGCAAAGGCTCAGTTCCACCTTTGCCCATTGTGCTTGTTTTGCCTCACGGCTTTTCCTCGCTTTCCACATGCGCAAGGGCATTAAAGCGCTGCCCAAGCTTAGTATCAACACAGCCGTGCCTTCAGTAATATTTTGGACATTCTCCTTGCCAGTACTCATGCATCTCAGGCGGGCCGGGTTTAGGAGGCTGGTGGACCGGATCCGGCCTGCAGCCCTTAGTTTGAAGACCCCTGCACTAGGATCTACCCTTTATCTTCCACTGACAGATGCAAAGAAGTAATTCAGCTTCTCTAGAATCTCCTTATCCTTCTTTAGTACACATTTGACTCCCTATTCATCCAAGGGCCCAACAGTTCCCCTATACTTCGGTTACTAAAGTATTTATATAGCTTTTTGTTGTTGGTCTTCAGGTTTTTAGTAATGTCCTGCTCAAATTCTTTTTTAGCATCCCTTACTGTCTTGATTATGGGACGTGGGCGGCGCTGTGGGTTAAACCAGAGAGCCTAGGACTTTCCAATCAGATTCGGATTGGATCCCCGCGACGGGGTGAGCTCCCATTGCTCGGTCCCTGCTCCTGCCAACCTAGAAGTTTGAAAGCACATCCAAGTGCAAGTAGATAAACAGGTACCGCTCCAGCGGGAAGGTAAACAGTGTTTCCATGCACTGCTCTGGTTCGCCAGAAGCGGCTTAGTCATGCTGGCCACATGACCTGGAAGCTGTACACCGGCTCCCTCAGCCAATAAAGCGAGATGAGCGCCACAACCCCAGAGTCGGTCACGACTGGACCTGATGGTCAGGGGTCCCTTTACCTTTATCTTACTGTCTTGATTGCATTTGTTTTGCCAAGGATTGTGTTCCACTTTGTTTTCTTCATGTTCTGAAGTCTTTTGGACAAGACTTCAAATTTTTGAAGGAAGCCTTCTGGCCTCTAATAGGGCTTTTGACTCTGCTCATTAACCACGCTACTATCCTCTTGGCCCTTATAGTATGTTTATATAGCAGTTGAGCTTCTACTGTTGTGTTTTTTAACAACTCCCAAGCATTTTAATATCTTTGGCTTTCAATTTCCTTTTTATCAATCCCTTCATTTTGGGGAAGTTTCCTGTTTTGAAGTAAAATGTGATTGTGTTATATTTTTCTTGGCAATTGGCCATGTACATGTATATCTAATTAAACAGCACTATGGTCACCACTCTCAATTGGTTCGACAACACTTACATCTCACACTAGATCCTGGACACCACTCAAGGTTAAATCCAGGGTCACCACCATTCTGATCAATTGCATGACCAACTGTTCTAGGGCACAGTGATTTAGTGTACAGGCAGCCCCCTGTTTATGTGGGGTTATATTCCAAGGCACCATGCGCAACAGTTAAATCACGTATAACTGAAACCCACTGAAAAAGTCTACAAACACCCCGCTCCAGCTCATCATTTTAGTGATGTTTCAGTAATGTCTTTATGATATTTCTGGATTTGGCGAAATATGCAGTTATGCACATTTAGAATTTGCATAAACAGGGGGCTGCCTCTATATAGAAATTTTACCTCTTGGTCATGACTGGAACACATATAGAGCCAGTCTAGGTATGGGTAAGTGATGTCACTCATCACTACAACATCTGAATCCTTAGGATGCTTCCTTGATTTTATTCTTCATCTCAAGATATCCTGAAGCATTTTGATCAGGGCAGTGATAGTATGTTTTGTACTAAATTACTAAGTGGCCCAGTATCACCAACCACAAGAGTCCTGTGGAAGGGCCTGCCCCTTCAGGGATTTCTAGCTTGCTAGTCTTAATGTCCCCTTTGATGTCCAGAGTGACACCTCCTCCAGTATGTCATTCCCTGTCCTTTTTATACAGTTTATATTCAGCCAGAGATAGCCATGTCCCACTAGTGCTATGTCTTGTCCACTTAAATTTTCATCAGCTTTCTCAGCTTCATCCCAGGATGGAGGATCAGTTCCAAATAGGACCCTCCTCAGCTCAATCCTATGCATGGTTACTCAAAGATACACCAATTTAATTCAATGGTCCTTCCCTCTAGGTAAGTGTGTACAGAACTACAGTGGTACCTCGCAAGACGAATGCCTCTCAAGACGAAAAACTCGCAAGACGAAAGAGTTTTTCATTTTTTGAGTTGCTTCACGAGACGAATTTCCCTATGAGCTTGCTTCGCAAGACGGAAACGTCTTGCAAGTTTGTTTCCTTTTTCTTAAAACCGTTACAGTAATACAGGGTGCATTGCTTGAAGAAGTGCAGTTGCGACTTGACTTCGGGGAGCAACTCATAGCACGCGGTGTAGTAGCCTTTTTTGAGGTTTCTGAAGATTTTTTTGAAAAAATTGAAACCGTGCTTCGCAAGACGAAAAAACTCGCAAGACGAAAAAACTCGCAGAACGAATTAATTTCGTCTTGCGAGGCACCACTGTACATCCAAGCAATATCACTATTGTTTTTTGAGCCATTCCAAGGCGTTTGCTACTAACACAGTCAGCAGTATATCTAAATCATCTTTCTCAACATATTACTTTAGATAGGCTAGTAATATTTTCTTTGGATCACAATGATCTGTTATCCTGTGATTTTTTTTAAACCAAGATTATTCTCCAGAATTTTTGAATAACCAAACATAACCAAATAAATTCATGAGTTAAATTCAAGCTAATTATGAGTTATGAAATTGACTTGTTTAACTATCCTTGTGTGTTTTAAGCCATGAACCCTGTTTTATATGCAACACTAAGCCATTGAAAGCACAACTGAACAGAGCAGAAGTCTTCCTCCTAGCCGTACCACAGGAAAAGGAAGGTGGAGCATGTGAGCCCTATACTTCACGCGATCTTTTGGAGGCGCATCCACAGAGCCATTATTACATGTGAATCAGGCAGCTAACCAATTCAAATTTAAGGAGCAGAAGCGGTGGAATGGAGTGGCATTGCTTACCTGACTTCCTAACACAAAGTAAGGAGCAGGAAGGTGGGTATGATGTGGGTGCAGCAGCAGAGTTAATCTGCCTCATCTTCACGTTGCCCACTGCCTCATCCCTCCTGTTGGTTCTCAGAAGCAACCTCCACACTGAAAAGCCAGGTAAGCTAAACTGTCCCACTCCACCAGCTGCTACTAGTTAAGAATAGTGGAGTTTAACTTGCAAGGTTTCATTTTAACCAATTTATTTTAACATAAATTCTTAATAAATGACTTTTAAAACCCAAGTATATCAAACATTGATTTTTATCCACCATGCTATAAGATGAACTCACAGGACACACCACATTATCTTACTCACAGTTTCCACTGCCCCATTACACCTAAGCAGCAATAACATGAGAACTCAACTTAACCACTAACTCAGGGATGGATGGTACCTTTTCCAGGCAGAGGGCCTCACTCCCTTCTGGGCAACCTTCTGGGGACCACATGCAAAAGTGAGAAGAGCAGTGAACATTTCACCTTTGTATGATAGGATTATTTCCATGCACATTTACATACCCCTCTCTATTCTCTATCCAGGCAAGGAAGAGTAATTATCAGAGGCAAAGGACACATTTCAGCAAGGCAAAAACACTCAAATATAAAGCAATATGGTAAAGCAATACCAGTGAAAGGTGTGATGTGGGGAGAGGGGTTGTGGCCTGCAAAAAGTCTGGAAGGCAATGTTTGGCCTGAGCCTGAGGTTGCCTAGCCCTGTTCTAACTGTCCCCAACCTGTGTACACACTCAGCTCTTTTTCATTTGTTAAACAGAAACTCAAAGATTAACACTTTAACCACTTTATTTAGAGGATCATCTTAAGCACCAAGTTTATGCTGATACTCAAGTGAAGAAAGGGGCTACAAATCCCACTGGTCTGAGCATACTTAAATCTCTTTTATTTAAATCAATGTGACTTACAATCTGCTCGTATGCATGCTATGGAAGTAAATCAAATTATGCTTAATACTACAAAGTATGCATAATACTGCAATCTTAGGTGCTTAACTTTGGCTAGACCATGCCTAAAAGGAATATTACATAAGTTACACACATTGTAGAACATGGCTAGAGAAACCTCTGAGTCATTTTGGCTAAGCCATCCTTACCTGCCAGTCACATGATGTCCTATATGTCAGGTGTGAGCTGATAAAAAGGTAGATGGGCCAAAATGAGTTTTAAAGCCCCATCAATCATCTGCACACCTGGCATCTGAAGCATACCTGCCTTTTCAAAGTGCCATGTCACCCAATGTCATTGTGAAGTCAGGTGATTGGCAGAGGACAGCCCCATCCACCCGTTGAATTAGGCCTGGGGAGCAGGGTTAGAAGACATAAGGATTCAGATCCAGTTCCCTATTGCAGAACATTGGTCTTCAGTTCCTTGTATTGTAACCCAAAAGTGTTGTAATCCAAAAGTAATCATGCCACCACCATTTATTTTTAGGGCTTAGCTTTAACAGAAAAAGCAGATATGAAGAGACCAAATGTAAAGGAACTCCATTATGTGGAAGAAGGCATTGTGACAGCTACAGCATGTTTCTACTTTATCTTTTAGTGTGTATACTTTCCCAACAAATCAATGCTATACATTAAAAATCCAAAATTTAAAGTAGCAGTAAAACCAATTAACACGAAAATAACAGCACTAGATAAAATCCTAAAATCATCCAAAAGCTGACCAAATTACAACAAAAACAAAAAAACAACCCAGGGTTTCCCTGAAGATCAGCAGAAATGAAGCCATATGAATTCCCTCAGAGAGGCATTTCAGAAATTTGGGGTTTGTACTCAACAACCTGACCATTTTTATCAGTGGACCACAAAGAAGGGCCTCGGATGTCAATCTCAGGTTTCTAGCAGGTACTTATTAATGTAGGCAGTCCTTCTGACAGTCTAGACCCAAAGTCTTTACTATTTTAAACACCATCACCTTAAATTAGGCCCAGAAGTGAACAGGCAGGTAGTGTAACTGGCGCTGTAATAAGATAAGAACGCTTGACTCCTAGAAGTGTTCTTGCTACCACATACGTGGTGCAGTAATTGAAACTACTGTATTATCTTTAAGAGAAGCTCCATGCAGAGTGCATTCAAGTAATCCAACCTGAATGTAACCAACACAAATGACACTGAGGCAAGATCTGCCTCCTCTGGATAAGACAAAACAGCTCAAACTAGTTAAAACACATGGGCCACCAATGTTACATGTGCCTCCACAGATGGCACCAAGTCCAGAAGCACTCCCAAAATGTTCACTTGGCCCCTTAGGGGGAATACAATGCCAACTGGATGTGCAGTTTTCCCCAACTCACAGCACTTTTGTCTTGTTGTTTAACCTCATCTACCCAAACACTGCCCCCAGGTATCTGTTCAGGGTTTCCTTAGGATAAGAATGTGGAAAAGAGAGATGGAGCTGCATGACCTCACTAGTAGTTTCATTTATGTTAAAAAGTATGGGAAATAAAAAAGGACCGTGAAGAATGCCAAAGGACATTAGGTAGAACGTAAGTCCTCCAGCACCATCTTCTGAACTGTAACCCCCATGCAGGAACAGTGTCCTCAAGTGACATCTGAGACAGACAGCTATGGTCAATGATATAAAAAACCACTGAGAGGTCCAGAACCAAGGAGATTGTGCTCCCCCCATGCCCATTCTCTAGCACAAGTCATTCACACATGCATTTTCTGTCCTGAACCCAGACATGTAATCCCTGACCCAAATACTCTATTCTTCCATCCCAACAGAGTTGCTTTCTTTTTATTTACTCCTTAATTTTCCTGGGTGTTTAAAGAAGCATTTTCCTGATCTTTCCATGTAGCTCCTGAGCAAGTGGAAGGGGAGTATTTTACTTGAGAAAAAAATGATTGATGTTCTCCCTCACCTCTTCTTTCTGATTATATGGTTTGGAGAGATTAAGTTTTCCCCCCAGCTGCTTAAGGAAAAAATAGTAAGCTTCTGCCAAACTTATGCATGGGTGGGGGGCATACTAAAGTTGGAGAGAAATAAGTATTCAGATCAGTGCTGTATTAGTTTGTTGTATGTTTTAAAAACGTCTATATACTTGAGATCAACCAATCAAATCCAATTAGGCTTACTTCGGGGCAGAACAGGCCTGCAAATTTTAACATTAGTGAAAATTGAAGCAGGGCAGTCTTTATTTTGGATCACTCAATCTGGAACACTTTTGTCTCTAGCATTTCCAAAGGAATGTTGCAGGAAATAGAAAGGTTTCCCATCCTGTGTTAAATCATGGTTTAGAAAGACATGCACAAAAAGAAGCAAACCTTGGGCTCCCACTCCCCTTCTTCCATTTTCTCCTCCTACACAGATGGAACAGAAAGACTATGGAAACTTATTTCCTGTTTCCTATAAACATGACTTCTTATTTTGCCTGAACTGGAAATAATTATTCTTATTTAAACTGACTGTTTAGCACTGTTGGTGTTAAACTATGATCTACCATTTAGACAAAATGTAAAGTTATGGTTAAAAGAAACTAAAAGTAAAAGCTTCCAAAATTCTCCTGGCCATGTGGGTGAAAATAGGGGAGCACTCAAGCCTGAGGTTCACTGTGGCTCTTGTGTTGAGGAAAACCTTTGTTTAGTGTGATGTCTAAATATGTCCTAGAAAGTCCAAATAAAATGATTCCATATTGCAGGTTGGGGTTAAAGATGGGTGCTGAATCTGATGAAAACTACTGCTGTAGAACACCTGCATGTCAAAAAAGCAACATCTGAACATGTACAGTATTTCGGTCTCAAACCATGGTCTAAGGCACATAGTGCAGCAACTGTACTAAAAACATGTCTGAGTATAGCTGGCGTCTCATGAATACCCTGGAAACCCTTGAGTTCGTAACAGAAAAACAGGAGATGATATATTTGATTCATACTAGAAACTTAATAATAAAATACTCAACAGTGCACATTCAGCCATGTAGATTTACAAACACACAGTACTTGAGCACTAATTGTAGTAACTTGTAGAGTTGGTAACATTTTGGGAGAGTTCAGCTGCATAAGACTTAGAGCAGACACTGTCACATCACCTCAACACTGAAGTATTGTAAGCCTCTATTATGCAGGACCTTCCTTGTTCTGATCGAGTTTCTGAAGAGTCCCATTACCGTCCTATTGCATAACACTATCTTTTTTATTATTAGCATTCGTTAAGGCTACATCATATGCCCACTTACTTGGAAGCAAGTCACATCAGATTCAGTGCGACTTAACTTTCAACCAAGCATACAACAGAATCCAGCTGCATGTAACAATATTATTTCAGATACGTGGTGGAATACACGGTATTCTGGTAGGAAGGTATGATCAACCGTCGCAGGCCTTCCATTCCCTTTGCAGCAATAGAGAAAAGCAATGTTGTGCAGTATTTTGGGCAAAAAGAGGGAGGGTGATAGGACGAAGCTGGGGGGCGGGGGAGAGGGGGAGAGAGAGAATGACAGGCTGCAGAGTCACAGTAGGTCATCCCAAAGTGAGAGTGCCTCTTCCTTCTTCCTCTACCGCCTTTCCAAGAACGAAGGTAAACAGCAATCAAAATGTAACTAATATTCTCCTCCCCCTTTGGATCGAGAGGCAGGGGGCCGCCCTGCCGGGACTGCTTCCCAGGGCGCTGTCGGCTCTGCCAAGCCACTCAGCGCTGCTAACAGGGTTCAAGGCTCAAGCTGGCCCATCTCCCACGGCCTGCCTTACCCCGCCCCTGCCGCCAGTTAAAGATCCACGAAATGAATAAACAAGGTGACACCAGGGCAAGAGTGGCAAAAGGGTTGGAAGGGGGAGGCAGGCGAAGCAAGAAGACACGGGACACCCTTCGCCCTCCACCCCCCGAACCAGCAGGAGGGCCCGGCAGAGAGAGAGAGAAGGGGTGGGTGCGAGGGGGGGGGGAGACTCGCAGTTTCGCACCCTTTGCTCCCACCCGCTAAAGCGAGGCACCCCCTCCCCCAAAGGGGGCGAGAAATGCAGGGCCCCCACGACGCTTCTCTCCCTCAGGAGTCTCCGTCAGGCCACCGCCGCCAGGAACCGACCGAGAAGAGCTGGCGTTGGCTGCGCAGCCTGTTTATTTGTCAGTCAGTCCAGTCAAGCTGGCTGCTTTTCGGTGCCTGCCTTACCGTGGCTCTGAGCCCAGCTGCGTTGTGGTGCCGCCGCCGCCGCCGCCTCGCTGTGGCGGAGGGTTGTCCTTCCCCCTCCACGCCAGCCGCCGCCGCCGCCTCAGCCCTCGGCACCGCTCCCAAACGCCGCTGCCACTAACGCCGCTGCCGCCACAGCGCAACAAAATGATGCCATCTCACAGCAGCGGCATTGGAGGCTCCCCTCCTCCTGGCTCACAGAAAAAAGAGACACACACAGACAGAGAGGCAGAGATGGCGCGCGCGCGCCCCGTCTCCCGCCTGCCACTGGCGGCGCGCGCCCCAACCGTCGAGGTGGAGAGGGAAGGAGGGAGGGAGGGAGGAGGAGGAGGAGGATCCGGCGCGAGGCAACCCAAACGCGACTGAAGCGGCGAACGGAGAAGGGGGGCGGGGCGGGGCCGCCCTGCGCACGCGCACACATGGGCGCTTCAAGCCCTACTACGCAAAAGGAGCTGAGGAGATGGAACTTGTCGGAGCAAAGAGCAGCAGTTTGATTTACAGTAGTACCGCTCTCCGCCGGCGAGCGGAGGTCCCGGGCTGAACCACTCGCTGAGAAAAGTAAGGGGGTGGGAACTGAGGAAAGAATGTCTTCAAAGAGGCGCGCCGTTTAGCCCGGGCTGAACCAAGTGGGAGAGAAAACGAGACGTCTGGGAGGGGGTGTATTATACTGAATTAACTGGAAAAGCTGGCCGAGTGCGGGTTTTTTTAGAGTTGCTCAAGAGGACGCGACTGAGTTTTTATTTAAAAAAAACAAAAACAAAATATTATTATATTTAGGCAGTTTTGTGCATATATATAAGCTTCTAGGGCTCGATAGGAAGAGGTGAGCCTGTTCAACAAGCCTCTCTGTGCCATGAATGGAGTAACCTGAGCAGGTTTGTGGCTTGTCAGCCGATGAGGCAAAACTGATGGAAGGTCGAAGCTTTCAACCCCAAGGCCAGCCCAAGACATTTCGGCACCTGAGGCGAGCCACAAAATGGTGCCACCTCCTCCCTACTAAGGAAAAAGGGGTAGAAGTGAAGATCTGCATCAGGAAGAAGGGGGTTGTAAATATATACAGCAGGATTGTGGGTCTGCCACCTGAGGCAGTTGCCACACCTTCCCTCATGGGTGGGCCGGCCTTGTTCATGCCTATGTTCACTTACCTGGGAGTGAGCCCCAATGAACACAGTGGGACCCACTTCTGAAGAAAACATGCATAGCATTACCCTGTAAAGCAACTAAAGAAGGAGCATGAATTGTTACCTAGCCAGTTATAAACCAATCTGACCCAAGTTTCCCCCTATCTGACCACTTGGCTAGGGTTAGTTTCCTTGTTTGATGCTGAGGGAAGGCAAAAGCAATTTTAATTGTATAGCATATCAAGTGCAATGTTAAACATACTAAGGCATCATCCAACTTGGGGGCATGCACAAGGCCTGCCCCAAGACAATTTGCTGCCCGAAGCAGGAGTTGGCTGGAAGGGCAGCTGGATCTGACTTCAGCACTGGCAAAGGGACAGTGACTTCCATCACACCTGAGAACAGCAGTCTGGCTTAGCAGGCATGGTGTATGACTCATAGAGGATTGTCATTTTTCAAAAGGTTAAAATCCAGATACATTTCCTGGCTATGTCCAGAAAATTTCAGACATATGGCAACCCTAGACTCACACAGCTCTCCAGTATGGCACCACCAGCACTTATTTGTTTACAGTACTACATTCACCTCTGGCTGTTTGGATATATGAATCGGCAGTGTGCATAGCAAGGTTGGGGTACTAATTCATTGTGTTTGGATAAGTGATTTTTTTGTCTAACAAGCATTTGGATAGCAGGGCCTGTGTGTATTTCCAGAACTCTGAACAACACACAGGAAAAATATAGCATATTAAGTTCTCTAAAAAGTAGTTTTCAACAAATATATATATATGAAGCATAAGAAAATTGCATGGAAAAACTTCCTGTCCTCACTAACATTTTTCAGAGGGCAGAAATTTATATGTTAACCTTAGCCCAACTTTTTTAAGTTAAAAGAAATTACATAAGGCACACACAAGAATCATATTCCAGTGACGGTATGTCATGCAGCAATTGCATATCCTAGCATGCAATACTTCAAGTTAGCAGGATCAAATTAAAACTCCATATACTATTGGATCCATCATCTCAGCAGGGTATACCTTTTCATTATGCTGGAAGGAAATGTAATATGCTTCATGCAGGACTCTTACTTTTTAAATTGACCTCAAGGTCCTAGAAAGGTTATATGCCAAGCCATAAATCAAAACATATTTAATATCTCCGCAAAGGTTTTTCATCCAAGTGGATTCGAATACTGAAAAGAACATGAGCGAGCAAGATATTGAAAGTAGAATAGTGTCCATTCAATACATCACTTTTAGGGAAGGCTATTTTGAACTTTTTAAAGACAAGCTATCCTTTAGTGTGTGAGAGAATAACATTCTGTACTCTCTTCAAAAGCTTGGAAGGTTTTGCCGCACCACTTTTCTTTTAACAGATTAAGCATTTACAAGGATTAACATGAAATGCTTTTGCAATAGGTAGTTATTAAGCAACTGTTTGAGGTATAAACAACCAAGAGCCCAATTCAAATTCTCACTCAGCCATGAAGCCCACAGGGGTGAATTTGGGCCAGGGATGGGTGAGCTTGGGCCAGTCAGCCTAACTCCAGGACAGTTGTGCAGATAAAATGGAGAAGGGGAGAATGGCATATGCCATTGCCTTGCAAGTAAGGCAGGATATAAATATAGTAAATAAATAAAAACAAGGTAACAATTGTTTTGCAGTATAATTTTTGTGGACTAGACTTCACTTCATCACAGGCATGGTGGCCTCTTCAGTTGCCAGGGGCATATGTGCATGTATGCATATACCCAAATGAAAAGAAGAAAAGTAAGTAGCACTAGTAATACCCTACAATTTTCAGATAAGCCATCACTACAGTCTTTCACGACTGGACTTAACTGTCAGGGGTCATTTACCTTTACCTTTTACTCTTTTCATTTCATGATCTTTTGACCACCTTTTACACTAGAGTAGGGCTGCAAGCTGTATCAGTTGGATGAATCAATTAAAAAGATGCCTCTGATTATAATATTTCTTGAACTAGATTTCCAGAGAGGCAGCCTGCTATTTTGTTGCAGCAAAAACAACAAAGAGACTTATGGCACTTAAAAGATATAACACATTTATTATGGCATAACTGCAGTTCATGTCATCTGATAAGGCAGATTAAGGTCCTTTCCCTTTCTTAGAATCGTGGATCACCTGATCCAAGCTTAAAGCAAACCAACCAAAACTATGTCAGGTATGTTAACAAATGCATCTGTTTAGACTACATTTTTCCAATTAATGTGAAAAGAGAAATGATGGAAAAGCACCTAGTCATGTCGTACACATGCTCAGCCTTTTGACCAATTAATCTTCAAACAGCATACAAATAAATTTTAAAACAGCATCAAGATAAAATGCAAATAATTAAAGCAAGCAGGTATTTTTAAAAAGGAGAAAGAAAACAAGCACAATAGCAGCACAATAAGCAGCATGCATTTATGGTTTTAAATTGATCGTATGCACTGTCCCAAAGGCTAAACAGTTTTCAAATTAGTGTTCTGTTTTCCTTGCACATTGTGGTCCTGATCCATATCTAATAATATTTTGATACTGTGTGATTATGCTCCTATGGGATGAGCATACTCAATAGAACTAGATGACCATTCTGATGCACATCTGTATCAGCTGCTCATACAGCCCTACTGTGCTGGGGTAGGACTAAATAAGAGTAAATTACTGCCATATTCCCAAGTTTACCTTAATTAACATGCAAAGAGCTGTGGTTTCATTTAGCAACTCAGCTCTTCCATGCTGATCTAGTTTCTGTTTACTGTCTCTTGTTTAGGAAACAGCAATAAATGCTTACCTGTTTTGTAAGCAACTTAGATCAACATGTCTACCCATAGCTATGGGTTGACACTGTTGCAATTTGCAGATTTGCCTTTTCCAACATGCCCACAAATATTCTTTCTGTTTCTGCCACAACCAACCACCACCACTTCTTTTTTTTTTCCTTTTGGCAGAAGACCCAGCCTGGAGAAGAGAATTCTGGTGAGCTCAACAGCTTTCTCACTACATTATATCATAGGCACCTACACAACACCAAAAAAGAGGAAGCAAATTTGCACAAAATGTGCCTGTGCCAATGTAGAGATATAAAATTTGAAAGAATCTCTATATTTTAAATGCATCTCACCATCATGGGAAAAACTGGCCCAGTGATGCCTGGAACTGCTCAGTCTGCTGTCCTGTTGCTGACTGCTAAGGAGCAACTTCAAAGCCCCTGCTTGCCCTTGGTTCTTAATTTTTAAACCAGGCTTAGACCAAACAGTCCTTCGTAGAGGCCAGTCCTCTGTACAGTCCCCCTGCTTCTTTATTATGTTTTCCAATTAGTCCTCATGCTATGCTAGTGTTGCCTTTGGATCCCCACTCCTGCCCCCATAAACCAACATAGTTACCTTCAACTTCTAGTTTTGTAAGGTGAACAAGAAGAAAGATCAGTGGATAAAAAACTTAAGATTCTCACATGACAGAGAGGTAGATCAGCCCTGGTATTTCCAGTCCTCTCCTGCTACAGAATTACTGTTGTCAGTTCTCTTTACCTTGTCAGTCTTTCTCTGCCCGGCATCAGATTTACATAGAAATAAGATCCTGTTTTGTCCAAAAGTATTTTCTAGAAAATAAATGCCTTAATAAATGCCTCTTAGAGATGTTTTTGATTCTATTGGCCATAGTAAAATTATCTCATCGCTCTACCCTGAATTGGCCATTGTTTGCTTATCCTACAACAGAACAGCAGAACAGACTGAGAGCTCAGTTATCCTGAATCAAATATTTAGCCTCTCCCTTTCCACACAGCTCCAGCACGACGTTGTTTTGTATACAGAATTTTGCCTTGTGAACTGCTTTGCCCATAAGGTGAGGCATCAATGCAAACAATACAGTGGTGCCCCGCAAGACGAATGCCTCGCAAGACGGAAAAACCGCTAGACGAAAGGGTTTTCCGTTTTGAAGTTGCTTCGCAGGACGAATTCCCCTATGGGCTTGCTTCGCAAGACGAAAATACCTTGCGAGTCTTGAGATTTTTTTCGCTTTTCCCCCCCTTTATCTAATCTGCTAAGCCTTTAATAGCCTTTAATAGCCTTTTAGCAACTAATCCCCTAAGCCTTTAAGCCTTTAATAGCCGCTAAACCGCTAATAGCGCTAATAGCGCTAATCCGTCAATGGGCTTGCTTCGCAAGACGAAAAAACCGCTAGACGAAGACTCTCGCGGAACGGATTAATTTCGTCTTGCGAGGCACCACTGTAATGATTAATAATGCTGTTCAGAGGGTACATAACCGGAAGATCATATAACACCGATCCTGGCACAATTGTGTGTTATGGCATTGTGGGGTTTTGGTAAGAGTACAGTATTCAACCATTTAGCCATGAAGCATACCAAGTGACTTTGAGCTATTCACTGTCTCTCAGATGTACATAGAAGACTTGAACCTGGGACTAATTCAGAGTCAGGGCAAATAATGGAACACTGGTGCAATATGCTTTCAGCAACCTACCCCTTACAAAAGGGAGACTATGAGCCTCTGAATATGCTCCTGTAAATGTCAATCCTCCAAGGCTATTATCTAGTATCCCAACATTTGCAAGCCCTCAAGTAATTCTGATTTGATAATGTACTCTAATGGCACAAATTCCAGCATGGGGCAACTGGCAGCATCACAAAAAGCCTGGATAGCTCAGTTGATTAGAGCATCGTGCTGATAATGCCGAGGTTGCAGGTTTGATCCCCATATGGGATAGCTGCATTGCAGGGGGTTGGACTAAAATAAAAATCAAATCAAATTGGCATCACAGTATAAAACATTTCAGGTCACTGGAATAATTAAAAGGACAAGGGTGAAGCTGTCGAGGGTCATCAGGTCACACTGTGATCGTGTGCACTTAGATATTCTGCTTTGCCCTGTCCCCCAAAAGGATGGTTTGTTGGAAACCCTTTCAGGTAAAATTGTGGCTAAAAAGGAAGCTACTAAAACAGTGATATCTTTGTCCCGATCTGCCAGGAGAAACCTCATTTGACTTCTTGGTGTTATAGGGAAGGTACATTTTGCTCAGCATCAGTTGGTGAGGTCTACTGTGTAGAGAGCAGTCTAAGAGAATGTGGTCCATTGAATCAGGTACTACTTGGTTGCAGGCAGGCAGACGGGCTTGATATGGGGTATGAGAGAATCTACCTTTGGTCACTGCAGAGAGGAAGGCATTTAATCTTGTGAGCATAAAGGCTCTTCAATGGGAAGGGAGTAGTAGATCCTTTAGATATTTGGCACAGGTTCCGTAGGGTTTTGCAATACCTAAGGCCTCCAGAGAACAGGATCTCGGAGTATGAGGTAACAAGCACTGTCTTTCGTGGTCGTAGAGCTACAGCTTGGTTATTTGGAATATGTAACTTTCATCACATTGGACTAGATGATCCACAGGGTCCCTTCCAACTCTACAATTCTATGAT